CCTTCCTCCCTGTTCTCTTTGACCCTGTCCCCCTTGACTCAGAGGTCGTTCTCGATCTCTCGATTGACTAGAAAAATGTGGGGGAGGTACTCTAGGAGGGGGGTTTAAAACCGCCTTTGCCTCCTCCCTCGTTTTCCAACGCGTACGCTCCTCCTTCTGGTCTCCCATACTCCCCTAGTTCAGCTCTTTGTACTCGGGCTCCCCACTCGTGAATACGTCGTCGGTCCACACTCGGAGTATCCGGGATCTGTCCTGCTTGTTCTACCTGGGGGTTTCCATCCCTAGCTCCTGTAGGAGTGTTTCGGTTAAAGGATATTGGTTCCGTAGCTTGCCAGCTCCTTGGCTGGGGAACTACAGGAGAAGGACCCCCCCTCGTATATTCTCTCATTACCCTAGGTGCTCGCCCGGATAATCCCGCCGTGTTTCCTGTTTTGGAAAGGGGTCCTCCAGTCGGTACTTCCCCCGCTGTGAATCCTTTCTTTACCTCACGGAGTTGTTCCTGGAGCGTCTCAATGACCCGAGCCTGTTGTTGGATCATTGCTACCGATTCCTGAGAGCGTGCCGACTCGAAAGCCATGCCAGGTCGGTTCATCTGAGCTCCCGTTACAAAGGGAGTTCCAAAAGGAGCTCCCTGCGGGGGTACCGCCTCTTCGTGAACTGCCAACGTTCTTCGTTGGTTCGGACCCCTTTGACTTTCCGTTCCCACTGCCTGAGATTGCATCGATACCGACCCTTGATACGGAATGACTGATGGATTGCTCAGTCTTGGAGGAACGTGTACAGGGTTGGGAGCCAACCGAGCTGTCAGATCTTGTCCGGAGATCCGGGATGAATGTTGTGCGCCATCCATCCTCACCTCACCAAACTGGTATCGCTGCGTCGAGACTGGGGTTAAAGGTTTCGTTTGCAGGTTAACTCTGGGGGGAGGAGTCGCATGTTGAGCCAAGGCATGTACAGTGGGGGAGGTCCCAGAGCGTAACTGGGGGCTCCTCGTGGCCGTGTTACCGGGGTTAAGGAGTTCAGGAACCTCGGTATTCCTGGGCGATGAATGTTTCTGCGCCAGGAAACGACCATCAGATCCATGGAGCTGCCCTTTCTGGTCAAATTGCTCCGGAGGGAACTCCCCTACGCTTTCGAGTTCGCATTGAACCATATACGAGGTTCCCCGATTATCCGCGACCAGTCTGCGACGGAATTCCAAAGCTCTTTCTAGATTCGATCCAGAAAGTTCCTCCGACAGCATCAGAGTGTCTGATTCCGCTAGTAGCGTCCGATGTCGGGTCTCCTGCGAACACAACATCGCTTCAGACTCCTCACTCCTCACCAGAAGCTGGTGCATATGCCTCATGGGCGTGTACGTGTATACCGTCTGTCCGTTACGGACCCGGACGGGACTATCCTGATCAGGCATTGACTCCACTGGGGCCAGGAGGTGAGCCGTGGTGTACCTCCTGCGTCTACGATTTTTTGCAGCGATTGCGTTAGCATCCTCGTTACTTTCCTCATCGATTTTAGCTGCTGCTTCCGCTAGGTTTGCGTTCCGAAGTATTTGGATCGCCTGGTAGTTCGGTATGTTCACCCTCGAAGGGGGAGGTTCAAACCGTACAGCTCCTGATCTGTAGTTAGAGGCTCGGTACAATATACGTAGCCCTGCTTCGCCACAGAATTCCTTCTCCCTTCCATGGGTATGAGGGAGGAGGGGAAGTATTCCCCTCGAGTTTCGGAACGATCGTCCGTAACGTGCCTCTGCCTCTAACAGTTCCAACATCCTCTCTGGGTCCAACAGGACGTTGTACAGCCAGAGAAAATCTGATCGATTCGCGGGGGTCATCAGCCACTGCTGGGCCTTCTCTGGGAGGTCTATCTCCAATTGAGTTCCCACTGTTAGGAACTGTACTCGTAGGTCTGAGAATTCGAGACCGTCTCCCAATACTTCGATCCCCATTGACTCCAATACCTCCCTTAGGACCATAGCTACATCTTCCGGGATACACTCCTGAATTCGAATGACGTCTTCCAGACGCAATGTCATTTCGGACAAGGGTTGTACGGGGAAGTTGGTCCTGCTATGGTGTATTGCGTGTGTACGCTCCCAGTTGGGCGTATTCATAGCTGGGCTCTTCAGGAGACTGGCGAGTGAACTTCCTCGTCTCGGAGGAGGAAGGTTAAGGGACTGTACTGGAGGTGTTGGTAACCTCCGGGATGACGTCCGAGATTGTTCGGATACTGCAGGGGATACCCTCCTCTCTGGAAGTTTCTCCTGTTGTCGTACTGTGAGAGGGTCAGTACTCCCCCCTTGTATCCTTTCGATAGCGGCTACTTGGCCGCTGACTCTTCCACCCGCGTTCGAAGCTGACTCCATGTCTAGCTGCGGTATCGGTCCAGGGGGAGGTCCTCTCGTTCCCCAGGTAGGGGAGTATGCGAAACCTCCCATGGGACTACTGGCAGGTTGGGCGTAACCCATGGAGGTAAACCTCCGTTGTGGTGGTCCCATCCCAGGTTCCACTGGAGGGGGCCCCTGAACCTCCGGTTGACGTCCCTCTGGGGTCCGGATGTTGCTGGCGGTTTCATCCCCGAACGACTGTTCTGGGATGGACATCAGGCGTTGACCAGCTGCCACCGTGATGACAGTGGAGCTAGCAGCCTGGTTCGATTTCTGAGCTTGTGTCGTGTTTCCACGAGATAAGGCGCTCTTTTGTTTCTTTGATTCGGTCTTGGAACTAGAAGGTCGTTCCGTTGACGTCGCCGACATTTCGTCGCGACGAGTCCGTTCGGTGACGGGAGAGCTTGGTATAATGTAAGACCTGGGTCAAAATAGGTCTTAGGGTAGGTTTTGGTATGTGGGGGTTTATGTTGTAGCGTGCTAGGAGCAGGCTGGAGCTCGAAGGGAGCTACGAGAACCGCGACCGAGGACGGGAAGGACCTAGTAGTGGTTGGAACGACGAGATGGTGACCCTTGAGGGGTTCCTAGGAGGTCCAGGGAGGTCCCTAATGCGTAGGGAGGTTCGGGACGAGTGCGGGACCGTAAGATATTGCGTAGTAGGAGTTGTACTCGCTAGAACGTCAATATAGAGTCGAGTAGGTAGTTTATGCAACGGGGTCTCGAGGGTGTAAGCTCCCGAGAAGGGATATGCCAGGGAGGGTAGGTCCCTGGGGACTAGGTTGGAGGATGGTCGTCCTCGAGTGTGGGAGGTGGTAACGGAGAAGCAATACGTAGTTCGACGTGAGGGGTAGCTTCGACGTTACCTAGATCGAGGTCCCGAAGCTTACGAAGTAGCTAGGGAGCTCTGGGAGGTTTGGGGAAGAGTAGCTCACCAAGCGGGTAGGCGTTGGGGAGCTTTAGTAATGTTCGAGGGAGCTCGGGGACTCACTCGGAAGGCTTAGACTTGAAGTAAAAGCGTATATTCGATCGTACAGACGATCAGAGAGACAATAGACAGAAGTAGAGAGAAACAGAGGTAGAGAAACAGAGAGTAAAGAGAAATCCGTATGGTTAGCAGGTACAAAGGGACAGGGACTGGACCTATGCAAAAGGGTGTGTGTTCAAAATATACCAAGCTAGGGACGTTTATGTTACAGAGGATACTTATATAGGTGGGCTGAATAGTAACGGGACATTGTAATAAACGAGCATCTAATGGGGTTGGCGTGAAGTGCGGAACCCATGAGGCTAAATTGATAGGGGATTGTCCGGCGGCGTACGCGAATCGCGGAGCTGCCGCTTCAGATGGAGGTTAGCGTTGGTGGGGAGGTTAGTTAGGGTTCCGTGGTTCATGGAGGTTTGTGGGAGGTTATTTGGGAGGTGTAAGGGAGCTGATACGCTGTTCTGGGATGTCTAGGAGAGTGACTAGGGGAGCTTTTGGGGCAGGGCATGACAGTATCGTACAAGTAAAGGCGTCGAGACGGTGAGAAAAGGAAAATGATAGGGGCTGCGTACTTTATGACAGCTGCTACTTAGCTCCTCCCTCTATACTCTCAATCTCCAGGGACTAACGGCGTAACAGCGGTGTTGTTAATAACTTCACTACTGTCCCACTGGTCTTCCGCACTTAGACACCTTGTAGCTTTGGCCCGGTTACACGGTGTAGATGATCTTAACAACCAGGGACTAGGTACACATTGAGCAAGTACTACAGTGACTATGTACATAAAGCACAAGTGCTACCAGAGTGCTACAGTGACTACATACATGAAGCACGAGTGTTACTAGAGTGTTACAATGATAACAGAGCTCTACGGCGACTTGGCACAGTGGCTACGTCGGCTATCATAGTGTCTGTACCCTGAGCCTGGGTAACTGTAGACAAGTTATTGTTTCCTGATGTGCCTCATATATACCAAGGGACTGAGGGAAATATGTGGAGAACACCTGATAATCCCACCTGTCAGTATATATAGAACGTTTTGATCGGATCATCATTCACATGTATACATAGCAATTAGGGCCATTTCTCATCCTTGAATAAACCGGATAAACCGTCAGTAAATATACTGACCATTATATGTACTGAGGGCGCCATCTGTACCGGGCATATTTCCGCCCCGAGTCTTTCCCAGTCTTATGTCAGCATATGTCCCGCTCATTGTCCCGACTTCCCGCTCATTGTCCCGACTTCCCGCTCATTGTCCCAACTTCCCGCTCATTGTCCCGACTTCCCACTCATTGTCCTGACTTCCCGCTCATCATAGATAAAGTCCTTGCTCACTGTTCCAACTTTCCAACAACTTGCTTATTTTAAATACAAAAATTAAATAACATTGCGGTCAGAATTTAGAAACATTGACTACAACATGTAGTGATCAGACAAGTTCGGAGGCATTCATTCATCCAGCTCATCCTCACCCTCATCCTCCTCCTCCACATTCTCCTCCTCCATGTTTTCCCCCTCCACGTTCTCCTCGTCATCATCGTTCTCATCCTGATCCTCTTCTGGCACTATAACGGCCGTTTTGCTAGTTGATAGGCTGGTCCGTTTACACTTTGCTGGTGGCTCCTCGGTGTCATTTTCTCGTGAATGTTTAGCCGTAGCCTTTTGATGTGTCCCTCCAATGTCACTTCGGCCCTTCCGAGGAATTTCGATTTGTAGACCTGCTGCTTTGTTGTTGTCCAACTGCTGTATAAATCTTTTATATTCCTGCTTATCCATGGTACTCCAATATGCTGAGCCAGACCTCCAGGCATCATACAAGGTGTCGAGCTTTGAAGGATCAGTGATATCCCGTGGTGAGACTAAAGGTACATCGATCGGCCACCCAATAATCTTGACTTTGTACTTCGCAGAAATTTTGGTTCGAAAGTTGGGGTAATTCATTCTAATCTTGTCAATCCCAGTGATATGAGCTATGGGTACCAAGTATCAACTACAAAAAAGATAGCTTTGCAAGGAAAAGACTTACCCAGCGACTCAGAAATTGTCTTACTAGTCGCTTTGGCCTTTTCACTGTGAAGAAGCTTGCGACTTCCAACTGTATATGTTGATTTTTAGCAGAGGATATAATTGAGGTAAGAAAACATACCCTTATTATATGTAGTAACAAACGCCTCAAATAAACAGGCCATCTCCCATGGATCCTTGTTAAAGTACTTCTGGAAAAACTCAAGGACAGGACCACCACCCACAATAGTGGGCTTGATGGAACTCTCGAAGCTTCCCCGTACAAAAAATCCAAAACCTGCAATATCGGTAGTCCCTCGGAGCTCCTGGAACTATTTGTACGAGTTAGTATATGTTGAGCAAATGAATATTTCAAAACACTTGCATCGGAATTAAATCCCTGCAATAGCTTAGTTGCTTTCATTGCACCAGCTTTATTTGAAGCTCGAGCCACATCCTTTTTGGCCTGCTGATGTTCTTCTAGTTCATCCATCAATACCTTTAACTTGTTGGGGTCTGTTTTTGCATTTTGAAGGTCACGATTGAGTTCTGCTGCATGTCGGATTTCATTAATTTTCGCTTTGTATCGTCTACCTATGATAAGTATTAGCAAATATCTATAACCTTCTTGGAGTAATCATACCTTGATTCAGCTCCTTGCTTTTTGCATGTAAAATGGCGTCCTGGACACTGTTCACCCGTCTCTTCCGATGATGTTTTGAGGTTCCGGCAAGTTTCTTAAGCCTACTGACCGCTACGCCATGTGTATCTGCCAAATCCACTACCTTTTCCTCCTGTTCAGCCTGGAGCTGAGAAATCGCCTGGTTCAGGAGTTTAGTCTTCAAGGCAGACGTAGCCTTAGCAAGAGATTTTTCGGAAATCCCCAAGTTCACTATTGGATGTTGCACCTGCTCTGCCTGACCAGTAGATACCGGAGTAGACTGGATGACGTTGGATTCGCTATGGACCAGCGATGAATCAGCTTCTCCAGGGCGTCCATTGGATACCGGAGTAGACTGAATGACGTTGGATTCGCTATGGACCAGCGATGATTCAGCTTCTCCAGGGCGTCCAGTAGATACCAAAGTAGACTGGATGACATTGGATTCGCTATGGACCAGCGATGAATCGGCTTCTCCAGGGCGTCCACATATAGATGATGGAGACCCTTCGCCGAATAGCAATGGACCGCAGGATACTGAATGACTGCTCAACTGAGGACCGGCCGTATGAGCAAGAGATGATGGGGAATTAAGAGTGGGAGAGTGGCTGCTCAATTGAGGGCTTGATGAGGTAAGAGGGGTCAATAATGGTTCATGGGACAAAGGTCTACCACCAAAACAAGGGCCTGCTAAGGGAGCGAGTGTTGGCGATGGCTCACGTGAAGGGAATGGGTTTTGTGGAGATTGTGGGACAGAAAATGTTTTGGTTGGATTTATATCGTTATTGAGAATGGATACCACATGGTGGCTACGGCCTGGGCTAAAGCTTCATCCCAAGTTTTGGGTAGGGAGGGAAGGAGAAGAATAGGATAAATGTGGAGAGATCGGTGAGTGGAGCCTTGACGCATCCACATTGCTACAAATTACGGTTTCCTTCCATTGCAGCGCTCCACGTTGACTATACCCCAAACGTCCTTGCTGGCTGGTTACTGCTGAGAGATCTGAATGAGGGGGCAGATCATAGTCTGAAGAAAAGCTTCCAGGGGCATAATGTCGACTATTGGCTGGCTGAAATCTCTGCATAATATCCGGCCGCGGTTGATGGATATTATCCCGGAGTGAAGCACTACGTCCTGAGGAAAACTCTATGCCAGTGCTTGGAAAGTCTATTTGCGGAGTTGGCTGAGTGTAAGCCTCACGAGAAGAAAAGCCGATACGTGAGGTTGGTTGGCTGTAGGCTATAGGACCAGGCATAGAGGATTGGGCAGGGATTTGGCGTAAATTAGTCCTGGACTGAGAAGCAGAATATGGCGGAGCAGGAAATCCACGTAAAAAGTGAGGATTTTGTATGGGATGGCGCAGGCTGGGTGGGTTATAGTGTCCTGTATTTTCCTGTAGAGGACGGCTGGGATGCTGTGGAAACAGGAGAGGCGGAATATCTGGCGATGAGAGGAGGTGTTGGAAGCTGTGGTTTGCCATTTCTAACCAAGAATGTGTATAAAATCAATAAGTGTTGAAAGAATTTTGGGCGTCTAGAATGCATGTTGAAACCAGTCAACAAAGTGTTGAGGGCAGGTCATTAGGTGCATCTGCTATAGATAAGCTGATTGATCACGGTTGATTCCTTATATTGATCTAATAATGTCTGGTATGTCCTTTTTCACCCATTTTCATACCTCTTTTGTTGAATATTGGATCAGAACCAACAACACCATCTCGTTCTTCCACTTCTGCAAAGCCACCTCGTACCCCGCGCTCAATTTACCGAGATCATGAAATTCTGGTGGCATTACTGGAGAAAGACGTTGAAGGTAAGCTTTAACATTGATGGAAAGCAGTTTACTGACTGAATGGGTGTAGGGGTCAGTGCAGTTAGCAAGGAGGTACACAAGGCTGAGATCGGGGTTGCCGCTGCTAATACCCAGCTCAAGGAGCAGCTTGATCGAGCAGAGCAGGATATTCGTGCGTAATAAGTCCTGCTCCTCTAGACAAATATATATTAAATGCACGTTATGTTTATAGAGGAGATTCGGAAACTTTCCAGTCCACCTTCGACACCCACTCGCCCTCGTAAAGTCAAGCATATTTTGTCACTGAAAATCCTTCGCACAGCCCCCCAACCTCCCCACTCTGCTGCAAGCAGGACCCAGCGCAAAGCTCATAATGTGGTCGCTAGTCCCTCGCAACGGAAAATCAGTCTGGTATGGATTTCATCGGAGGATGAGGCAGATTTCCCGGATGATTCCAGGGGCGGATGGATTCCTCAGAGTGCCACCAAGGTCAGTAGTGATGAAGATGAACCTTTGCCTGGGTCGGGAGGTGTCACTGCAGCTGAAGCTAGGGTCCAAAGGGCTGGAAAATCAATCGAAAAGACATACCTGGTATACCACGGCAGAAACAACACCGAGGGACTTTATTTTGAATGGCAGGGAACTAAGGGAGCTACTGGTGTTCTCGAACTCACAGATGAGTTTCCTGATGCAGTCTACAAGCTATTCAACAACCGAAAGCTCGCAGCAAAGGCCTATAAGGAATGTAAGCGTACTGGTGTTCTGGACATTTTCAAGTCCCCAGTGCAGGCAAAAGAACACCTTATCGTTGTCAAAGGCGAAAATCCAGGGGTGTATAACCGATGGTGAGCTTCGTTCCCCTCTGTCCTTTTTTGATGCTCAAGGTAATCACCAGTACGCTGATGAAGCATGGACTCTGCTGGCATGGAGGCAAGGTTATTGTTCATATTGGTACCCGCTATGATGCTCAGCAAGCCTTCCTTGCATTAAAGAATAACCATCAGACTTACGAGCTTCCAAAGGAAAAGCGTTGGGGTCTTAGTTAAACGTTTGTTTACTTATGGTGCATGTTACCGTGCTGTACCCTGCTCATCCAATATTATTTTCGCTTCTCTTTGATTTTGATTGAGTGAGGACTGCTCGTCATAAAACCAAATAAGCATAGTGTTTATATATGAGGTTGAAATTAGAGATAGATACGAGGATTAGCAGAAACACCAGCCCCCTCCCTGACACGATAGGTATTACGTCGGTAAGGGTACCACAAATCTGCATCTGGGTGTCCAATTTTTTCAACAAAGGTTGCAATCCGTTTGTCCTGCGCTCTTCGAAAGATAGTTTTTTGATTTCTGCAGAGACTAGACTCAGAAAGAAAACTTGAGAATACCCGGAACAACTTGCCTGAGATATGATGCTGCAGCAGCTTCCTTTCGCTTCCTATTTGTTGTAGCTTTTTCCTCATCTGTCATTCCTGCTCTTTTGTCTGCCATTCTCAACCGGTTCTTAGCCTTCCCTGCTTCAGCTTGCCTACAATATATGATGAGGTAAAGATACAAACAAAGTAGACAAAACTTTACCTGCGTCGATAACGGCTAGACGCCATGGATCTCCCAATCTTCCGGCATTCCTTCTTAATTGCCCTCTGACCCTCAGTCTGCTTCGATATAGGGGTTCGTAGGTACATTGGAGGTGATCTGGCACAATAGGATTTAGTTTTGGCGGAGACCATCACAGCAGGTAGTAGAGCAACTGACTGTGGGAAATTCTCATTGAACACTTCTATGTACCAAGTCCAAATTTGACATAAATTGTTCATTGTATAATATATACTGGGCCATTGGCTTCCAAAATGAGAGAGATAGCTTTTTGGATGTATTTAACTTATTTGGTGACAAGTTTGAATTTCATGAATTTTGGATGTGCAAAAAGTATCAAAAAACGGTGTGGGTACATAGAAGGATTTTCGAACAGGTAGGTTTATCTCGACCTCGTTCAAAGAATATTTTGTCCTGCAATCATTTCTTATCTACCGGTCTCAATAATTGGGATACATATTGTCAAGCATTCAAGGTACTTTGTTCTAATTTTTAAACAATTATTTATGGAAGCCAATGCCCGTGAATTACCTTCGAACTCAAAATCTGGATTTTATGTGTGCATCACCACCTATTGTATGGCCTCAATATATGCATTATTTTGATTCTATGTACTACAATTGATCATATCGCAACATATTGAGTCCAAATTTCCATAGATCTGTACGATACTGTGTCCAATCCTCCTTCTGCACCTCAGAAGCCTGCGCCAAAAACTGATTGTCATTCATAAACCCATTGAAGTACCAACGAAGAATTCCTGCAGCAGTGAAAAAGGTCACTGAATGCCTATGCTCCTGTGGGCCGATTGGAACGTTAGCATGGGTTACCGAAGCAGATGGTACCAATATCCCAGCACCGGGAGGGAACTCGACAACTATTCCAAGACTCCACATAATGAACTGACCACCACGCTTATAGTCAAATCGGCCACCGTTCCAAATACCACAGCATAGGAAGAATGCGTTCATAAAGTCGAGATGAGGATCCATTGCTGCCCGAGAAAAGTTTAGCTGAGAGGCGGCATAGCAGCAATCCTTGAATACCCGCTTCAGTCAAAGCCCTTCAATACCCAACAGTATCTCCGTTAGGTTTGTAAGTAGACGATGTACCTTAGGGAAATACAGTTCAAGGTTATCTGTGGGGTGCAACTGTAGCTTCGTACAAGGTATAGGAGGTACACCACCTACGGTCCATGAAACGTGCTACACGGTTGATTTCTGGGGACCCCAACAAAGCTTGTAATATTGGCTGGTTGTGTTTCGATACAGCGAAGTTCATAGGGTGAAGCTGACCTTGGCCGTGGCTATACCCAACTGAGAGGGAGTCGTAGTCACCCCGGCGCGGTGGTTGGGCGTGCTTCGGAAATTGAAGGTTTTGGTGCGCTTGAAGAAGCAGCGCGTCAAGACGTTCAGTATCCTTGAGCCATGACACACCATCCCCAGCATAGCCTAGCTGTCATGCCTCACCCCAAATTGCTTAACCCATAAGCTCTCTAACATAGCTCCCGACATCCCCAGACCCCTTCCATGAATCCCTGAGAACACTTCCAACGTCCCACTGACCCCCTTACCACTAGAACCACCTCCGTGACCCTTAACTCCCCTCCATTCAACCGAATCACTCCACGACAGGGTACTGGAACCCCGTACATGCTCCCATCATTTCATCCTCGTGTACCTAGGAACCCCATTAAGTGCTTGCTTCATACCATGTCTCCTTGTTAACTTCCCCATACGTATTTAATCAGTCCAGTAGCGTCCAGAAGCCCAGCTTGGTATATTTTGAACACACACCCTTTTGCATAGGTCCAGTCCCTGTCCCTTTGTACCTGCTAACCATACGGATTTCTCTTTACTCTCTGTTTCACTACCTCTGTTTCTCTCAACTCTTGTCTATCGTCTCTGTGATTGTCTATACAATCCAATACACACTTTTACTTCACGTCTAAGCAATCCGAGTGAGTTCCCGAGCTCCCTCGAACAATACTAAAGCTCCCCAAACCTCCTCGAGCTCCCTAGCTATTCTATAGGCTTCAGGACCTCAATCTAGGTAACGTCGAACTACGTACTGCTTCTCCGTTACCACCTCCCACACTCGAGGACGTCCATCCTCAAGCCTAGCCCCCAGGGACCTACCCTCCCTGGCACATCCCTTCTCGGGAGCTTACACCCTCGAGACCCATCTACACATATGACCTACTCGATCCTATATTGACGTTCTAGCGAGTACAACTCCTACTACGCAATATTGTACGGTCCCGCACTCTTCCTTAACCTCCCTACGCCTTAGGGACCTCCCTGGACCTCCTAGGAACCTCTCAAGGGTCACCATCCCGTCGTTCCAGCCACTACTAGGTCATTCCCGTCCTCGGTCGCGGTTCTCGTAGCTCCCTTCGAGCTCCAGCCTGCTCCTAGCACGCTACAACATAAACCTCCACATACCAAAACCTACCCTAAGACCTATTTTGACCCAGGTCTTACACTAGCAATGCCGCCTAGTGTAATCCATCCTCAGACTTATAGAGCCTTGAGTAACTTGGATGGGGTTCAATCGATATATAAGAGAATGGGAAAAACAACATACCTGGCATCCCACTCAACATATTGAAGCCCGGAAAGGGCAAGTACATCTACTACGGAATGAACCTTGGGATACGGCACTGGCGCACGGCTCCCCGTCCACGCTGTAGCACCCGGCCCAATGAATGTGCATATGGAGGCTGCGGCCTGGGTCTGAGCGCCCTTCTGAATCGCTATGGCCTTCAGACCCGTCCCAAGTTGCTGCTGGATGGCCGCACGTTTCTCCGCACGTCGATTTCGCGAACGATGACGGTCCTTGATTCTCCGCCGCGCCACGGCCGTCAGGCTCATATCCGGGATGTATCGAGGGTGCTTGGCCTGCGGCTGCAGGTTGACTCGCCTTACCAGTCCCTCAAGCGGCTTGAGGGTAGCTGAGATTGGGATAGAGGGGGGGGCGAGGCGTCTGACCACACCGCCACATCCAAGAGCTCCGTATCCTCCTCAACACCATCCTTCCAAGCAGCTTTGGATATCCGGTGTCCCTCGCGAAGCAACCGCTCGCTCTCGACCTTGAGAACCATCAGGATCTTGGGCTGAATGGTATGCGGATTAAATTCGCGTTTGCTCCGCGTGGTACGAAGACCTGTGGGATAACGGGTGTGTTAGTAATTAATGCCTTACATTCAGTGCAGCGCCCTCAAAACGCATTGTAAGCAGTGGGGAGGGGGGGGAAGGGGGGTAGCAGAAGAGAATTTGGAGCTGCCATACACGCCCTCAGTGTCCCCAAGGTCGGGGTCACCTGAAAACATGTACAACAGGTCCAATATGCAATGTAGGTGTCCCCAAGGTCGGGGTCACCTAACTGCAGAATTGATAGAATAAATTTGGCTTACCTTCCCCTAGAATCAGAGATGTGTCGAGCTCAGCCAGCATGCGTTTCTTTCGCATTGTAGCCGTTGTCAAGAGGGATTGAACAAGTTGAGTTATGGACCCACACCCGACTTATAATTATCCGCATTACGAATCACGTGTGCATATAAGCGCCCCACATCCTATACCATTCTATCGTCAATGAAACCCTCCAAATGCTCGAAAACAACGCCTACTAGCCGAAACGTCGTTATGTCCACTACGGCTCTCAGCGGAAACATCCGGACCCGGGCGCAACTGAAGGTACACTGGCCAAGCGATTTGCGCCGTATAAAAGAACAACGGGCAAGCGAGGAGATACGGGTTCTCAACGTTCGACCCATTGAGTGTGAAAATGACATAGAGGAGTACGCGGTATCCAACTCCATACAGCTGCCGACCGTTCTAAGCCATGCCGGTGGTGAAATTGGGGCTGATATTGGTTCAGAGAAGGATGATTGGGAGGAATGTGCCGATATTTACCAAGAGCTGTTGGATGGTTGCAGACGGATGTAAGTCCTACCCTCCCTCCTTATAACCACAGTAAGCCTATAGATGTTTTCTTCATCAGCTATCGTGTAGATGGCCGCAAGCGTCGTGACCGGATAGAACGCGCCTACCACCACTGGCTACCCCAGTTTGACGGTATGGTGGACGCGTTTATGGACTGGTCATTCAATGAAGAACAGGGCCATCGTATTCCGGAAGAAATTGAGGGTGTTCCCTCTCTGTCAGTAACGGTCGTGGATGTCTTTAGTACATACGTTATGCTGACCCCATTGCTGCAATACTGACTGATATTTGTAGAAACTACAAAGCGGCTTATACCATTTCTCAGCGACCAATATCAGTCGGCAAGTATGGTTCGTTCCGGCATCTTTCCATCCTCCCCCCTCCGACATCACCACGCATTTTCAACCCGTACCCTTCACCTCTTCCATGACTTATTCTGTCAATGCCCCAGGCTTTCCATTCAGCCCTTCATCAAATCACTCTGTGATGTTCAGGGTTTTCCGTTCAAACCCTACCTCATGCAACAGTTCTCCTCTGCGTATGATGCATATGTGGAGGTGAAATCTCGAACCCGCAAGCTGGTTGCTCAGACGCTTGGTAGAGATTCGTCAACTTGGCGAATTCTGCACACCTGTCCATGCTGCCAGAATGAGCTGCAGGAGGATGACCCTTTGGAGATTAGGATGATGGTGGCTATGGATGGGAATGATTCTTTAAAACGGGTTGAACGTTGTAAGGATGCAGCCGACAATTCCCTTGCAGAGGTTGCGGATTCTGGGGTGGTTGAGAGGATGGATCCTTGACAGGCAGGAGACGACTACTTTCTCTCCCGTACATCCGTCGACAATTGGGCGGAGGAAAACTGGAAGAATGTGCCGCCATGGGTCCCTCAGAATAGCTTTCAGGAGTGGGTTTGGAAGACTGGGATGTGTGAAGAGAAATGGCATAACGCATCGGATAAGAATACTGGAAAGTCATGGGCAAAGTTCGATGAGAATGGGATATTTCTACTCATTTGTCGGCATGGACTTGTTCTCTCATTGGCGGACATGGTTAAGTCAGGTGAAAAGTGCATTTTCAAGAATATCCACCCATGTTAAGCTGCTAACCACAGTCATACAGAGCAAAGTATTCTTTGGCTTCCATGCATCACTTCCTTGAGGCAGAGCGGCAGTATCGTATTAGCAATGGAGAAGATGCGCCTCCCAAAGGCAAGCTCTGTTTTGCATATGACATTGGCTGTACCAACAGCAAGACTGTACACCGTAGTCCACTAGCACCCCTTGCTAATTATATGGGGTACCTCCCTGCTGTTGGAACAATGCATGGGTATGCTCATGAACGGGCTTGCCAGCTTAACTTTCTTCTTCTGTACCAGACCGGCGCTGGTTTGGAGGATGGCGAAACCTCTGAGCAATACTTCTCAAAGTCAAACTCTTTAGCTTCAGCAACTCGACATGCAAGTATCTTCCACCATCGACAAATGATCACTGAATATGCCTACCATACCAACAACTTTGAAATGTATGGCAATCTTAGTAAATTCCTTAGAAACCACTACAGCCAGGCCCTCGAAATACTAGGAACGGCTCCTTCGCTCAGAATTCAAATGCGTGAGGCTGGTATTAAGGACGCCTGTGTCATCTTTCAATGGATGGAGGAGGAAGCAGCTTATCTCCAGAATCTTTCAAGGGAGCCACCGGTTGAAACCCTCCAAATGGAGTACTACAGAAAACTGATTGCTCTCAGGGAATGTCAGGCTGTTTTGAAAGATGCAAGACTTGCCTGGCTATCATATCGACCTGGTGAACGTGATCAGACTTCGGCTCTTGAACGTGCTCAGCGCCATGCCCAGGAGAATGAACGGAAGATTCTCGCCGACGTCCATGCCTTGGAATCAAAGCTCGATGTGCATGTTCGGTGGACGGAGGGCTCTGCGCAGTGGGAGGAAGCTGGGGCACTAGTAACAGGTACTAAGTATCGAAGAGCTCTTGATAAACTTGAGGGACTATTGGTCTCCAGGATATTTGAACTTTCTCGGTTGAATATCTCAGGCACAGGTGGGTTCTGGTTTCATCCATCTACTCATTCTTATCCCTTGGCCTATTACTTTACAGGTTACAAAATGCGAAAACACTTAGCAAGTGCGCTGAAGAAACGATTGAAGAGTATTCAGAGTGCCATTATCGAGTACAATACTGTTGCTGCTAAAATGAAGCCCAAGAGGCAGCCGGTTGACTGGGAGGAGGTTGTTGAGTACACATTCCTATCTGAGTTTGACATCCTCCGCGATACCCGTGAAGATATCCGTGAATGTCCATGGGCAGTCCCTGCTAATCGTGTCATCATCACTCAATTCTTCAAGGTCATTGGAGCTGAGGATGAGCTCTCCCGTGTACATCAAGAAATCCGACGACTCATTACCTATATGCAACGGGAGAAGGATGAGCTCACAACACGAGAAAGGGAGCTCATGCCAACAAACCCGACCCTTGCATTGCAGGTTAGGAATTTTTGTCGGGAGCGGGGACGATTCCATGAAGTTCACAGAAAGCGGCTCCTCTCCATAACCAAGCTACCAGGCTTTGACTGGTCTACGAATAGAAAGTATTTCTTGCCTGGAACACCAGTAGAACGAAGGAATGACCATACGAGCTATGGAGCAGAAGATCTGACTGCAGAAAGGCAGGTCGATGAAGACAACACTGATGATGACGAGGATGAGGAACTTGTTCGTAGAATAGATACATTCCTATCAGTAGCTACAGATGTCTTAGAGGAGTAGATATATCTTTCATCACTAATGAACTCCACTTCATCTACAATGAGCGGGAAGTCGGGACAATGAGCGGGACATATGCTGACATAAGACTGGGAAAGACTCGGGGCGGAAATATGCCCGGTACAGATGGCGCCCTCAGTACATATAATGGTCAGTATATTTACTGACGGTTTATCCGGTTTATTCAAGGATGAGAAATGGCCCTAATTGCTATGTATACATGCGAATGATGATCCGATCAAAACGTTCTATATATACTGACAAGTGGGATTATCAGGTGGTGGAGAATTCCCTGGCACCCTCCTGCACCCTCCCTCATCTGTTTTTCCGAAAAGCATATCTCACGCCCTCCGTTCCTGGCTGTTCCCATCTATCTATGTGAAACTTGAGGGAAATATGTGATCCCTGAGCATCATCCCTCATCTTTTTTTTACGAGAAGTATATCTCATGCTAATCCATGCTTGGCGGCATGGTGCCAACTTCTATCTAGATAATCTAGCGTAACTGGCGCAACTGCCGAGGCTCAGGAGGGCTCAGGCTACATACCAATGGCACATATAAAGAGCGACTGGGTTCAGACCGCACATCACCATCCAGGACGCTAGATTGGTACGGCGTTTAATCTCACTCAATCCATTCCTTGTTTTTACCCTGTAAATCTGACTGTCACTCAAGTTACTACCAGCGCCAAGATCATTCGCATCGGAGTAGATTTGCTGGTCAAATCTATCTGCCCTTCTGGTACGTATTCACGACATCATGGTCTAGACATTGCCCTGACAATTTCTACCTGTATCTTCAGCTCAGTATCATTAGTCGACCATTACCAGCCATTACCTACGCTCTGATCAGCATCACCTCCAACTCAATATTTGCACCGTTCGTTGTAATTTCCGCCCTTGAAATTCCCGTCCTACATTGTTGAGTTGAATTGTGTCGAATCGTGCTATACCTACTAATTGGACATCGCGACAGATTTTTCCAGTGTTTGCTATCCTCTCGAAATCTTTGATGCGCTCGTTCTCTGTTTTCCTCCTCCTTTCAACTCTCCTCGTGATAATTCCAATCGCTTTTACTTTGCCTACCCCGCCGCCGCCAGGTAATTAATCATTCAATCATCGCTTGTTTCATTTATGTCTCAATGACACAAAAATAGATGAAATCGATGTTCGGCTCATCCGTATCAAAATGTATCCTGGAGGCGAACAAGGATCAATTCTCTATGATGACACTGTCGACGAAGCGGACCTAGTACCTTCTCTTATTGATCCTCATAATGAAATGTGGGCTTTGAACCTTGATGGGATCGGGTACGCTTCCAAACCCTCTAAGGACAAATGGATCGAAGGGGGTCCAAAGGAATTCAGTGCCAAGGCCGGGATATTATTGGGGAAGCTCGAAGTAGATTCCTCGAAAAAAAAGGAGGCTCGGACCAAATTGATTGAGGCATTGAACAAAGTCTCCCCTGCAGAGATAGACGTGCTATATATCTACAGCTTATTAGCACTCATCGAAACACAAGCTCTAGCGTTGCCTTCGTTCAAGCAGAAGATTGCGTTACGCGAAGAATATCTACCATATATGAAGGTCATGCTAGAAAAGAATGGTAGTGGAGCGCGCGTTAGAATTACTCAGGAAGAGGAACAGCGGTACAAGCGGACTTTGGGACATCTCTTTCCCAAAAGTGGTGGAAATTAACTTTGATGGAGATGGATTTTGAACCTTGTCGTCCATGGAACTGTGTACCGTTCTAGTTCATTTGAGGCAATGATGATTGGTGTTACATAACGAGTGAAAATAACTTAGGTGTCTTCAGTTAGGAGAAAGCCTGGGGAAAGCGTCCGATATCGGAACACTCGGCAAGCTCAAGTACACACAAAACTCCCTGGAATAATTGTTTCAGAATTAGAACCTCAGACACCACCATGTAGTTACCTTTGTAAACTACTCACAAAATCCTTAGCACTCTTCACCTTCACCTCAGTTGATTCTATCCTCCATCCATAACAGGGATATAAAAGGAGAACAAAATCAGGTTAAAAATAATTTGTGATTCAGTACACTAACCAAGGATCACGCCCGTACGAACATGCGTACCCCGTTCATATTTCGTCATATCAGGAATTGAGGAGAATAGAGTAGTACGTTCCTTCTCCGAAAGATCAGGTAGGGACTGCGCAAGTTTGCTAGGCATCTTTCTCGTCCATATCGCTCCGGTTAAGCGTTTGTATAATCTTTACATCAGAAATAGAAAATTCAAAAGAGCGGTTCTGGACTCACCGACACTACCGCCGATAGAAGCACCAATCTCCGTCACCAGCAAAATAACAGCAGTGGTCATGGCGGGATCGACATGGGGTCTGATGGGGTACACTGAGTCAGCCTGAGCGTCGACTTGTGAACAAAAGGCAGCAAAGCCACCTCCGAGTCCTTGAAGGATTTGAGCTCAAACTAGTTCTGCGTCAGAACCGTTTGCGCACGAGCTGTGGGGAAGATCACGGTTGAGAAATGGATTCGCCAAGTAGTACTAACAAGAAGTCTTACAGCGAATCCATTGGAGTGACACCACTGTTTGAAAGAAGAATATCAAGTCAACAGGGTGCCCGGGAAAGGTATTGACATCAAGTTCAAGTAAAAAAGAGTGACGGCTGTCGAGTGAACGACTGAGAAGCTGGTTTGGGTTAATTGAGGTATCAGAATCGCTGCGATATACACCGAATGCATGGATTGTCCTTGTTTTTGGATTGGAGATTCATTCTGTGGGCGGATGGTAAGTGAAATGGATTGTCTAAACATCCGTAAACGCCTCTATCCGATTCCCTTGTATTCCTACTATCACTGTCAATCAAAATTCTGTAAGTGTGATGTGAGTCGTTGTCTTGTACCTTATACCTATATCTCATTTTCACTAGTTTTTATCTTGAAAGGACGACACGATCAACGAGGATTCTATGGATATCAACTCCCCTTATGTATCATGATGATATAACTCAAGACAATCCTACCAAGCGACCAAACATGGATGAAGTAGTTGTGATTTGATTGATGACTATCTTGGACACATTGCCATCGTTGAAATTGCGCGATCGATTTGTCAGTAAGAACCAAGTCAGATTGCTGAGGACCGTCTCGAGAATTGAATCATCTAGCACTATGCCGGTGGAAGATTTATTGTTCACTGCAGCAAATTCAGCCCTCGGACGCGCCGCTCAAACTGAACACGAAATGGTCCACGAGGCTCTCGACACCGGGTGCCATTTTTTGCCTTAACTCAGGGTGGAGTGACGGGTGAAGGTTGATTTAGGGTGTTCAATGGAGAAGAGGAGATGGAAGATGGAAGATGGAAGGTGGAAGATGGAGAAAAGAGGATGAGGACGGGAACGAACAAAATCAGCACGGTCCTATCGAGGAACGAGAAGAAGGTTAGGTTGTCAAGAATCAGGAGAAATTCACGCTCTTGACGGAAATGAAATGAAACCCAACGATACGAATAAAGTTGAGTGACAGAAAGTGCTGAAAAGTACCGATCTGTAGTCAGTATATGGTTCACAGTCATATGAATGAAAGTACATCGCCCACTGATGAGTAGATTATTTTTACAAATTTTTCCGTTCGTTCCTTTATCGATCGTCGAACTTTATCACCGTGTTCCTCCGTGTTCCTCCATGTTCTCAAAGTCTAAGGTAATGAATGCAAGCGCGCGATTGATCAGTGGGCGCCATTGCGATTTAGTAGGAACTTCACACCCCCAAATCTACTTGACTATCCTTGGCAGGCTTGAAAAGCGAACGGAGGATAACCGGACTCTGTTCCTCTCAGAGACCTAACCATGCCAAACGAGTCCCAAAGAGAGCAAATGATTCACCGCCGAGCTGACCCTGCGAAAACTCCCTGCAGAAAGTGTGTTGTCCTGGAAGACAACGAAGTGTGAGTGTGTTTTATTACATCGGTTATTCATTCACTATACACCACTCCCTGCCTCAAGGTGTCTTTTTACGCGTTTCCAAAAAATGAGAGTCAATGAGTCGGACGGAATATTCGGACGGAGTGTCTGTTGGTGCTAAGTGCTCCTGTGTTGCCACTTTCCCCAGGCGGCGGTTATTATTGGCTGCGATATGGTTCCTTCTCTTCATCTGTTGATCTCCGAGCCCGAAAAGCCAGAAAATAGCAATCTCTCGCGTACGGTGGAAAGTTGATTTTGAAGAGTAAATCAGAAAAGATCAGAAATGGAGAAAAAAAGAGGGCGACATATACAACGTGTTTGCAGTGTTTTCGTCTTATCGATATGATGGTTTTTAGCCGTTCATTTCCTTCAGGCAATGATTTTGATACCGTACTGAGCGGAGATGCAAGTGAGAAAGATATTTTTGAAAGTTGGTAGAAGGATATTCTATTCCTTGCACAAGAGATTCCAAAGATGGAGGGGTATTATGAGAGTTGGAAGGCAAAAAACGACGCTTTGAATTCCGTTCTGATAGGCACGGACCGGGCTCCCGAGTTCATCTAAATTCGGAAATAATCATGCCATTTTCTCGCTAAGAGATTTTTCAAAGTCCGCCCAGTCACCTTTAAAACGCCCCCATCTTTTTGGATTTAACTTCCAACTCCCTCGCCACCAAGTCGGTATCTGCAAAACCTAGTGCATGTACTCGAACCAGCTTTGCAGCGTTCACAACTCTCACCGCGGTACTAAACACACTAGTGCCGGATTTCTCATATCTCTCTAAAGTTTTCTCTTCGTCGTCGTATAACACTCTAAACTATAACATTCAAAAAAAATGGCTCTTAACAACAATACTACGAATGCTTCTTCGGGCTACAACACTCCAGACTCCGAGCTGGAAAGTGTTCTGCCTATTCACCCCAGTGCTGCTCGTCGTCCGCATGCGATTGTAGTGCAGTCAGAGAACACCGCGTACTCGGACGAGTATATCACGGCCAAGTACGAGAATCGCAATGCGGAGGTCACGGTCACGGATGGACAGTTCCTCGTCAATCCGACTGTGCAGTCCTTTGAATTTCAGACCAAGAGGGTTCCAGGAAAGACTGGGTCAGTAGTTTTATTGAAACCAACATTTTCAAATCGACTCAACATGTATTTTCCAGACTGATGATGATTGGAGTTGGAGGAAACAATGGAACGACGCTTTGTGCGACGATACTTGCTAATCGACACAACATCGTTTGGCACACCAAGCAAGGTATTCAACAACCCAATTATATCGGTTCTCTCCTCCGTGCTTCTACTGTTCGTATCGGGACCGAGGCCTCAACCGGTAAAGACGTGCACGTTCCCGTGTCTGACGTTCTTCCGATGGTCCATCCTAACGACCTCGTTCTTGGTGGTTGGGATATCTCTGGTGTTCCGCTCGAGAAAGCTATGCAACGCGCTCAGGTTTTAGACTACGATTTACAACGCCAAGTCGCGCCTCACATGGCTCTACTCGGGAAACCCCTTCCATCGATCTATTACCCTGATTTCATCGCAGCCAACCAAGAAACCCGCGCTGATAATCTTATCCCTGGGCAGGACAAACAAGCGCATCTTGAACATATTCGTGCGGATATTAGGAAGTTCAAGAAGGATAACGGGTTGGATAGGGCTGTGGTCTTTTGGACTGCGAATACTGAGAGATATAGCGATATCATCCCTGGCGTTAACGACACCGCGGAAAACCTTCTCTCATCTATCAAGTCTTCCCACCCGGAAGTTTCCCCCTCCACCTTATTTGCTGTCGCCGCCATTCTCGAGGGTGAACCCTTCATCAACGGTGCTCCCCAAAACACTTTCGTCCCTGGGGTCATTGCGCTCGCTGAACTCCATAAATCTTTCATTGGTGGAGACGACCTGAAATCTGGACAAACCAAGCTCAAGTCGGTGTTGGCTGAGTTCCTGGTAAACGCAGGAATCAAGCCGCTCTCGATCTCGTCATATAACCATCTAGGCAACAACGATGGAAGGAATTTGAGTGCGGAAAAGCAGTTCAGGAGCAAGGAGATTAGCAAGAGTAGCGTGGTTGATGACATGGTTGATGCCAATCGGGTCCTCTACAAGGCGCCGGAGGTTGGAGAAAAGGGGATCCCGGTCGGGAAGGGTGAACATCCTGATCATATTGTTGTGATCAAGTATGTTCCCGCTGTGGGCGACTCGAAGAGGGCGATTGATGAATATTATTCTGAGATCTTCTGTGGAGGGAGGAACACGATTAGTATCTTCAATGAATGCGAGGTATACTTTACCTCTTGTTCTACCTTTACCGAGCTGACTCCCGTTGACATAGGACTCCCTCCTCGCTACCCCACTCATTCTCGACCTTACCATTCTCACTGAGCTCCTCACTCGTGTGAAGTACCGCAAGACTTCTTCTGGAGAGACCAAGGAGTTCGCCCCCTTGTACCCCGTCCTCTCACTGTTATCGTACATGTTGAAGGCTCCGCTTGTCAAGCCTGGTGCGCTTCTCTCTGTTCTTTTTGTCTGTATCTTCGCTAATCTTTTCTCCCTTCCTGTGTTAAACTCATAGGCACCGACGTTGTCAACAGTCTCAACAGGCAGCGAAATGCTCTCGAGTCATTCCTTAAGGCTTGTCTTGGCCTAGAAAGCAATAATGGTGATTTGTTGATGGAGACGAGGGTGTGGTAGATGACGAAAGATGTTCTGACAAGCCATAGATCAGTACAATGGCGCGTCGTGCGGTTGATCGATCAGTCGTTCGTTCGTGTCGCTCCTTCCGTCGTCGTTAAGGTTGTTCATCGTGCATCCGTATAACCCAAGCCGGAGTTCTGTTATCTTCCTTCACTGTTTTTCTTTCCGCTCTCTTCTTCATCGTTACATCGATATAAACCATAAATGTCTCATAGAGTTTGTCCTTTCGTTCGTAGTGCTGCTAGTTTCGTACCGTGTTCGTAGTTCTGTAGATCTCCCTAGAGTGATCCGGAAATATCAATACCTGAATGAACTGTTTGTTGATGTCGACTGTTAAGATCATACTCCTCGATACCTCTTCGCACAACACAGATATATGTCGGGCATCCATGTCGTGTGATAATTAATAGATATGAATACAGATACTAAATAAATATGTTGTGATAGGTAAAGAAAGATAAAAAGTAAGCTAATTATACACAGACTCACAGACTGATGAGCAACATGAGTATATGCAACGGTATCATAATCAAAGTTCGCCCAGCCCCTCAGTCATCCCAACCCTCACTAGCAGTTTCATATTCATCATCACTATTGGAGGTCCAGGTCGTATTGTCGTCTGTCGAGTCGTCTGACTCGTCTTCCCACTTCAAATCCTTTGTTGAAGGGTCGAACAATGGCGCCCCGTCAACGTTTCCCTTGCTCTGAAGTGTGCTCATCGGCTACAATAAGGAAAGATCGAGCGAAACTCATTGATCGGTGAGCTAGAGTTTGGGATGGAGACTTACCATCAAGTATTCGATAGGGATAGGTCTTAGTTTCTTTATCTTCTCCAAGGGCTCTTCTGTCTGAGAAAACGTGAGCTTGTACGATCAAAAGATAAGAAGTAGAATGATACACTTACCGAACCAAGAGTGGAGGCACTTTCAGACTCTCCTTGGTGATCATTCTTTCTCAGCTTCTTGACTAAGGACTGAGAGGAGGGATGTCGAGGTCATTTCATTGTTTATCAGAAGCACTCGATTGAATCACTTACTTTAGCCAAAGTGTTCACCTCGTCAACTTTCTTCACAGCCTTATGCGTAGCTCTCCTTTTTTCCTTCCTGAACTCAGATCCAGGAGCAAGAAGTGTTATTTCAGCGTCGCGGAGCCAGAATATAGCTCTGTTGTGAAGTCGAGGAGTCAATTGAGGACAAGAACTGCTTTTTCAATGAGAACTTACTCCGCGTATTCGTCATAAACTCGACTCGTATCATGAGAAGTCCCATTTGTTCCAATGGTTCGCATGAGCCCCACGAATTTAGAAGACTCAAGGATTTTCCGGGAACGTTGAATGCGTTGGGAGGGGAGTAGGTGGAAGGTGTATATAAGACCTTCAAGTATTGCTGAGTTCGTCCATTTATATGATGAATTGTGTTGGTTGGTAGCATCAAGCTTCTCCGAGGAAACTGCCATCGTAACAAAGAATAATGTATGTGCTAAAGTTCGAGTTTTGTTTGATGTTTATACGAGGTGGGGTGCAAGGTTTGATTGAAAATGAGAGGAGAACAAGTCCTTTTAAGATTTTCTCTTGACTCGGAGGAGGAATGATATTACGAAAAGTAAGCACAAGGACTGGACCTACATCTTATACAATACGACAAAAAACTGCGTTGAAGAAGGTCACGGAGATCTACAGTGACAACGTAGTTGACAAATGGCGTATTTGAAAGTTGAAAAAAGAATTGAGTGGTTGCTTTGACAATTTTACAATTGGAATACACCTGACGCACCTCGAACAAAAACAAACGAACCCGGAAGTGGTTGACAATAATTGTGTTTGTTGTTGATGAAGGATAATAAGGCTGAAGAAGTTGCCCCCGGCAGTTGCGTTCGGTCTGCAAGTTCTGTAGTTACAAGGTCCCGGAGTCCGAGGAAGGAGCAGTGTATACGGGAATCTGCCAACTCTACTTCCAACGAACTTCCAAAACAACACATTTAGGAACCTCAAGGAGCTAGCGTAAAAAAATGCGAACTACAACGAAGCTATCTGTTCGAACTAGAAGATAGAGCTGGTCCACGTGGAATAATTATAGCACTCGTCCATAACAGATGTTTAAGCAAATTGGCTTGTTTATTACTGATGAATGGAGCGCGCAATTTTGACGATGGCAATATGTCTAAAATAGCCGTAAATTGAGCTACTGCTTCATCTATGTTTGGTTGCTCTGAAGGATCGTCTTGAGTCATATCATCTGTAAGGGGACGCAAGAATTTGAATGTATAGAATCCTCCGTCAGTTGAAGATCAGATAGGTATAAGGTACAACACAACGACTCACATCAAGGATATGGACACGTATCGTGGCTCCAAGCAAGAATACGTCTGCAGGGAAAGGATTGATTACTTCCACTCCCGGTATCTTGCCTTCAGAGATCGGATGTGTAGTTTCCTCTAAAGGACTCACGGACGAAGAAACATAAATCCTGGAGAAGCCAAAATCAACGAGCAAGTAGCGAGGAGGGAAGCGTGTAGGAGAATAATGACGAGCTCTACCACTCCAGCCATACTTCTTTTCCGCATTGGTAGGAAGATACCCGCCAGGGTACATATATGACTGTGGCATCTATAATCATATTGTTCGTCGAGCAGTCTCTGGAGCGATTTCAGTCGAAATCGACGAAGAATGTAAGTCGAAAGCAGGTACCGATGTGCCACACCGTTTCGATGCACGTATTGCAAACCCTGTAATATCACTGAGCGACAATGTGCCCCAATGATACCAAAATACCTGAAATGTGCATCTCGAATACTTCTTTCATGATCTGCAGAGTCACCAATTGGTCGGAACCTTGCGACGCTCAGCACGGGTTGCATCCATCGCATTACGAGGATGATATGGTCAGAAGAGTCTGGTATTGTGATTGTTCCAAGAACGGGTACGCAATGATTAGACGGATTCCAAGCGTGTTCTGAATTGGAGAATGATGTCGGGACGCGTTCTTCATCAGATAACCGTTTGACACATTTCATGGCGACCTATTCGTTTAGCGTCCAGAAGAGCTGGGTGCTACACAACTTTGCGGAATTTCTGAGTCATTGAGCCAGTACGGTGGCGGCACGTCCTTGATAAGCCCATGGACAAAAGCGAAAGCTTGTTCTTTCCGCTCCTGAGATTGTAGGCATAATTCTAAGAGGCGGAGAAGGGCGGAGATTACGTCTGGAGAGAGAATGCCAGGTGTGCGGTTTGCGCCGTTACAGAAATTTGAGTATGTGCGATAAACATGCAACAAGCTTTTGTTGTTCCTAGTTCGTCATTTCCTTGTGGTTCCTTGATTCCCTCTCAAAAATACAAAAGGCCGTGGGCGTGAGCGACGTGCGGCAAGAAGATGGATTGACAAATCGTATTAGGATGATTGATATCCAGAAAACAAAAGAAAACCTGGATTCGAGTCGAAGTGATAGCTGTCCTTCATATGACTTTCGGAGGAGTTAATCAGTTACAAAATGTTGATTGACAATGATAGTAAAGGATAGTAAGAATACAAGGGGATCAGATCCAAGAGGTGTTTGCTGATGTTTATGTAAATTCACTTGCCTTCCCCCAAAATGAATCTCCATTTCAAAAACAAGGACAATCCATGAATTCAGTATATATCGCAGCGATTCTGATACCTCAACTCAACCTAAATCAGCATCTCAATGGTTCACTCTTCTTTCCTCGAATTTGATGCCGTTACCCTCTAAAGAATCTTTACGTCGGCGAAGCTCTGAGGATAGTGTCGAATGGTTCCAACGTCGAATTGCTGCCGTTCCCGGTTTTGAAGTGTTACGTGCTGCTGAGATTTGGTGGGATCAGCGATATGATTGGCTTGAAGAGAAAGGGTACATGATGAGACCGAGATATCGACCAGGTTGGAAAGCTTCATGGCTGGACAAACCACACTCTTTTCAATGCGCGGAGGATGCGTTGGTATTGCCAGTGAGTGTACCGTAATCCTACCTTCATTAAGATATATCATTGATATCACTCAAAAGTACAGATGTATGGATGCCCGCCGAACGTCCGACTCACAAGTGGTGGCTTTGAAACGCGTAAAGTCTTCTTCGGACGAAGCACGAATTTCCAAGATGTTTTCAAGCCAGAAACATGCTGAAAATCCGGCAAACCACTGTATACCACTTCTCGATGTGCTGCAAGTACCCGAGTCCGATGAAGTTGTTCTGGTCATGCGGTGGATGTGCCCAGTAAATGATCCACCCTTTCGAACTATCGGAGAGGTATTGCAATTCTTCCAAGAGATCCTACAGGTCACTGTTCTTCCTTTGTGATCTCTGAAATTTATCCCCGTCCGTAGAGATTGTTCCATCAATATGGTTATGGATGCTGGTACAATGTATAGTGACCAGTATCATCCCGTGAACTTGAGTATGAAGTATGACTGGAGTGGCGAGGCTTCCTACGAATCGCGAACTTGTCACCCTCCGAGATACTATTTAATTGACTTTGGATTCTCTAACATATATGATCCGGGCGAAGAACGACCACCAGAGGAACCCATTATGTCGGGTGGATATATGCCTCCGGAAGGAGAAAGCGACACCCTCTGCGATTCATTCATGACGGACGTGTTTTTGGTAGGGAATATGATGTTGAAACATTTTATTGACGTGAGTGCAAAAGATTTACTTGGTAAAATGCTCTAACAGTTGGACGTTGGAAATAGGGAGATACTTCGGATTTGAGGTCTCAATTTGGTATTCGTGGTCTGAGATTCTTGAGACCGCTTGTGAAGGACATGGTTCGGTTTAATCCATCGAAAAGGCCAACCATCGACGAAGTAGTAAATAGATTTACAGCACTGGTCAAGAAGATTCCTCCGAGACAGCTGCGATCTCGAGCTATCAGTATGGAAATCCCTTTTATCCTCGTCCCGTTCTTTGCGCTAAGTTCCGAATACAAATCCTGGACGCGCTCAGCTATACGTACTGGCAAGCCAACTATTCCTTCGCGCGTTTCGTGATTCTCCTCTCCTCTCCGCTTACTTTACTTTTCGCTGCTTTCTGGGTCTATTGTCGTTTACTAATGCCCTTTGAAGACTACCCTTCGACAATGTATTCATACCTTAGACGTAGATCGCAGCAGTTACAAGAATTTATAACAGCAAGCTATGACTATACAGTCTGGGTCTTTGGTATTGAGTGGAAGGATGTAAATACGTTACTGCGAAGGACAAGGGAGGATACGGCTCAAAGTCAGGCGTAACGATAAGATTGGGTTCGGAGCTTATCAGATAAGGTGGCAACGGTGGTTGCCACGCTATGATTCGCGACGATCGTTCTTACCATCCAACAGAAATCTGCAATGAAACACCATACGATTCAGAATTATCGGAATCTCTCCTACTTCTTCCCCTCACCATGTCCCTTCACAGGGATCAAATGCCACCCAATTTATCCGTGGAAGAACACGATGACGAAGACGACGGCGAAGAAATACTCGAGGCAGTGAATATCCATTCTGGCGTGCTTAAAGTAGAAGCTGCGAGTAAAGTATACGGGCGTTATTCGAGAATAGCATTATTTACAGGGTGCGTATCTAAAAATCTAAAAGAAAATTTCCCTCTGATCTCCTGAATTTAGACTCGGATTCGCAGCATACATATATTCACTGGATAATCAAACGACATCCTCGTACATTGCTTTTGCGGCTTCGGATTTGGGAGGTCATAGTCTCATCAGCTCGATTCAGACCGCTCAGAGCATAATACGTGATTAATCCCCTGTATTCATCCTCAATATTTTGCTCACTAAGTGCAATACACCAGTTGCTTGCGGCAAACCCATCATTGCCAAGTTCGCGGACATAAGCTCTCGAGGAACAGCGTATGTTGTTGCTCGTGAGTCTCTCTTGAGATCGGTCGACAAACAACAGTCTGATAGCTTCATTTACCAGTCCTCTTCCATGTTCTGGGTTCGTGCTTCTGTAGAAATCGCTTGGGTTTTGTCTGACACTCCACTACAGGCTATACCATCATCGCTTCAGCTCAAAGCATCAATGCTGTAGCTGTCGGTATCGTTCTTTTCGCAATGTATGATTATCTACTGTTCTCCAAATCCGCTGCTCATATCTTGCATCATTTTGTAGTGGATACACGTACGTTCCCAGACAACTTATTCCTTATTGTTTTTGCTCAACTTTTGCAGAGGATTGCAACTCCTCATGCAAATTATTATCGCTGATATCACAACTCTGGAATGGAGAGGCCTGATTAATGGACTACTTGCACTTCCATTCATCGTAAATTCGTTCATTGGCCCGAATATCGCTACTGCGGTCCTCGAAACAGTGGGATGGAGATGGGGATGTGAGTACCCTTCCGGTCATCGCGTGGATTTTTGTTGACCTGACCTGTACGCTGTAGATGGCATGTTCGTAATCCTCGTCCCCCTATGCCTTTCGCCTTTGATCATAACCCTTCTATGGGCCGAACGAAAGGCGAAAGTCCTTGGTCTTGCCCCCGTTACAGAACTTTCCTCTGAATCCTTACTGGGGCGTGCTCGAATATTAGCGGAAGAACTGGATCTTTTCGGCCTGGTCTTAATTACAGCGTGTATAGCCTCAATTCTAGTTCCCTTGACATTGACAGGAACCGTAAACGGAGGGTGGTCGAATCGTCAGCATTCTTTATCCTTATTGATTTATGCGCTACTTACACTTGAACTCCTGGATTAGCTTCCATGATCGTTTTAATCGTCCTTGGGTGTATCCTGCTACCAGTTTGCGGCGTATGGGATCTGCGTTACGCGAAATATCCCGTTGTTCCTCCGCGATTTTTCAAGAACCGGAGCGTCATCATCGTGTCCCTCATCGGAGCGCTTGACTTCGTGAGCTACCAAGCTTTGACTGCTTCGAATCAAACATACTGAGGAACGCTTAGTGCTCGTACTTCTTGACATCAGTCTATCTTTATTCATTCATTATCGTTGTTAAGCCGTGGCAAGTCCTTGTTTTGCTTGTCAAGGAGTGACCTTATATTCATTCATTGATACCAAAGGTCACTCTTATACGCCTCCTACTTTTCTCAAATTCAATCCATCGCCCTCACTATTTTCGCAATCCTAGCCGGAGTAATCATGAAGTATACCCATCGTTATAAAGTCGGTCGTAAAATCTCATCATGTTGCCTGTTTTCTCATCCACAACGGAATGCTAGGCCCTTCTTGTAACCGGTCTATGTATTCGCCTTGTGTAGGTAAACTCATGTTCTCCTGGGACCCTGCTGACTTATTTTTTCTTTCGAACAGTGGCGTCGCTCTAATGATTCGCTGTAAAACCTCTTTTTACTACTTGTCGAATCCCCTTTCTCAACCGTGATCTTCCGTACAGCTCGTGGCGCAAACGGTTCCGACACAGAACTAGTTTGGACTCAAATCCTTCAGGGAATCGGAGGTGGCTTTGCTGCCTCTTGTTCACAAGTCGGCGCTCAGGCTAGTGTACCCCACGTCGATCTCGCCATGACCACTGCTGTTATTTTGCTGGTGACGGAGATCGGTGCTTCTATCGGCGGTAGTGTCGGTGAGTCTAGAACCGTACTTAAAATCCTATTTTTGATGTGAAGATTATACAAATGCTCAGCCGGAGCAATATGGACGAGCAAGATGCCTAGCAAACTTGCACAGTACCTGCCTGATCTTTCGGAGAAGGAACGTGCTGCCCTGTTCTCCTCAATTACTGATGTGACCAAATATGAACGGGGTACGCATGTTCGTGAGGGCGTAATTCTTGGTTAGTGTACTAAATCACAAACTACTGCGAGCTTTAACCTGATTTTGTCCTCCTTTTCTATTTCACCGACTCTGAAAGAGGAGGTCCTTGTTCGCACCAAATGGCAATCAAAAGTCGTGAGTTTTTGTGATGGTAGTGTCCCAGTGACACAAATGTGCAGTGCCTTTCGGGGGTTCCGGCACACTGGTTTGCAGCATTTTGCAGTCTGATGCAAATGTGCTGTACTTTCGGGGTTTCCGGTGCACTGCAGTGCACTGCTCAGAGAGGCTCAGAGCTGTTCCCATCCATCTCAAGGGGAACACACACATTTTTAGATTCAACATGGCAATGGGAGAGAGGTAGATAGATGTACCCTGGACATACCTGCTTATGCTGCCAGGCTACTATCTGGGTTTGTTTTTTAAGCACACTTTCTACATAGAAAGGGAAATTAGGTTTCATATTCAACTAAAATATTGACTTTCAGAGTCGGGGACTGCCGTGCGGGGCGCGGCGCTAAAGGATCTATATGGATGTTCAGCGTACGGCGATGTAATGAGGGACCTCCTCATCCTTGCCACAATTCTCAGTATTTTCCCTATTTTCCTTGCGATGTTTTTACCGAATTGGTATCTGGGAAACAAGCAGAACGCTGTTAACGATGAGGATTTAGTTGATGATCTGGGTCGACGGCGAATGAGTCGTGCTCGGGGTAGAGGGGGCTATACGCCTTTAGCGGGGGATGAGAGTGAAGCGGTTGCTGAGCATGCTTATAGCAGGATAAGTGTATCATTTACTGAGGGGGAAGTGGAAGATTGCTAAAGAATCACGACTTCTCGGGTAGTTCTGAAGGGTAGCTGCATGGTATTGATCTGACAGAGTTCGCGCTCTTAGGGCCCGACTCTGGGGTTCTATCACAATACCAACTTTTGTAGACCTATATAGATATGTGACTATCATTCACCTTCTTTCTTCTTTCTTACTTAAAAAATATCGCTCGAGTTTTGTTATCATTCGTCATCGAATCGAATCATTGACAAGGAAATCTTTTTGTCATACAGCCCCGGACGGCCTCAAAATGAAAAAACCCCGGGACGCTGACGAGCACTTAACCTATGACAGTGAACGCCCCCCGAACCGGGACGTATGATCCTGAACCATCGGTTACTATACATTGACTCCTCGAAAGTAGCCTTCTGCTCCCTGTGAGACCGGGCACGCTCTCTTGATTGAGGGAGTTCTTGATTGAGAGAGTTCTTGATCATACCGTCATAACAAATAACACCTACACCAATTGCCCATTTACATCGGATGGAACTACAGTGGTACACAAAAATCGCCAGCTATCGAAACCCATTCATCAAATTCCACTATTGCCGGGGAAAAGATGTTTCAAAGTTTGCATGTACCGCCCCTCTTCATTCCGTGTAATTAAGCCATAGGCTCCACTGCCTTTCTTCTCTAGCATGACCTTCATATACGGTAAGTAGTTTGCGACCAGATCGATGTTTATGTCAAAATGTTTACGAATATTCAGCTCCAGCGATCGCATTGTGTTGTAAATCCATAGCACGTCCATGTCGGCACTGGGGGATGATTTCAAAGAATCATGGAGCAAATTCTTCCCCGACTCAGGCATAACGAAGCTACCCATCAGTATCCCAACATCCGCATTGTACCTTTCTGACCCCCCCTTGACCCATTTTCCATCCTGGAACGTAGTGTAATAAGGCACTCTGTCGATACTCAAGGTCCACATTTCGTTCGGAGCGTCAATAAGGGCAGGTATTAGTTCTTCTTCATCGCGAGTGTCGGAGTCAAGATATGTCGACCCAACTTCCTCAGGATGCCTCCATGTACGTACTAAAAATATTTTCATCGTATCTATTTTGTTATTGAATTAAAACCTTGATACATGGAACATTCAACCACTGGAATGATAACTCACATTGTGGATGGGGCGAGGGAGCGGCAAGGACCGACGCAAAGAAAATCGAGAGAAGACAGATAATAGGGAGTGAATGCATCGGAACTTTTGTTAGGGTTGAAAACACTGGCGGTAGATTCAGTAGGTATAGAATATGTAATGACATGACTCTTACCGCAGATGAACGATGTAGCGGAGAATACAACAATGGAGATATTGAGATCAAGTCAAGAGTCTGAGAGTTGTGATGCTGTGGTTTGAAACTGGGAGTCGACGAGAGCGTGAGGCAATGTTTGACGAGGGCTATTGAGCTGAAAACACAGGTAGAAAAGGTCAGAGGGATATGTGTCCATGACATGGTAGGGTACACACTGGGAAGAGCAGGCGCAGAAGTAGATTTGACCAGCAAATCTATATTCCGATGTGAATAACACTAATAAATCATCAGTGAACGGTCAATTTGTTAAAAGAAACATTGGACTTCGTACCGAAGCAGCGTCGTTGGGTGTTGTGGCATATTGTATCCAGCTTTATACCTGCGACTGATAGGTCAGTTTGGGTTTGGGACAATATATCACGCACATAAGACGTGCACAGATAGCGAATTTCCCTGTGATCTGAGCGAATTAACAATCTTCAGCCGGGGGAACACCTATACTAGGAAGACTTGAGGGATTTTGACATGCTGGTCCCTGACATATCCGAAAGGTGAGCGCAGAACTATAAGTTCTGCTCAGAATCCATTGATCGGACGGGTTGGGATTTAGGACTAGGAGGATACATAGATATCTGTTGAACCATGACCCATAGAAATGTGGGAGCCTCAAGCTTGTATATGCATGATCAGGCAGGATCGTTTAGGATTGTCTTACTGGTTAAATAGATGATACACCGCCATGATACTACCTGATACGACCGGATATCTAAAGGAATCAGGTCCGGAATCGTGTGGGGCGCTTGCGGGGTTGACCTCGCTTCGGTGCACCACCATGGTACGACCTGATACGACAGGATGCGACAGGATAAGACCTGATATGACCGGATATCCAAAGTAATCAGGTCCGGAATCGTATGGGGCGCCTGCGGGAAAATTAACCTGCGTAATCAAGATATCCTCAAGAGAAAAACATGAGCATACGACAATTATAGAGAGAAAGGTTTATTTTTAACCTAACCTGAAATTCGTTCGTAGCTCAATGCAAGGCGAGCCATATGAGGCCATATGTATGATGAAGTGGGAACCTTCTCGAAACAAGCAGGAAGACTCATATATACCGTATTCATATACCAAATTGGCGGGTCGCCGGCTAATAACGAGATCCGAAATCGCCAAGGTTGTCTAACATATTGACTTTGTATGACTTATTCCGCCTTATCTTCGGAGACGGCCGGACTAGTTGACAAATATAGGCAAGCGGCTATATTTGGGCTACATACAGATAGACGGACACAAAAGTCCATCTGGCTTATGTCAGGTGGCCATGGACCGGCCTCTCATCAGAGCTGTGCGGCAGGCACTCCGATATTGGCTTGATGGGGAGGGTGCCCCCCAGATCCATCACCCACACCAAAAATACCTACACACATGCCGTGGTCCCCGATGCTATGCCGATGTTGCAAATCGGATCGGGTAACCATGTGGACGGCACCACATGGCATACTCCACCCCGTGAATAGGGAGTCATGATCTATCATTGCAAAGTAGAACCGGCGGGTTAGGGCAGCGGTTAAGCCCTCTGATGAGCCCCTTCGCAAGGGCGAAACCCGCACAAAGTCCCAACCTTTCGGGTTCGAACCCCAAAAGCTGCCTACTTATGTTGCAACATCAACGACGACGAAGATGGTGCTTATTGTTTGTGGTAACTAGGAATCGGAGCACGCCCGCTGCGGTGAAGGGTCTTATCCTATTGAAGAATATTATGTCGACAGAAGAAGGGGCTGTGGAACAGCGTGACTGGTGCGCTAGAACGAGGTGATTTCGTTGATGGATGTCGGATGAGGCCTTGAGCTTGACGATTGAGGCATTAACGTTGAGGGATTATTGATGTTGCGATGGATGCGTATGGGCGTGCGGTAAGATTGCGTTAGAAAATTGTTTGCCTCAAATATAGATGATCTTAGGATGAACGGATGACTCTAGAGAAACTTGAAGAAACGAAAGGGATTCGCATGGTGAGCGGTGGTGGGCTCCAAAAGAAAAGAATCCAGGATGGAGGACAAGCAGTAGAAAAAGGCTGAGATGTTACGAGGATCTGTTGGCAAGGTATAACGGTCTGATGCGTTACAAGCTCACCCGTTTACCCGGGTCGATAACAACAATTGATCACTTCAACACCACTTCTGCTAACCCAGTAACTAATGACCATTTATCCGAGCCGTTGCTTTCAGTTTCTAGTCGATGTTTGTACAGTGGAATTGGGCATGTACAACAGCGATGTAGAGAGGGATAAAATCCTGAGGATGTTATGGGAGATGCTGCTGAGAGATTTAGAGACATCTAGCAAAGAGTGTAGAACCCTATAGAACCGCGGCTTTGGCTAGCGATGAGCGTACAAAACAGATGTTATTAAGAAGAGTAGACCGCGGCCCGCGGGTGGCCGGAGAGGTAATTCTCAGGAGCTTGGTGGTCAAAGCGTAACATATATTCAATAACCAAGTAGCGCCGGCAAGCGGCAGGGCCCGCTACAGTAACACCGGCCAATGCAATACAGGATACAGACCAAATATTTTAGACCGAACACGGAAATTCCGTTCATCATTCAAAAGTAATAACGCATAAAACAATGAACACAGAAGCAGTGCTGCAGTACCGTTTATTAAAAAAACTATAGCACATAAGTTTACAGTCCTGCCAAAAATCTGTGATGAAATCAGGAACATGAAGCTAAGAAGAGAAGACGCAATACCTAGCCTCCACGAGCATGCTTTGAATTAAACCCCTACACACAATGTCATCTCTGCACAAGGGCCACGACGTGAAATACAATCCTGGGTAAACGAGCGGCGTATCAAACATCGGTGTCGTCTCTGCACGTCGAATCCATGCGCTTGTCACCCCAGTAAAAGCTATAAACCCCACTGAATCGACGTCGGTTGCAGTGAGAGCAAGGGAGCAAATCTCGGCCGCAGATTCTCCATCTGTTCTCAAGCTACGAGACAAGTTGCACAATAAAAAGGCATGTCATACACACCCCCAACTGATCCCACAAAGACCCTGAAATACATGATATGACCAAGTCAGCATGGCTAGGAATTCCACGGCAAGATGTGCAGTGCAATGATTGTCTGTGTGATGTGGGATATGATCCATACTCTTGAGAATCATCAACATTTTGACCTCAACCCCATTGCCTTTGCCAATGTATGCAGACCGAGGCAGCGGGAGGGGCTACGAGACCGTCAACCTTATGAACGATGACATATCTTGGACAAACGCAGAACATCGGATAGCAGTAATTGAATTCCGAAATAACGAGGCGCGGAGCAACTGCATGGATGACAAGCTCACAGTGAGTTGATCTGGCAACGACGACAACGATGCTACAGAGCACAAGGACCAGACGATGAATCCGCAAAAATCATACCGTTGTGCATTGATGACAAGTTCACAGAGGGCTAATCTGTCAACGTGGACGACGAGGCAATGGGTGTACAAGAACCAGATGGGGCATGTGCCAAAATCATACTATCATATTGACGGTAAGCCAACTGAGGTGCAGCTATCTCCATATGAGATGTTATGAGACCATCGGTCAATGCAGCTTGCGTTGGAATATGTGTCGACGAAGTCGGGCCTAACAACCGATAAAAAACAAGACGAAAACAAATACACAACAACTTATCGAACGGGCTTGAGATGGAAAAGAAGGTGACAGAATCAGGCCTAACAACCAATAAAAAACAAGAAAAAGTCCACAACAACCTACCGAACGAGCCCCAGACGGAAAAGGGGGGGTAACGGAATGCAGAGGGCGGGTTGAAGACAGTGTATAGCCAAGAGAAAATCCGTGCAATTGAGCCTCTTGCAAGACTGCCAGATTTGTAGACCGAGGACAGTATTGAAGCCTTCCAAATCATCGAATACGAAAAAGTCGGCGAGTATCGTGTACGCTGTGTACGGAGTCCTAAATGTAACCAAAGATTGGAAGGTACCGGGGTTGCAAGGGGTTTCACAATCAGCAGTAAGGAACGAGCGAGATATTGCAGAGTAAATATACTCCGGTCAAAGGCAGCGGAATCGTTATGTCCTCTGATAATTACGTGTAGGTGAATTGCTAAGAGGGATGTGAACCTACACGCAAAGCTGCAGATTTTGATACCAAAAACGTGGAATGATCAACAGTAAACGTGGTTTTGACACGAGAAACGTGGTTTTTGACAGCATCGGACCATTTTCCTCAGTTTTGAAATGTTGGGTTCACTAAGACCCTCTACCCTAAAGGTAGCGGGAATAATCAATGCCTTGTCCTTTGTTGGCTCTTTGTTTGTCATATAACTATAACTCCAATCAAAGAAAGTCGAGAGACGGCACAGTGCCAAGGACTGCAACAGCGACGAAAACAGGGAACGGAATGGCACGAGGACGGCATGCATATACCCTGAAGAAAAACGATGTTCCCCAGAGACGTTGACGTCGAGGAATGTTGTGGACACAGGGGATTAAGAGTGAGTTATGAGCTATGAAGGCACTTCTCTGAAGAGCGTTAAATCGTCAAGTCAAAAGACCGTACTCTCGAAGTCAACCCCTTTTTCGGGGCTCATGCACTTGCGCGCAGTTTGTTCATTCCAAACAAACGTGTCATAAGCGTAATCAATGGCTACAGAAGAAGCGTTCATACTCAGAATTTTATCTGTGCCTCAACAATTTGTCTTTTTCTGCATCCTCATTAGACCTCAATTATCAGTCCTTCCCAAGTTCCAACATGCGCTTCGCTATTCCATCCGTCGCCCTTCTCTTCCCCATTCTGTCCCATATAGTCACCTGTATTAGGGACTTCTCAAGTGCGCCATGACTGTCGAATATGATATAACCGGATACGATACGAGTAACAGAACAACGTTGTGAGAACATCCAAGCCTCACTATTGTATGTAACAATCATATTTATTGCACTATTTGATATACTGATATTCTGAGATTATAGCTGAAATAGGCGGTCAGGTTCCGGAAGCCCCACAGACGGATTAAGTCCCCCATGTGGTCCAGCCTATCCTAGGCTGTTTTTGGCGGCTACCCTTAGTATGTAAAGTCCTGAGTGCAACCCTCTAGTTCCCCCATCCTGATCCTGCCAGACCCTTGCAACTATCGAACGGAGTGATAATGCTAACCTGAACTAACTGATTAGTTTATACTTCTTTGACAGAACGTGGATACTTAGCTCAAGTATGCGGGTTTCCTGAACCGCTTATTAGATATACGGATGTTTCGGGTAGTGAGCAATTCAACTTTGGTTGTATTTAAGTGACAATATGAGATTACTACTGAGAAGAATTTGTGTCTCATTTCAGATGTGTTAGACATTATTCGAAGAGGCGTTGAATAATTGCAGCTTTGACCAAGCGTGAGAGTTGTTTCTTTTCCGATGAGGAACGTACTCCTCCGCTCGCTCGCTAATGATATGCTTGGAATTACCGAGGTTCAACGTCTTATACAGCCCAGGCAAAACTCCCACCACAAGAGGTCGCAGAGGGATAATCATGGCTCGACATGGCTTGAATCGGAACCACTTCTAACCGACGTTTAAGGAGTGCCGTGGTTACTTGAAAACTCAATGCGGATTTCACTGCAGCTTTATGTAGGCGAAGACGAAGAACAAGATGGGCGTTTAAAAGGAAACACAAGAATTCAGAAGCTCGCTGCAGATGGTATGTTACAGGTATTTATCATCGAAATATAATCTCAATTACCCGTCTATCCAGCTCTCAATCCGTTCACTCGTGTTCACCACAACACATTGTCAACCAAAGCCCATCTCGCCGCCCTTCAAACCTCCTTTTACTGTTATTGATCCACCACAACACATTGTCCGGCCAAACCAAGGCCCATCTCGCTTTTTTTCTGTCTTCGGGCCATCGTTTAGACCCCGATTCATTCTGACCTCAACGTCATCTATTCTCCAAGCAGTCAGCGTCTTACCTGTTACAAAACCACCTCCGTCCTCAACAACTTCCACCCAAACCCCTTCATGATTTACTCCTTCTAGATCTGCTTGGACTCTATGATGAACAACAACAGAACTTATTATCTCTTTTCCTCCAACAATACCCTTTTCTAGAAACTTCTCTGGTAGCTCAATTGTGACATTGATGAGAACGACCTTCAAGCACACAAGTGAAAGCCAAGCTAGTTCAACACTTCCATTTATTTTCAACGGGTCATTTAAAATGCGACTTATTCTAATCAAACTAAGCACCATCGTAAAAGCTGGTTCCTCACACATACATAATAAGCTTCGACGAGCTTCGGAACCATGGGTCTGATTTCCGGCATCTTGCGTCGAAGGCTCATAATAACCTCGTCGACTTTTGACATCTCCTTGAATTGCGTCCAATCCCCATCTGAGTTTCTTATATTCTGTGCATTGTCTGGCATCGCTCGAAATTCGCCCGTCAGAGTCCAGCGCGCTGGGACTTTGCATTGTTGTAAGTAGAGTAGGGCATCTTTGTCGGACATGGTGGTTCGTCGTTCGATGTGGATATTGTGCATAGAAGAAAGAGAAAAGCTAGGTGTCCCTCCGGGTGGTGTGATGCGAGATAATGATGATGAGGGTGATTGGTTCTCCTTGGACTGAAGATGGGTATGTACAGTATTAGTATGAAATGGAAAATCAATCAATGAATCGATTGGAAGAGAACTGGACGAACGTTGGACGACTCGCTTGTATGGTCAGGGTGAGTTGGGGCCGTATGATTGTCAAAGATCTATCATGATAGTAAGGATGAATGGATGTTCGAGTGTGAATGTAGGTGACGAATTCGGGATCAGCCTTACATATATACCTGATTCTAGATAAGCAGATGGGATCAAATTACTGATACAAATGTGTTGCGCAACTTTTGCGAGCCATTGGTATCAATGGTATATATTTAAAACACCACTGCCAAGTTTTATGAAGTACACTCTCTAAAATGGACTGCACTTAGACCTATTGTCTCGTTTTGCTCTACTTGCTGACCGACCCATTGGCCAATCATGATGTCCTCCTTGGACAGATACATGATCATAGAAGGACAACACATTAACGCAAGTACTTATTGGCGTGTATCTGAACCTATGTACAACTTATTACTGAGCTTCACCTAGTAATTAATTGTTAACATCGCAATATCTACCTCATTTTTCCTATAGTATGTTATATAGTTTGGTGTTGCAATAGGTACAATCCTGAAATTCAAATATTTTTGTATGAGTGCTAATATGCTGTCTAATGTGTTATAAACATACCAACTGCATCTTTATTCTTGATTGTAGCATCCATTCCACAATCCACTGTGGCACATGATAGTTCGAATGTGAAGTATGCTCCGGATTTGCAAGGAAAGTTTGAAATAGTGGTTGTCAACCCCATTCTAGCATCTAACTGTCCCAAAAAGGTGCGAAGAGGGGGTTTTGTGTTCCATGTTATGTTCCGTGAATCAAGTTTTGAAGGTTGAGAAACTGCCCAAATATGTATCTGGGATGCTTTCTGCTCATCAAAAATTGGGGCTTCAAAGCTTGAATTCCCTGTTAAGGTCATTGGGACTGCCAAGACTAAACTGCAGTTTTCCATTCCGTAGTCAATGGTTCGAAATTGAATGATTGTTGAGATCTGATATCTACAGTGAGAAATTCACAGAAGTTCATGAATAATCAAATTCACCTCTGATGATACCTGAAGTTTCACGGAGTAAACAGGAACCAACCCATTATCCGTTATGAGTGTTTCGTCTGGATAATGAATTGATTTCCCTTGTTGTCTAGAAGAAGTCTGCACTGATACACGAGGGAGGTTGATAATTGGGTCATAGACAATAGATCTGGATCTGTTTGCATATAGTTCATCAAAACGGATGTAGGTGCTGCGTTCTAGAGTGGCAATTGGCGAGGGCAAGGGTTTAAGGCTTAGCCATTGACTGCTTTGTAGATATAGCACGCCAGCATACATTGCAAGGCACACATCAGTGGCAATGCAGAAGGCCACTATCAGGAGTAGTGCTCTCATGAAAAATGGAATTTGTATGGATTCGAGTACTGTACAAATGCAAGTGAAGGATTTCAGAGAAGCTCAAAAACAGAGGCTCAGAAAGTGGTACATACCATTGATGTGATGCACTGGGTCATTATCTGATTGCTGAAGAACACTGTAGTGCATTTTGTTAGCAATGTATTTGGCTAGCAGCAGGACATAAGTTTTGGTAAGTTGATTCCTTAAATACAGTTCTGGATATCAAATTGTGGAGCATATCTGTGTATATGGAATCGAGCATTCCTTCCATCATGAAGGATGGCTATATCCAATAAACATGCTCAATTAATGATTGCTTAATGATTGCTCGGTACCAATGAATTGTCAAATCAGAATCAGACCATTTGCACAGCTAGTATTGATTATTTCGACAAATTTGACACGGAACTGAACATCCACCGATTGACACATGGCCAGTGGAATGTTCACAAGTACGTTGACCAACAACTATACCGCCAAAGCCGTCCTGAATGTGCTTAAATAAATTTGATCTAGCTTGCTTGATTAGTGAGGTAATTTCAATTGATACAAATCTCATGTTTATAAGGTCGTGAGCACAAGGCCCTCTTCTTTATTTTGTAATCATGCTTGTCTCAACATCATGCTCAGTGATCACACTATCCATCCTGAGCATTATCTCAATAACATGGTCTTACACCTTTTTGGAATTCATCCACACCTTTACAAGCAGACACACCCCTCAGACTGTACACAATTACTGTGAGTGAAGATATTATTTCTACTTATAGATTCTCTCACAGTCTGTTAAATAGCATTCCAGGGTAATGATATCCCGGAAATGCTGCAACTGGATTTTGGAGCCTTCATCCAATTGGATGCTGAGGAGACAGTTCATTTTGCTTTGAATTATCCTAGTGCTTCAGAGAATGAATGGTTGAAATCAGAGCCATATGGAAGAGGGGTGATCCGTCTTGGGCCAGATAAACGTGCTTTCCTTGTTTCAATATTCCACCAACTCCATTGCTTGCATTACCTGGAATCAGAAATTCGGAATGGCAACAAGACGCACTGGCCACATTTACAACATTGTCTTAATATCTTAAGACAATGGACATTGTGCCAGGCAGATATAACACTGGAACAAGGCAGTTTTATGAGCAAGAACTTCACTGCTGATCGTTGGGGTGACCAATATATTTGTCGAGACTGGAACATACTCTATGATGAGATGAAGAAGAACTGGATAGAATTCTACAGATATCGGGTAGAAAAGGGGATAATCAAGGTGATGGATGAACCAGTCATAGTCTGAATGATTAAAGCGAACAGGTTTCTTCTTTATCAAGTATCATTACTGGTATAAACTATGAATTCTGCTATGAATGTATTTTTTGATCAACCATTACTCCGCCACTCATATCTGCATGTCTCCCTCAATATACTTTTCTTATTCAATATTGTATCTTGTATACTTGGTCATGATTCTCCTCCAACTCTGAGTATGTTTACTGGATATAGCCATCTTGCAGCATGATGGAAGAAATGCTCAATTCCATATAGATGTGCTCCAAAATTTTCGAGTCCTGCACATCTGCAAAAGATGTTAGAACTAGCATTAGTACAATCACTCAGATCCTTGAATAAGTCTCTGGAATGAATACTGCACAGTATTTGGTATGAAAGCCACAAAGTATAAGTAATTGCAAATTCAACTGATTGATAAACTTGTAAAGGTATTCACTTCAGAGATGTAAGTCATGAAATCAATACAAGGCTGAAAGATAACACCTCGAAATATTGCTCTTTCAGCAGCCTCAAAGAGTAATTGCCTGTTGCTCTTTTATACATGGCATATATTTGACTGTATGTTCTTACACCAGCAGTTGTGATAAAACAATTATGTCTGTAGAGAATTTTAAGACCTGGGCCAAAATGGGTCTTAGGGTAGGTTTTGGTATGTGGAGGTTTATGTTGTAGCGTGCTAGGAGCAGGCTGGAGCTCGAAGGGAGCTACGAGAACCGCGACCGAGGACGGGAATGACCTAGTAGTGGTTGGAACGACGAGAGGGTGACCCTTGAGGGGTTCCTCGGAGGTCCAGGGAGGTCCCTAACGTGTAGGGAGGTTCGGGAAGAGTGCGGGACCGTACGATATTGCGTAGTAGGAGTTGTACTCGCTAGAACGTCAATATAGGATCGAGTAGGTAGTTTATGCAACTGGGTCTCGAGGGTGTAAGCTCCCGAGAAGGGATACGCCAGGGAGGGTAGGTCCCTGGGGGCTAGGTTTGAGGATGGTCGTCCTCGAGTGTGGGAGGTGGTAACGGAGAAGCAATACGTAGTTCGACGTTACCTAGATCGAGGTCCCGAAGCTTACGAAGTAGCTAGGGAGCTCTGGGAGGTTTGGGGAAGGGTAGCTCACCAAGCGGGTAGGCGTTGGGGAGCTTTAGTAATGTTCGAGGGAGCTCGGAGACTCACTCGGAAGGCTTAGACTTGAAGTAAAAGCGTATATTCGATCGTATAGACGATCAGAGAGACAATAGACAGTAGTAGAGAGAAACAGAGGTAGAGAAACAGAGAGTAGAGAGAATTCCGTATAGGTAGCAGGTACAAAGGGACAGGGACTGGACCTATGTAAAGGGTGTGTGTTCAAAATATACCAAGCTGGGGATCCTTAGGATATACGAGTACTTATATAGACAGGAGGAAAGGATCAGGGGAACATTGTGTGAAGTGGACATCTAAAGGGGATGATCTAAGATATATGAGAATAGGCTGATGGGTGCGTGGACGAGTTCCCGGGTCTGTCAAGCGGTGGCGGTTGTGGAGGTATCGGGTTCTCGGATACGGTTTGAGGAGGTTTCGAGATGGCGTCTAGGGAGGGAGGGGAGGTTCCCATGAGGCAAGAGGGAGGTTCGGGGTGTTACTTGGGATAAAGAAGGGAGGAGTACTGCGTTGTGGCTTGGAGCCAGCGCATGACAAGAATCTTGAGTACAGTTGTGTCCTGGCTGTGATCAATGTTTGGGTGAATTGAGGATGAACATATTTCCTGTAAACAATCCCCATGGTGTCAGTTCATCCATCCTTCCAACTTCATGTAGCCCCAGGCCACGATAAAATGCAGCCTAGTGACCCAGTGAATGTCAGATACTGATCAACAAGCAAAATTTTGATAAAATACATTTGAGTCAGATTGTGTACCAAGGCAGAGAGGGACATTTTCCATTGCAGCCTGTATCGAGGTGTAATTTGACTCATTGGGATGACCAGCAAAATCAATAATGATTACTTACCCGAGCACAAACGGCTTTAATGATAGCCGAACCGAGTCCTTGTTGTTGATAAGCAGGATGTGTAGCCATTATGTTACAGTACCAGCTATCGCGCTCTGTCTATGAGAAGTTAAGCATGCTTCAAGGGATTATAAATAAGACATCTGACAGTTGGTCCTAGCACTCTGCTCTTGAATTGACGAGTTTTGGGCCCAAACTGAGAAAGGGATAGGGTTATTCTGTACTTTAAATGCTTGGGCTGATAGATATACGTACATCCTCTATGATCCATTGTTGATATTCTGGAGCAATCTGGCAAAAAAATTTGGTGAAACCCAAAGCACGTTGTTCTTCACTATGAACGCAATAAGGTTTGATAGGTTGAATGTAAATATGACCCCTCACGTTGCGTATAAGACATTTCCCGGTCCAAACCAAACTCCAATCGACATAATCGGGTCCAAAATAGAACTATTGGATGATACATAAACTGCACCGCTATGAAATCCTGCACAAATCATGGCCCTCCACATAGGTTCATCAAGGCTAGAATCGCCTCCTGTGAAGATCTTGGCAGCGATATCTAGTGCACTGATAGGTTATATATGCTGGTATTGGAGCACACACACCTCCACTGTATGCCTTTACACAGATATCCACGATGGCATTTAGCTGTGACTCTTTTCAAACCAATTGATGAACAGAAAAAGGAGCCAAGTAGTTCTCAAAACTGACCTGTTGGATGTCTTAGCTCATAGACATAGATATTCTGTTCAGCATTCATGGCGGTGGGATATGTGAGATACCAGCGGTACAGTCCATTATAAATGACTGAAGTACAAAGGCTATGTGTGAGAGAATGCCATTCATTGTTGCCGTGGTGTTAAGATATCGACATGAACTGTATCAATTGATCACACAAATCAAGGACCAAATGCAGTTAGCTCAGATTGAACACATTGATGAGAAGAGAATGATGATCATTCATAAGTCCCATGTGTGACCTGTGCACTGAGTAACACCACATCAGGAATCAGGGCGTAAATCAAGGAGATGACCCGAGAAACTGTCATAACATCAACCACCATATATGCAACATTTTATCATAATCTTCATTTGAAAACTTTGAAGGAAAACGTGAAGATCAATAAATGAATTGGGAAAGATAGAAGAAAACGACACTGGGAGTTGGACCAAGGTCATTTACACCCTATAAACAATAAACATTGTTGTCAAGTACCTAACCAACAGGTTTGGCAACGATGGACTTAAACACTCTTGCATAGCTGATTACTTATAGCACGTTTAAAGATGACATTGGGTTGAGGAAACTCCAGGGCAGCAGCTAAGAGACATTGTTAGTGATATAACAAGGTTATATCAAAAATCCTTTTTTTCACCTTCAGTTGTGTCACCAGCCACACGTTTGAAAACAGCATTTGGTTGCGGAGATTCAAGAGCTACAGTCAGTAATTTGTCAGGCACAAAGACATTTTCAAATCCAAAGAGAATGTGAAATACCTTCCAAGATTTCCTTTGGACCATTGCGTCCAGCTATCTGTGGAATATGTGAAATGCAATCTAGGTGAAACTCATCCTCTGAGTGCAAGTGCAATGAGCAGGTATATCTCTGATCTGACCTACAGGCATAGCAGCCGAGTACACAACAGTGACAATGACAAAAACAAGCAAGTGCATAGTGAGTTGCAAGTTCATGATAAGTAAGAGAGTCGGAGAATTATCCTGAGCTTTCACATGTATATAAATCAGGATTGTTTTATTCCAATCGAGTACCAAATTATTGGAAAAACTATATTTGGAGGCTCTTTGTTTTCCAAGTACAGAGTGCTGCGCTTCTATTTCCAAGTACAGAGTGTTGTGCTTCTATTTCCAAGTACAGAGTGTTAGGCTTCTATTTCCAAGTACAGAGTGCTGTGCTTCTATTTCCAGCTACGGGGTGCTCTGCTTCTGTTTCCGAGTACAGAGTGTTGTGCTTCTATTTTCAGTAAAGAGTTTTGCTATCCTTTATTCCAAAATACAAAACATTGTAAGGGACCTATGTAATATAAGTTTCCTGATTCTTTTGAACTGCCCGGAAAACTTCATGCCAATCATTACACTCATATGTGTCAAGACTCTGAGCTTTTGGTGTGGGTATTGCCACCACAGGGGAGAGATATACATCCGAACGGCAAAGTATCATCTGCCGGAGATGATTAATGCAATGCTGAACCAGATCAGAAGGCACAGCAGCAGACATATGATAGCCGTGTATGATTTCTTTCCGCACAATATCGAGGCATTGTAGTTGATGGAAGAGTGAAATGGTGAATGGTTTGTGGTCATCCTGCAAGTAGACTATGCCTTCACCAGGATACAATAATGCCCATTCCTCATCTGCTTCAGGAGAATCCAGTTGATAGTGAACTGTTTCCTGAAGAGACATCCTGACTTTTTTCAGAGTTAGATTCCATGTTTCCGATTGCAGTGGAGTAGCATATATTGCTTGAAGGTCGAATAAGCATAATAAAGATCATTGTAAAACACAATACTCACCATGCGAGATCTCTTGTTTCATCTCATAAAAATGTATTGAGGTTTTAAACCAAACTATACCACACATTTTGGCTAGAATGATACACCAAAGGGACAGAATATACCATGCTGAGAGGTGCATCTGTTGAAGATACTGATGTGTCATTAGAAAGAACATCCTCCCTTTATGTGGTTTGTCCAGTCACTCAATTTGGCTTCGGAAAGCAGCAGATGGACCCTCATAATTATTACATCCAATGAGTTCAGTCAATCGTACTAAAGCTTAAGTTGGCCTGAGAAAGCAGCGAATAAGCACCCATGTGCACATCAATGGAGCTACAGTAACGCCGGGAATCCCGCATACAGCACATAAATGATCCACCAACTATTATGCTAGTGAGTTCAATGATTTATTAGATAACGGTCCTAGCCTTACGGAACAGCATTGTGGCCGGACTCATATCCTGATTTCATCAGAGAATCTCGGGAGAACGTGATGAATTTTGTTTCAGATACATTAAGTATCATGTAATAATCAAAGATTGGCACACTCAATTTCGGAGGCAGGTCAGATATAAATCAACAAATCATTATCCTGAGCCGCCGTAGAAAGGCTCTCTCCTCACTAGTGTCCTATCCATAGGCTCATTGAGAATATGTCAAGCAGCACTATAGATCTTCCGCTGGAAAGATCACTCTATGTAGGCAACTTTATCCGAGGCGTACTATATGGTTTGTGATTTGTTTGCACAATTGTCTTCAAGTTTTTTAACTGTGGTATGAAGGAATTGAGCTTTTCACTTTTGCCCAAGCTGCTCACACTATCCTTAGTCAACCACCACATTCAAACCATCGCGGACAAACATTCTATGTTTATTATGGCGCTGTACTGATCATGATGGTCACAATTGCTGTTATCACTGATGCGCTTTGGGGGGAGTACATGTGGATTGACCACCGAGATGTCTCTGGCGGGCCATTGGCTTACTTTGAGGCCACAACATCAATGTGGATGAATGTTCTTGGATCTGCAGCAGATGCAACAGCAAATATTATGGGTGATGGGTTATTGGTAAGTTTATGATTTCTTTGTTTGAAACACACTCCTCACTATATGCTTTAGCTGTATCGCTGTTACATGATTTGGGGCTCAAATTTGTGGGTTGTAGCATTTCCGTGCTGTATATACTTAGCCTCTTCTGGCAAGTTCCATGTTCTTCTGGCCGAGTCACTTCTGAATCCACTTCCATTAGTCTTGGTTGTAATCACTGTGGTTGAAAGTGCTCTTCCAGGGGCATTTTTGCTCAATGGAACGGCAGCTAATTTCGGAGTCCCCTGGGTGTCACTCTCTGTTAGCCTCAATGTCATTCTTACAGCAATGATATGTGGAAGACTATTGATGATGCGACGTATGGTGCGTTCATCATTGTCATTTGAACTAGGGAACACATATACAAGCATCATGGCAATTCTGGTTGAATCAGCATTACCATTCAGTGTAGTTGGGGTAGGCTTTGTAATAACTTATGCAAAGAATAACCCAACTTCCGATGCCTTTGCATATGTTTGGGGGATGTTTTGTGTAAGTGAAACCACTTGCAACTCACATTTCATTCAAATGATCTTAAATTAATTAGTCCCTTTCCCCACAATTGATCATTTTAAGGGTTGCAATGGGTCATGGATGGTCAAGAGATACTGTTCAAGAAGTCAGCGGACAGATAGTGTTTGCACACTCTCAGAGTATTACAGAGCATGGGGAATCTCAGAGCACACAAGTTGGAATGCCAATACTCCGTGATCAAAGCTCAAGTAGGTCATTAGGGGTGTTGAAGACAGACATTGATTCAGCTTAGTGCGAGAGCTGGAGTTGACTGGGGGTCTATGAAATCTCCTCTGATAGAAAACTCTATTTTCAGAGTGTTATATTCCATCCAAGTGTTGTGCAGGTAGAGTTGGATAAGTAGTGATGATGAAGAAAGTAATGATGAGGAAAGTGTTTGTAATAAGATCAGTAGCTAGGAGCCTATACCAAGACCGGATTTACTTCCAGCTGTGTAAAGTAAGTCCCCAATTGAATAATTCTGAATTGTAGCTTGGCTGGGGCTTGGCCCCGTGGATGAAGAAGGCCCAAACATCCAGACAGAGCCGGAATTCCATCTCAGGGTCTTGGCATCCATGGAAGGGAGCTGAGTCCACAAATAGAGCAGAGGCTTGTATTGTGATAAAAGTCCATTTCTATCATTAGTACTCATTACTTGTTACAGATGCTTCAATGAACTTTATGGAATGAGTTGACTTTGTTACAAAGTGTGTTCCACTGAGATTTTTTGTAGGCTTTTGCTATATTATCTAGGAGTATACTCTCCAGTCTTCTACAGTATAGCAGGAAAGCTAACAATATCACTAAATATCTGGTGCTAATTTCTAAAAGTAGCAAGACTGCTCCTACAATTCTAAAGCTGTGACTGAGGACTGCCTGGAGTGCAGCTCAGCTCCATATGTCAAAACAGAATACAAGTAAGACTTTCTTCACCATGTGCCAATCGGGTTGGAGGACGAAATCGTGAGCTCACCGGCACCTTCAAATGACTCTAACACAAAAGCTTCATGGTACGTAGTTCTCTCAAAACGTTGCACACAAAGAGTCTGGAAGCGAGAGTTGGCAGCGAGTATAATCACAAGTCGATGTTTGAGTTCGAATTTGGAGTTCCTAGGACATGTAGGATAAAAGGTTTAGTTGACAATTATACTGAGAGAAGTTATTGAGGAACTGCAAGAAACCCTTGTGAAGAAGTATGCCGCGATATGCGGCCGTGAATTTGTCTTCGATGTTCTCATTCATTCCTAATTGGGTGGTGATGGCTGGATTTACAGTGAAATTGTACTCCAATGTACACGTACACATCAAGACCTAATCGAATCCCCACTCCGATTCTCAAACTTGTCTTGAAAGTTCAAATCATCATCATTCCAACTGCCAATTTGCGTGCTGAAGATGACTGTGGAGTGGGGAAGAGAATGTGACACGTGTCATGTTCCGTCCAGCTGAGCCAATTAAGAGGCGCCTTTTTGCATCTGACTTCTCGACTATGTACTTCTCAACTTGTTTCAATGATACATCCACTTTGCATGACTCGTCACCATTGGAGAATTTTATTCCAACTTTGCCTGCTTTCCATTGTATTCGGGACACACTAGCCTTGTGTCTGTTCCATGAAACATAGTACTATTCAATAATATATATAAAGTCGTTCTATCATTTTCTTGCAGTATGCATCACACCATCACGGACCTAGGTTCTATGCTTAGCTTATTCAGTGCTTACCCTTTTGCAGGTCATTGAAGAGGTCCAATCGTTTGTGAGTATATTACAGGTATATTAACTGCGCTGCAGTATCTCGGCCCCGGACTCGACCCGGATGGGAAGTTCTTCAAACTGTACACAGTATACTCCCAACAAGGCATGACTTGTCCTAATACATTAGATTCGGACTCGGGGTAATTTGTCTGAATGATCGGTATAGTCATAGGCTTCAGAGGTATCTCATTTTTCCAGTTATTCAGCGTCTATAAAAGAAACACATTATTGCTTTTTATCATCCGGAAACTATCTTCACTCACCTACTATCATTATGGGACTTGTATCCTTCCCATTTTCTACGGAGTGGCAGTCCTTGCCAGTCGGCTTCATGGTTTTGATGCTAACTTCGAGCCTCTTTATTTGGTACCAGCGCAATCATCATCATGGATCAAGAGCAACTTATAACCCGCCTCTTCCTCCTGGCCCGAAGAAACTTCCGTTCATCGGAAACGCTCTTGTACGTGATGATTAATGGTTTCTCACTGTTCACAGCTAAAAAGTACAAACACTAATACACTACACTATTATCCTTTGTCACAGGATATGCCACCTGCTGATCAACACATCAAGTTTACTCAATGGGGTAAACAATATAGTCAGTGCAAAATTTGGAGCTGCCAACTCGTAGTTCCTTGCTGATCAGTATCTTACCCACATACATACATACAGACTCGGATATCCTTCACCTCCGAGTTATGGGAATGGATTATATTGTACTGAACTCATGGGACGCGGTTATTGATTTATTGGATAAGAGATCTGGGATTTACTCAAGCAGGTATAGTGTGGTGTTTGTTTGTTTCTACTATCCTTGAGATACACTAACCTTGGTGCTCAAATTTTGTACCAGGCCTCATGCTACAATGCTCCAAGATCTGTGAGTAGCATTTGATAATGCATTGAGTTGGGGCTGAAGTAATCTTTACCTTCCCCAACCAGTATAGGGTAAATTTCATTTTCCCTCTCTCTATCCAGTTTTCAAATGAGAAACAATTTCATGTTAAACCCACACACCCTCCACAGATGGGAGGGAGATCTTGGTTTAATGTGTTATGGGAAAGCATTCAATGAACACAAAAAACTGTTTCATCAAGGTAGGTTTTCTGAAAATTTTCCGAGTGTCTTTAGTTGTTTGATGAACAAGTTATAGAATTCCATCCTTCCAATTCTTCCTTACACCGTCCACATGAAAGGAAAGCCCTGGGTGTGTTTCTGAATAGTCTGATTGATACACCAGAGGAATGGGGGAGCCATATCAAGCAGTGAGTGGTCAACTGTCATGTTATTTCTCTCTCTCTTTTTTTTTTTTCCAAGAAAGTACATGAAAAAATGACACTATCACCCTTCCCAGGTTGATAGGTGCAATTATCATTGGTGTAGCATATGGTGTTCAGGTCCAACCAAAGGATGATCCAAACATTGATGCTGCGGCAAGGATGTATGGTGTTTTGAATACAGTTCTCCTACCTGGGGCTTTTTTGGTGGTTAGTGTGCTCAATGCTCATTCTTTTTGTCACCTTGTACCAAGTTTCTTCTTATTTTGTCTGATGTATTTACATTCTATCTATCATCTTATTGCTAGGATGCACTCCCAATTCTCCGATACATCCCATCTTGGTTCCCCGGTGCATCCTTCAAACAAAAAGCCAAAGCTTGGTATGGGGTCCGCAAGGAAACAATTTTACCTCCATATATGCAGGTGAAACAGGCAATGGTGAGTGAATTAGCAAAAAGTAAAATTTCTTTCTGTGCAGTCAATATTTTGTAACATTGCTCAATATTTTAAACTGATTCATTATCATCCATTGTAGATAAATGGAACAGCCAATGACAGCTTCACCCTTCGATGCCTAAAGAACGGTGAAAACATGGTTGACCCTCGTGTTGACCATCTCTCTGAAGAGGAGGAAATCATCATGCAAACTGCTGGGACATTATATGAAGGTATGTATGTATGTTTTCCATGATCAATACTCTTTTCTCATTGAGTATGTCTTTTTTTCTCAATTCTACCTGAAATTCCAGCTGGCGCAGACACCGGGAAAACAGCTCTCCGGACCTTCATTCTTGCAATGACTTGTTTCCCCAAAGCACAGCGAGATGCTCAAGAGGAGATAGATTGTGTGATTGGTCAAGAGCGGTTGCCGGATTATGAGGATATTGTAGATGACAGTGATGCATCTGTCTCCTTGCCATATTTAAGAGCTGTGGTTTTGGAATGTTTCAGGTAAGACCATCATCTAAATCTAATTGATAATATAACAACAACTTGCTTCTAGATGGCAGACTGTTGTTCCATTAGGTGAGTACCTGTACTCAGCTTCCAAGTATTCAACCTGAGACTAGGTGTTCACCATATGACTGTTGATATCATATAGCTGTCCCTCACCTTGTTGATACAGAAGACACATACAGAGGGCTTTACATCCCAAAGGGTGCAACAATACTGCCTAATGTCTGGTATGTATATTCGACATTTACTGACAAGAAACAGATATTCAAAACAAAGCTGTATCTATCTGGCTGACTGGATATCCTTAGGGCAATACTTCGAGATGAAAAGAGATACGGTCCTACTGCACATACATTTGATCCGGAACGATGGCTTCTCAAGAATGATAACAGTGCCACAGGAGGGTCTCGATGGAAACTCAATCCTGACATGATGGTACATGATCCTATCCCAATGAGTTTTGGATTTGGGAGGAGGTGAGTTGTTTATCTATTCAAGCTCTGAAAAAAATCAAGTATAGACGGATGGATAGACAATGTGGTTAATGATTTGAATTTGTTTTAGAGCATGTCCTGGGAAACATATGGCACTGTCAACATTCCAAATTAATGTTGTATCACTGTTACATTGCTTTGATATTACACCGCCTGTGGACGTGGCTGGGAATCTGGTTATGCCGGAGATTGAGTATGTTACAAGGTTGACAAGGTATGTTGTAAATTCTATCTTACTGCAACTATTACTACTTTGTCTTTGAGGGTTCATGGATTTCCTCTCACTTATTCATCATCTCATTTATTTATTTAATCTTTGTCTTCCACCCCATTCATTTGGTTCTGCCCAACTTCCTGTGTTTGGTGTATCTGATATTATCTAAACTTTACAGTGCTCCAGCTCCATTTGAATGCTCCATCAAACCTCGCTCGGAGAAACATGTTGCACTTGTACAGGAGATGTTGTTGGACTAGTGGGAATCAGTACTGTGTAGAGCTGTATAGGGTCCACAGAGCACAGAATTTGTTCTGTAACCACTGCAGCACCAATCCATGCAATTCTGTGCAGTTCCATGCAGTTCCATATAACATAAGAAATATCCAATGTTGTGTGTATATGATCCTGATGCAGACTAGTCCTCTGTGCCACCCTCCACCTCTGTCTTTCATTTTGCTCCTTACCGTACACTGTTGTTGATCCTGTTGACAGTAGCGACACACATGAATTAATCTCCCACTTCAACAAACCACAAAAAAAACATGAAAAAAGGAAGCTGAGATGGAACACTTCATTGATGCATTAAGAGGGAATCGAACCCCCGGCGGGTCGAGAGAGGTTAAGAAGAATACTCAAAATGGCAACGACCCAGGTTACCACTACCCCATTAATGCTTCCTCCTTGGTGTGCTGTTTTTTTCTGTGATGGGGATATTCCGAATCTGAAGGAGGTGCCTATGGAATGGGGATGTATGGTATTGGAGATGTAGGGGATTGGTATTGAGAGCAGAGAGAGCTGAGTTTGAGATTTGTTGAGGTTTTGAATGCCAGTGGGGGATAAGAGGGTGGGATGTAGGGGAGGGGAGAGGAGTGGCTGTGGGGTGGGTAAGTTGGTGAGAGGGGAGGGGGTGTTGACAGCAAAGACAGTTCATGAGAGAGTGTCAGTAGAAGGATTAGAAGAACGCCAGTGGAGAGCTTACAGCGGAGGACGGACGATGCCACAAAATGAGTTGGTATTATATCACAAACATGTATGAGAGTATCGGACAAGATTTCAGGGGCTTCCGTACTTCGGAATGAAACGAACTGAAGATGAGGACGCGGGGGAAGATTTGAGGGTATGTCAGGTTCATTAGGGGACCGAGGATTCTGTTCGGGGTGATTGCGTTGAATGGAGGAAGAGGTGGAATGGTGAAAATAGGTGGGGAATTCGGCGCATACGTGGCAAGAACTTCATACCCCTCTCTCGATTTTCTTCTCAAGATTGCTGGTTCGGTATTCGCAGTGCACCTCCCGTTCAAACACGTACACAGAGAAGTCTTTCAGTGCAGTGAGTGTAACCGCGAGTCGACGGTTGGATGGATAAGTTCGGGAGACAGATTACGTGAGGCGCAGGGAAGCAAAGAGGAGATACGGGGACGTGTAGAAGATACTGAGAGGCAATATATGGTGGTGATTAGAGTCTGCTCTTATCGGATGCGCATCAACGTGTTATGACGATGATGACATATTGAACACGACGAGGCGCGAGGAGGGACGATGGTCCATGGATGGTCTTTGGAATTTCGAATTTCGAAGGAAGAATCAAAGGAAGACGGAAGACGGAAGATGGTCAAGGCAAGAACCGCACCGAGGGATAACGCACAAAAAAACACGTACATTGAATTCAGGAATCAGAGGATTAAATTTCTAGGGCTTCCTTCTTTCACTTCCTTCCTTCCCTTCCTTCCCCTGCAACTTCCTCAATTCCACACTTCCCCACTTCCCTTCCCTTCCTTCCCTCCTTCCGCTGCGACTTCCTTCCTTCCCCACTTCCCCTGATACTGGGACGTTGTATGATGAGTATATAACCCCCATCTTGGTACAGTGACCTTTTTCGTACTAACAGCAACAAGTTTTGTTTCTCTTGTGTAGAGTCTACACTCAGTTGAGTGCGGCAGATCCGATGCGTGTTGAGTCTTGGAAGCTTGATGTGTTACGACGTTGATTCTTGATGTGTTACGAGGTGTTACGACTCTACATACGAGACCGTATGAGAGGATATGAGTCATTTACGCGTTACCGCCGAGCGAAGAACGGAACAGAATATTGCAGTTCCCAGGAGATTGAGATGGAGATGAACGTGTTGAAGAAAGATGGAGACGTCACGCGTCATAGTTGATGTTGATGATTATGATGATGATGAGAACGATGGATAGGATAAAGAACTTGGATAAGTAAAGATCGAATCGGCTTGGGCTGGGGCAAGGCGCTAACGAGGGTTTTGGTGAGTGAGATTGAAGTACGAGCGATTGTGGCAATATGAGCTGTTTAAACCCTCAAAATTTGATAGTTCTGAGCAGCGGAACAACAGATTTATGGTTCTGGGCTGGTGACATAAGGCCTTCCAAATCGGGGGGTGTGGATTTGATTTGCGCGTCACTGTAACCCGCATGGATGTACATGTAACTTGTGTCGACCTTGCACCCAACTTTTAATATCAACTGGAGCAATAGAGTCCCGGTAAACTGACAATTTCCCTCAAACAATCCATGTCATTATTGCTATTCAGGTGCACAGCAGTAATGGTCTGGACTAGAACTGTAAAAGTTGGAGAGCAGCTGACAGTGCTAAAGTGCTCCCAGCAATTGATCAATTCTGCTGAGAGTGCTGGACAGCACTCTCCAGCCACTGCGAATATCTGTTCTAACCTCTATGAATGTCCAGGTTTTGCAGATGTACATAAAATGCTTCACAAATGATAGCTCCTCATATCCGAAGATCATGAATCAATAAGCTTTAATAAGGTTTGGAATGCCTGTTCAATCATTTTTTGCAGTGATACTGAGCATACTTAACTATTGGATAAATTGAGATAAATAAATCAAATTAGACCTTGGGATGGAGGAGTAATATGACCAGTATATAACTATAGCAGGATGGTGTACTCAATAATGTGATTGCACGGAACTACATGATATTGCATGGAACTGCACGGAACTGCATGGAACTGGTGCCACAGGGGTTACAGCAAAGGCTCTGTGCCCTGCAATTCTCTAGAGCTCTATCTATATTGTTTGTAAATATCATGATGCAAGGGTGGTGTGAACTACTCAAAATAGGCAATGGAATGGGAAAGGATGGGAAGGGAATCATCATATATGGAATGGGAGAATTCAACTTTGGAATCCTTCTGAATGGTGCGTTGTTGATTTTCTGTCTTCAAGTACTTCTCTGAACCCTAGTTGGTTCAAATCTTCTCTTCGAAGGAGGGAGGGGCTGAAATCTCAACTGTATATCAATAAGTTTAGTGCAGGAAATGGAAGGCACAGATATAAATGCAATGAATTAGGAATAAACAATTGTTACTCACATGTTCATCAAAGACCTCATAAACTTGATCTCCTGCATTTATTGTTTTGTTCTGGACATTGACCTCCAATTGCACCAATGCTAATGTCATTATTGGTCTGTTAAAATATGCAACGCACTAACCTCAACAGGATTCACATTCACATTCCTCGCCAGCTCTATTATAGTGGTGAGAGAGCCCAAACCATCATTTGTTTGTGTAAATTCATCACCTACTTCACCTATCACCTGTTTCCGCGTAGTAAGGGAAAAAATGAGGGAAACAGCAAACACTGCTGAAAGTAAGCCAAGTTCTAGATGAAGGAAGGGTTCAGGCAACATACTCTTAGAAAGCACCAAATACACCCCCGTATATCGGAAATTTGATGTAGATGTATCATACTAATTTTCCAATGTGTTAAAACCTGATAATGAGTATGATGAATATAGATCATACCAGGATCAGTGTCAGGACACTCATAGTGCTATTAGAGATATCAGACTTCAGGAAGGAGGATGAAAATGACTGAGGACAAGGTACCTAGTCATAACACCTGTATTCAATGCATACTGAACCAGGCTATTAAGTAGTGAATCCGGCCTATAAGAGATATGGTGTTGAGTCAGGTCGAGCTGAAAAAAATAAATTCCTTACTCTTGATATCCTGTTCGCCATTTTCGAAGATAGTAGCACATTGCCAATGCAAGCAGAATGTCCCCTAATGCACCTATAGCCAGTCCTCCGGATGCCACATACTTAAGGAAAGAAATTGCAAGTAAAGTATTAAAATGATAATTTATAAATCAAGTTTATTTGAATCACACCTTGATACTCGTCAAGCCAAGAACATTCTGCAGTTGCGATCTGCAGAAATTGGGGTCAGAAAATCAGTGTCAACAGGGGAAATAGTGAGAAAGTGTTTTGCTTACGCTCTGACCACAAAGGCTTTTTTGGAGATGCCTCAGTGTTTTGATTTTAAAGATGACACATAACATTACCCAGTGTCCACCCTATGCAACATGTTTGATACAAGAGCCAACTGAGACAAGTATATTATTCACCTATTTGAACAAATACTACCATTGACTAAAAATAATAACACTTATGAGGTGTATCTGTTAGCCCCAGATTGGAATGACCAACGCACAAGAGCTGCGGTGACCATTTTATTATGATTGCTAACTTTAAGTCTGTCAGATCAGACTTTGTCAACCATTTATAGTGTACTTACATCTCCAAATCCGTATGATAGAGCAGCTATCAGTTGAGTCACATGTTGGAATTCAGGTAAATCATGGGATATGAACTTACAATTTGACAATGCTTCCCGAGACGGTCTATAGTAAAAGACACATGTGAACAGAGGGAAAAATCACTTGTAATGTACTTACACCGACTATGATCAGAGCCTATGAACAAATTCAATTTGTTGGCAATGCACTCATCTGTAAAACCTGGACAATTTACAACAGAATGGGCGTTGGTTAAACAATGCTGTAAAGCATACTGTTGTGTTTTTGGCCAAATTTCCAGGTTTTACAGATAGGCTATGATGCACAAGAAATAACAAAATTTTCACAAGCTACTCACCACAAATGACCACACCAAAGGTTCCATTAAGATAATTGTTGTTGAACCAAAACACCTAGAAGGCCACAGAAGAACTTAATGCTTGACCTTGAACATCCGAGTCAGAAATAAGCAAGACCTACAAAACAAGGTAATGATATACAGCATGTGTGACCACTGTTTGATGAATGAATTCTATGCACCTAACAATGACAAAAGTCATGTTCCGATTTTGTATGATTTCTTGTGCACTAACCAGACCACTCCGACCTGTCATCCAAGAAATGTGAGTTCCCTAACCTTGATCACTGACATATGGGATAGGATAGAAAATTTGAATAGCAATGTACTAAAATTTTCAGTTTCAAAGGATCTGACCTATATTGATGATAGAAACTAATAGTCTGTGTTGTGAAGATACCGAATATAACACAAGAAATGCTATAGCCAATAAATGCAGCACCCAGTGTATTGTTCAGGAACTTCAGGTCAACAACGGAGGACATCTTGTGTCAAGTGTTGCACAGTTAGGCTGAGAAGGAAGAAAGGACAATACTCTCTAATTCCAGAGAAAATATGTACCGTTATGTACTCCAAGGGAATACCAGCATTCTGCACTGGCATTTCGTGGAATCTTTGTTCAACAGATTGCAACAGTGTCCAGCACATGCAATTGGCAGATTCAATGTTTTAATCAAAAAGCTATCTGTGTTTCCACAGCTTAACAATGGGAAGGCCTATGTGAAGATTCGGGAATCAAGAGAATTCTGATGTTATCTAAACAGCCGAGACAGATTGCAGGTCAAAATGATTGCCTGCAGAGTTCTCTGGTTGGACGAACAATATGTTTCTCTGACAAATACTACGCAAACATAGCCAAATCTTCATTCTCATTGGTGTCAAGGTAGCTCATTGCACAGCGGTTCGAAATGAAAGAAATGTTGTGATTGATGAAGGTTGTCCTACTGCGAGGAAGTTAGACTCGTTGCAAGATTGATAACATTCAAGTAAATGGCTGAACCGATTGAGATCCCGCATTACTGATGACATGACAGCATAGGTTTACCATCATCCTCGGAGCCCATGCATGACCCTAATGGTACTGGGGACTCTGACATTCATACACGTAACACAATTCACAGTGTTTGTATGTAACCTTTCTTTGCATCAGTGCGTTAGTCTCCAGGATCGCAAGTGCTAATATTATCCCTATCCATCCGATTTCCATTCAACATAGCAATAAACTCGATAAAATTCTGCTCCTACTAACCATTTTGATAATCACTCCTTCATCAGTTCAGTGACCATCTCTTCACTGATAAAGCTTATGGTGTGAGCTTCTTCCCATACACTTACATACCTATGTATGTACGTATCTCTCTACCTATGATATATCACATCTTCAAGCGATCTTTCACTGCTTTATACTCCCTTGTCATAATATTGATGATGCGAAGCGTAATGTATGACAACAGCAAAAACCAGTTCAGCGCTTTCCTTCGTTTCTGACACTCACTCACTGGGTTATCTGGAAATGACTGAAAATCAGATTCAAGTCCCAGATTGAGAGAAATATCTCGGGAGAGATCACCTGTATGTACATCATTCTCTTTGTTATAATCAAACTAAGCACCTCAGTTATCCAAACGCAGCATATACTAAACCATAACCCTCGTCTGTCTTTGCATGTTGCAGACCTGCCCGGGTCGGGATTTGAGTTCGGCCTACTTAGTAGAATCCCAGAAATCGTGTCCCACGGTGCCTCACGATGGTGAACGACTCGACTCGGAATAACCAACCTCCTTCATCATCGAATCATCCACACCCCCGTTTTTTAAACGTGGTGTGGTGGATCGGATTGAGTACCCCCCTCCGCCCCCTCCCCCGCCTGTTGATGGTTAAAGTCCGGATTTCTTTCTCAAATTGAATGTGGGTTGGTGAGGGATAATTCGACTGACTTTGGTTGTACCGTGTGGGTCTTTTGGGGGTTGCGGAGTTGGGATGCGGAGTTGTTGGACTTCGACGGTCGACGGTGCGGATTCTCGTGTGGGGGATCTGTGACGGTGATGTTGACGACCCAGAGCCTCCGTACAAGGCGGAGACGTCGACGAGAAGTTCAACTGTGGTGGATTAGTGATTAGTGAGTATTACCACAGAATATCATGGTCTCGGAAAGTCCTTACTCATGATGAATGTGCGCTCTTGTGGGATAACATGAAGGTGCTCTTGTGGGATAATGGTTCTCAGAACCCATGAGTCGCTGCCATGAGGAGAAGGAGCGTTGATAGCAAGGAAACGAGAGGGATCAAACGTATTTGCATTTGCACTTGAACCCATCCAAGACAACTGCACAGCTGCAATGACGAATGGAATGAACCTTGAGCTCGAGGGGGAGTATATGTAATCTGACGAGAGAGAGATCCGTGAACATTCATTGAAAGTTGAGCTATATATACGATCACAGGGATGTACTACACCATACACACCTACCCCCGAGCGGGATAGACGGATTTCAAATTTTTGACCAGCGAAAACAAAAAACAAAAAGACACGCACCAAATTTACCTCCCCCCCCGAAGTCTGATGTATCGAGCAACTAGATCAGCTAGAGGATCACTTGGACACCTTCGTGAGATTCTGTCAAGTACAGCGAACTAGTGCCAATGGAGGGTAGTTTTGGTGAGTGGGATTAAATGAAGGACAAGCAATTGTATGTATGTATGTAGTACAGAGTTATAGTGCTTTGTGGGCATGTTGGTGGGAGAGGGAATGAGGTGTGTGATATATATGAGAACCTGCATGAACAATCAACTAACACATCACATTTAAAGCGCAAAGAAGTAGTAACATACCCGCCCCCTCCACTTCAACAAAACATGAAAAAGGAAGCTGAGATAGAACACTTCATTGATGCATTAAGGGGGAATCGAACCCCCGGCGGGTCGAGATAGGCTTAGATGGCTATGCTGTATGGCAACGACCCAGGTTACCACTACCCCATTAATGCTTCCCTTGTTCATGCTGGGGGTTGTTGGGAATCCGAAGGAGGTACCTATGGAATGAATAGGGAGGGGAAGGGGGGATGTTGAGCTGGGTGTTGACAGAGAAGAGAGTTCACGAGGGGGCGTTAGTAGAGGATTAGAACCAGAGTATAGGACAAGAATTCTGGGACTTCCTTGCGTCCTTCTTCCGGGCTGGGGGGTCTATTCTTGGATCGAGGATTCTGTTCGGGGTGATGACGTTGAATGGAGGAAGGGGTGGAGGGGGGAATACGTAGCATACCTCCGGATCTCGATTATTGCTTGTTCGGTATTCATACCCCTCCTGTTACCCTTCCTGTCTCTAATTCGTTTCTCAAGATTGCCTGTTCCGTACTCACAATACACCTCCGTCGCCATCCCTCCAATGGAACCTCCCGTCCAGACACGTACACAATATGTCTCCCAGCGTTAGCAGTGAGTGTAACCGCGAGTCGACATCTGGATGGACAAGTTTGAACTCGAACATTCGGGAACAAGAGGCGCAGTGCAGGAGGCGCAGGGAAGCAAGGGGGAGATCCTGGGACGTGTAGAAAAGCGTTCATAGTTCACAAGGAGTTAAGTAAGAAGAGATTCCGTAGAGTGGGTATTATCGGATACGCGTTAACGTGTTATGACGATAACGACGTAGCGGACACGACAAGGCGCGAAACGACTCGCCCGGAGGTCAGTCACACATTACACCCCCAGAGACATAAAGCTCACCAAAAGAATCCACGTTACCACAACACAATTCCAAGCCGACCTAAACACGCCCCGCTACCAACACCCACCTGAACCCACCATGCAGAAACCGACAACGATCGCATTGAGCGCTTGTTGAGATCAACGAGATAGTGTTGCGTACATCGTTATGAGGCGAGAAGAAGCAATTCTCACGCTTGGTCAAAGCGACACGCCCAAAATCCGGTATCAGACTGAGACGAAAGTCTCACTAGCACAACTCGTCACTCTAATACAACCAAACCTCAATCGCTCTATACCTAACGAATGTATATACCTATCAAGCGGTGCTGGAAACCCGCTCCTCTTCAGATGAGTGTCATTTGGATTCTGTTAGAGGATGCGACCTGATACGTTGTTCTAGGGGAATATAACCTCTGACCGTTTCGCTGGCAAGCAAGGGGTTGAAGGTTCTAAATTCGAGGGAGTTGCGTGAGGCGGGTTTCGGTTGGACGATATAGGCGGGAATTGGTTGGGCGTGTGTTACATACAGTGAAAAGGTTGCCGTCAAAAACAGTTTGGGATAAGCTGGACCACAGGGGGACTTAATTCGTCTGTGGGGCTTTCGGAACTCAAATGACTACTTCCATCGTATCATGAACATGTTGAAGGCTATATGTGTGTAGAGGATTAACGAATTAAGTTTTTGACGGGATCAGGGATGGAAAACTCTCAATTGAGGGACAAACGAACGATGGCATCATTCGTTCAAAGATATTTTTTTGAATTTTGAAGGAGGATGGAGAATGGCTGCACGGACAACAGAGCCTTTGCAGTCTGGAGGAAAGATGTTCACAGAAAAAAGGGGATCGAGATGGAGACAGGAGGAAGCCGAAGAAATGTTCCCGAGATTTACCATGTCTATCTGTGCCCGTATCTCCCTATACTCTCCTGCATTCCCTTCTATTCCAACCCCACTATATGACAGAAACAGTAACATCATGTGCATGATCCCTCTATGCATATTGCATGTGAATGCCCTAGTAGTATGAACTTTTGAAAATGGGCAAAGACATAGGAAGGGAACCAAAGTGGTCAGCTGAAGAACAATCTGGATGGGTGGAGTGGAGATGGGGGAACACAAAGCATGAGGAAAGCTTAAGGACCAATGAATTATTTAGCAGGGTGCATCATGCAATCAAAGGGACAAGCTTGAGGGTGTCAGTGAGTCAGTGAGGTGTATGATAATATCCAACATCTGCAAAACCTGTATTTTCGGCTAAGGGTCCGAAAGCAGTTGAGAGCACTTCCTGTTGAACGCGGCTATGCTGTTCACATGCCACTATTATGATCATGTGTTATAATATGTCATATGTAGTCATATCTAGTTATTTACTATATGCGGATTCCTCAGTACTTCCTTATGTAATACTGTCATACAGTTATGTATATAAACAGGCCATATCCTGTACTGGAATCCAACTCGTTTCTCTCTTACTTTTATTGCCTCACTGAGACACTAAGCTCTACTACCAGGTATGGTACTGGAGAGTGGTCCCACTACGCACTCCTTGCCTGCTCAACACTTCCCAGCAGTGAAAGCACCCAGAGCATGTTGCTTTCGGTGCTTTCAGCACTGGGATCTGCTGGGATCTGCTCTCAGCCCTTAGCCGAATATCCAGGTTTTGCAGATGAAGTTGTGTATGCCGGCTCCGGCTCCGAGCCCTTGGGCCCTTGGGCCCTATGAGCCTAGCCGGATTGAGCCTGGCCGGGCCGGAGCCGTCTCTAGGGCTGTGGAAAGCTGAGGGCCCGGCTCAGAATTTTCAAAGGCCCCAAGCCGGGTTCTGAGCCGGGGCTGAGTACCTGAATTTTGTGCTGAAATTCTCACCTGGATAGCTGATATACCTATAGATAAATGCTCAATATTTACCTATATGGGCATCACTAGCACCATTCTCAGCTGCAGGAATAATTATTGGTCAATGCCATAAACCTAAAGGGTGATATTGTTGAAGTATACAATTCTGAGACTTTTGTCATTGCAGATAGGTTGGAGCTTGAATCAGATCAGTGTATTCACAGTGAATTCTTCTTAATAAGGATTAGGAAGATGTTATATTGTAAATTCTACTATAACATGATGTGGCAGCACCTTAATCTTAGTCAACAAGCCTCAAGGAAAGATCCACTTTGATCCCATTTGAAATTGACAGTAGTTGAAACAACAGGTAATGATTTTGGTGCTTGTTACTTTGATAAGTCTAGTGTACTGGAATTCTACTGTTTGATTGATGTAGAACATTATTCTTAATGTTATACCCCTCTCACAAAGCTGAAGTATCAAGAAACAATACCTAACAATCAGAGCAATGAGAGTCGCATTAAACAGACAATCCCCCTCAAACTATTAATGTGATTGATGCTATTCAGGTACATAGCAGTATTGGCAATGACCACATAGAATATCTCACAAATACCAACCACTCACATGTGAACATTATGAAGCAGATAAGCTTCAGAATATCTACTCAATCATATTTTTGCTCTCAGTTGTTAAATCATTGTTAGTAAGACACCAGAACAAAGTTAAGTATTAGATAAAATTTCAGGATGGGAGAATCGAATTGGACTTATAGAGCTCCATTATACAATATCATTGTCTGGAGCTCATATTGCTTCACAATATGACTATGTGGGAGGATCTTGTACACAATATTGTATATTTACAGATTGCACGGAACTGCGCAGAACTGTGCGGCACTGCATGGGACTGGTGCCGCACGGGTTACAGCAGAAGTTCTGTGCCCTATATGATCTTCTAATAGTTGTGTGCCAATCATACATCTGCAAAACCTGCATTTTCGGCTAAAGCCAAAATCTGCTCAAATCACTTCCAAAGCACCCAGAGCAAGCGTTGAATTTTGCTCTGGGTACTCTCATTGCTGGAGAGCGCTCTCCAGCCAGTATCCTTGTTCTGGAATACAGGTGAAAAATGGCTCTTTGCATTTGCCTGCACAGACTCTTGTGCAAAACATGTATGGATCACTTACCGGTGCTGCAGGGGTTACAGCAAATGTTATGTGCCCTTCTTCAAGTCCATAATAGTATATGAGAATGACTATGTGTAAAGACAACAATGTTAAGGTCATGGTAGTGTATAATTCTAAAGCTGAAACCACCAGAATATATATTGAAGTTATTGAGTTGGGTACATTGGTATAGAAAGGAAGAAGAATTCAAAGAGAATGATTTGAAAAGAGCAACCCAAGAATCATCGAAGGTACCTGAATAACTCCGAGTAAATGAGCAATCAATGATAAACTTTATTCTAGGCCAAAGAAATCAACCCGTAAGTTCAATGCAAGCCAAAATCACTTACTCTGACTGACATTTGCATTTGAGCCGACATCCACTGTAGGATGGTCCTGTACAAATTGTCTTAAATATTCTTGAATTTGGTTCAAATAACTATCTGAAGTTTGAGAACCAAGTCGCATCACCCCAGACCACTCTGCACGGTGATTAAGAGCAAGCATCGATTTCTCTTTCACCTCTGGTTCCATGAAGTCAACTATGCCCAAATGCCAGACATCTTGCCAATCCTTGTCACAGGCTGATCGTAGCCGAGAATAGTTGTTAATGTCATTGTTGCCATAAATTCCATCCAATTTAGCTTGAGTTTCATCAACAAAATGTTGAAGGTTGAGTGCATCCTGGTGCAGAATAGTCCTCTGTGCCACCCTTCGCCTCTGTCTTTCATTTCGTTCTTGATCATGGCGCGCCTTGGTCTGTTGTGCAGTCTCCTGTGCAGCTTGCACATCGTAATGTTCCATCCCTTGTATGTCAGCAGGATCCATCAACTTGGTCTTATACTCCTCAGCCTCTGGGTTATTTCTTTGCTCCTTCTTGAGATATTCAGCTCGATCAAGGACATATGCTTCGCCATCGAAGGTATCCACAAATCCTGATCGTGGAACAAAGCGGAATGACCACCATTCACCAACTGCTGCAATCAATACTACTTCTTGTTGGCGGCGAAAATTTGGAATTGAAAACAAGCAATTGGCCTAAAAATACTGATGTGAGCTGTCATAAAGTACGCAGCCCCTATCATTTTCCTTTTCTCACCGTCTCGACGCCTTTACTTGTACGATACATCATCCCATCACTGTCAAACCCCCATCGATTACTGATCCATCGATTACTGATCCACCTGACCCATCTTCTCCTTCTACTGGCTTCCGCCACCTTCCTTGTTCCTAAACTGTACAGTATTACATCGTTGTTTCTCGCAGACCGGATTATGTATATATAGCCAACCCTCCATAGCCTGGTCCCTTATCTTGACCTCTCTGTCATTATCTGGGACCAGGTATGTGCTTACTTATTATTACCTATGACTACGATACTCAATATATCTCTGTCATTATCTGGGACCAGCTTGCCGCCGTTCTGCTTAGTCGCTCCACCTTGTTGCCTTGTCCAGTTGCTCCGCCTCACCGTTCTGCTTAGTCGCTCCGCTTTCCCGCTCCGTTAGTCACTCCGCCTCTGCCGCTTCGTGACATTAGGTCAAGATCTATTACTGCACTGACAGCCTACCGATAAGGTTGTCCTTGCAGGGTCTATAGACACCACGTCTTCCCCAGTTCCGCCCGACTCTGAAACACCTGTTGCCAGTATAGACTGCTCCGCACTCCCGCACGCACTTGACCCCAGAGACCAAGCTCACGCCCATAACAACGATGATACTTGGCGCGATTGCCAGTCTCAACCTTGCCCCAACGCCCTTTCGAACTCAATCCGAGAGCCACTCACTGTGAGCAATATAACCTTCCTGCCGATTCCCCAGCCCCGATTGCCTACTCCCATCATGTCGACTCCTATCCCGCCTGCCCCAAACACCTCTGCGGAGGATCTCATGGCTCAGCTCATCAGACAAGTAGCTAACCTTGCTACAGCTATGGAGGAACGCTCATCCTCTAAGTCAAGCATGAACAAACCCGAGGTTTTCAAGGGTAAAGATGGCGCTGAAGCCCGTCGCTTCATGGCTCAGTTCCAGAATTGGGCGTCAGAACAACCAGATCTCGCCAAAAGCCAAGTAAAACTCATCAAGTCCGCCTTGGGCTTCTTCACAGAAAGTGCCGGAGATTGGGCAACTCCCCATCTGCTACATTTCAATGCGGAAAATCCCCCTTTCGGAGGAAATTGGGAGGCGTTTCTGAAGGAATTTAGCCAACGGTTTGAACCAATGGACCCAGGTATGGAAGCCCGTAGCGAGATCAAGAATCTCAGGCAAAGTAAAGGACAGACAGTTGCGGAATTCGCTCAGAAGTTCAAGGATATCGGAGATCGGACTGAAATGTCTGATATTGACTTACGGGAACGTTTCTTCACTGCATTACTCCCAGAGATCCGACAACACCTCATCACCGTAAACATTGCCCAAGGAATTGCTCCGACTCTGAAGGAGGCAATCAAACGGGCCATATCAGTGGATGTCTACCTGCACGATCCCACCATGACTGGCCGGAACTCTGGATACCCTCCCACGCATACCGCTCATACTACCCCTGCTGACCCCCACGCTATGGACATCGATGCAACCCACACCAGTAATGGGAATACTAGGGAAGCATTCCTAGCTCGCATGCGAGGACGATGCTTCGGCTGCGGTGCCCAAGGTCATGTCAAGCAAAACTGCCCACACCGAGAAACCACCTGCCGCTACTGTGGACGTCGAGGACATCTGGAAGCAGTCTGCCAAGACAAATTCATGGGACTCGGACGAGACCGAGGCCGACGCCAGCAACCTCGACGCCAACAGATATCCGCTACGGGACCCGCGCCATTCTCCCTATTCCCAAACGAATCCGTCCAAATCGCGTCCTCGACCCCAACATCTGCTCCTGCACCCGTAGCTGCTACTCCGAGCCCCCCTAACCAGGACTTTTCCAATCAGATTGGTCAAATAAGGGAATTACTTGATCGTGCTAACGCTATGTCCTCCTCGTCCTCTGGCTTTCAACAGGGTTTTTAAAGAGGGTACCCGCTTCGGCTGCACCGAGAGTACCCCGTAATCAGTTTGTTATGTTCGCTACTTCCTCGTATGACTCGCACCCATCATGTACAATATCGTCGATCCGGGAATTAAACTCTACTTCCCCACATTTCCGAATTCATGCGAGACTAAGAGGAAGGAATCACAGTATAACAACTGCAGCCATGGTAGACTGTGGAGCTACCGCCCTGTTTTTAAACCAAGATTTTGTCACCCGGAACCATGTAAGATGTGCACCCCTCCATAAACCAATCGACGTTTTTAATATCGATGGAACACCTAACCGAGCTGGACGGATAACCCATTTTGCACGTCTAGCACTCACAGTGGATAATCAAGAGCGATGGATGGACTTCCTGATCACCCACCTAGGAGGTGAAGACATCATCCTTGGACTCCCCTGGCTACGGAAGGTAAATCCGGAGATTGATTGGGAGAAAGGACGACTTTCAGTAAAGCCTCCTCGAGTAACGATAGAAGAAGTCCCAGACGAGGAGATCTTGTACACTCATCTAGCCGCCACTCACACAGAAACCCCGATCCTCGAACTCCCGGAACTGGAACCTCCCACAGAAAACCCCCACATTGAGGTGCCACTAGAAGCGACCCTTGAACCGAGTGAATCAGCAGCGGTGGAAGAACCACCAATACACCGAATTCGAGCCAATCATAAAACTCGCCGGGCATGGGTAAAAGCAGGAATTCTAGAGGAACAGACGGAGGAAGTCTGGTGCGCTGCAGGATTCACTTACTCCCAGCAGCTAGCAGAGGAAGCCAACCGAGACAAACCCGTTAAAACCTTCGAAGAAATGATCCCTGAGCAGTATCGTGATTTCAAGAAGGTTTTCTCAGAATCCGCCTCCGAACGATTACCTGCCCACCAACCTTGGGACCATGCGATTGATCTCGTACCTGGAGCACCGGCAACCATGCGTACCAAGATTTATCCCATGTCCCTAAACGAGCAGGAGGAGTTGGATCGTTTCCTAGAAGAAAACCTACGGAAAGGCTATATCGTCCCCTCAAAATCACCAATCTCATCACCGGTCTTCTTCGTAAAGAAGAAGGATGGGAAACTCCGTTTCGTACAAGACTACCGGAAACTGAACGAGTACACTGTGAAGAACCGATACCCGCTCCCATTAGTTGCTGACATCATTAGCCGACTTCAGGGAGCCAGATACTTCACGAAGTTTGATGTCCGCTGGGGTTACAATAACATACGGATTAAGAAGGGGCATGAATGGAAAGGCGCGTTCGCAACAACCCGAGGCTTGTTCGAGCCTAAGGTCATGTTCTTTGGTCTCACAAATTCCCCTGCCACGTTCCAAGCACTTATGAATGCTATATTTGCTGATCTCATTGCAGCCGGCAAGGTGGCAGTCTACCTAGATGACATCCTTATCTTCAGTAACGATCTCGAGGAACACCGACGAATGGTACGGGAAGTATTAACTCGGTTAGAAAAGCACGACCTCTACCTACGACCCGAAAAATGCGAATTTGAACAACAACAGATTGAATACCTTGGACTCATCATCTCAGAAGGGGAGGTGAGAATGGATCCGGTAAAAGTAGCGGCTGTTCGTGACTGGCCAGTCCCTACTAACCTTAGGGAACTACGAGGGTTCTTGGGATTTGCAAACTTCTACCGACGCTTTATCCGGAATTTTGCCAAAATAGCACGACCTCTGAACGACCTGACGAAGAAAGACACCAGCTTTACCTGGACCAACACTCGACAGAAAGCATTTGATACCCTTCGAGAAGCCTTCATCTCCGCACCGATCCTTGCTCTATGGACACCAGACAGGCCTACTCGAATCGAGGTAGACGCATCAGGCTTTGCCACGGGAGGCGCCCTTATGCAGAAGCAAGACGATGGCCAATGGCATCCGGTAGCCTTCAGATCAGCATCCATGCAGCCAGCGGAACGGAACTACGAAATCTACGATCGAGAAATGCTTGCTATCATTGAAGCACTGAAGGATTGGAGGAACTTTCTAGAAGGACTCCCTCAACCATTTGACATCATTACGGACCATTCGAACCTCGAATTCTGGCGCACTGCACAAGATCTCACCCGCCGACAAGCCCGATGGGCCCTCTATCTGTCACGGTTTGACTTTCATATGATCCACCGCCCTGGCAGAGTAAACACCCAAGCTGATGCTCTCTCCCGCATGGCAGTTCATCATGTATTGGACAGCGATGATAACCGACAACAGACAGTCCTTAAACCTGGCCACTTCGTAAAAATTGCAGCTTCGATCCTACAGAACCCCTTAGAGGATTGTATCCGGAAAGCCTCAGAACGGGAAGCACAGGTATTGGAGGGTCTCAAAACAGTCAAAGAGCACGGACTACAGCGCTTGGCCAATGGGATAGCCGAATGGGAAGAGGACAACGGGTTGGTCTACTACCGAGGTCGAGTATACGTACCAGCAAACGACGACCTACGCACTGAGGTACTCCGTCAATGCCATGACCATCCAACTGCAGGACACCCCGGACTACACGGGACACTCGACTTGGTTAGTACCCATTTCTGGTGGCCTACGTTGCGCTCTTTTGTGGAAAAATACGTTGAGGGATGCGAGGTTTGTGCCCGTAAGAAGATCCAGCGACACCCACGGGCCGTAACTCAACCATTAGATGTACCATCCGGTCTATGGGAAGAGGTAGGGGTTGACCTGATAACACAGCTACCTAACTCCCAAGGCTACGATGCTGTCTTGGTTTGCACAGACCTGTATGGAAAACAAATTCACGCTATTCCTTGCACCAGCTCCATCACAGCTGAAGGCGTTGCCGATATTTACTACCGAGAGATCTTCCGTCTCCATGGTCTTCCTCTTCACTTTAAATCCGACCGCGGACCCCAGTTTGCAGCTAAACTCATGCGATCCCTTCTCGCTAGGCTAGGAATTAAATCAGATCTAACCTCCGGATACCGTCCTCAGTCTAATGGCCAAACCGAACGAGCAAATCAGGAAGTAGAGAAATACATCCGCCTCTATGTAGGACGACGACAAGACGACTGGGCAGAGCACCTTCCCATGGCGGAGTTTGTGATTAACTCACGGACTCATTCTGCGCTAGGCATGTCCCCGTTCGAGCTAACCTACGGCTATCTTCCCCTGTTCAATATCCCAGTGGGCCAACGCAGCGGTATTCCAGCTGTGGATGACCGTATACGGATTCTCCGAGAAGCGCGACAAGATGCCGGAGCTGCCTTACACCTAGGAAAGAAACAACAGAAGGAGGGATACGAACGCGGGAAGCGGAAAGCTCATCAATTTAAAGTTGGAGACCTAGTCTGGCTCAGTGCAGAGGACATTAACCTTCAGCTTTCCAGTGAAAAGTTAGGAGATCGACAGCTTGGCCCTTATCGCATTCTGGAGAAAATTGGCCCTTTAGACTACCACCTTGACCTTCCCCTATCCCTAGATCGCCTCCATCCTGTCTTCCATGTTGATAAACTATACCCCTGGAAAGGTAACTCCATTAATGGCGAAATACCAACACCACCAGAGCCGGTATACTTAGAGGATGAAGACGAACCGGAATACGAAGTAGAGGAGATCTTAGACAGCCGGGTTCGATGGAAGAAGTTGGAATATTTGGTTAAGTGGAAAGGTTACGACGCAGGGCACAACTCCTGGGAACCCGCAGCCAACCTCAGTCGAGCACCAAAAATTGTTCGGGCCTTTCATAAAAAACACCCAACAGCGGCAAAGCCTTGACCATCGAGGGCAATGGTCATAAGGAGGGGGGTAATGTCATAAAGTACGCAGCCCCTATCATTTTCCTTTTCTCACCGTCTCGACGCCTTTACTTGTACGATACATCATCCCATCACTGTCAAACCCCCATCGATTACTGATCCATCGATTACTGATCCACCTGACCCATCTTCTCCTTCTACTGGCTTCCGCCACCTTCCTTGTTCCTAAACTGTACAGTATTACATCGTTGTTTCTCGCAGACCGGATTATGTATATATAGCCAACCCTCCATAGCCTGGTCCCTTATCTTGACCTCTCTGTCATTATCTGGGACCAGGTATGTGCTTACTTATTATTACCTATGACTACGATACTCAATATATCTCTGTCATTATCTGGGACCAGCTTGCCGCCGTTCTGCTTAGTCGCTCCACCTTGTTGCCTTGTCCAGTTGCTCCGCCTCACCGTTCTGCTTAGTCGCTCCGCTTTCCCGCTCCGTTAGTCACTCCGCCTCTGCCGCTTCGTGACATGAGCTTTCATTTAGGTATTGGACATAAAGGACAGACCTGATCCATGGCCTGAAATTGTGCACTATTCATCATAGTGCCCAGTCCAGACATGAACTGATCAATATGCATGCAATTACGGCTGACAGGCCTCTTCAACTCTACCAGAAGCGGAACAAAAGAAGACGTAATTTCAATAGCACGAGAATGGGATGGGAGTCTTATGGGCATAGTGTTAGCAAGAATTGACTTCAAAGTTCCTTGCTGATCCCTGGCCGCACAATGGAGCAGAATACAGAAGTCTGGGATGACTTCAACGTCACATCCGGAGATTGTTTTGTTTGGATCTAGATCAATGATATCCTCTTCTGAATAGTACAAACGATACTGTGGAGTGGGTTGGAGGCGGCCTATGTCAGAGCCACACAATTGTATCAAAAGTAGTGACCAAAGTGGATGGGTGCTGTCTTCAGTCCTCCGGCGGTTCAGTCGCACTGAGAGTATGAAGGAGAGTGCGAAAAGAATACCAGCGAAGAGTATGCTGTCGTTCATGATGGTTAGTCCAATCCAACACTAACAGGCTAAGGGGTTCATTTATAGTTTTACAAACCCAGCCGGCGTATGCAAATACAGATGAACTCCTTGTGAGTAATCATTAACACAAAGAACAAGAGGTTGTTATATACGTGGCAAACAAATGGCTCTGTTGCTATAATAGTGTCACTCAATAAGTCATCACCAATTGAATCATGACTTGTGAAATACCCTGTTTGAATTGCAAACATGCAACAAGGCATTCAGAGAAACAAGGCTACTTACAAGCAATATCCTCCCAGTTTGTTATTTATAATATAAACAAGGGCCATTTGTCCTCGATATATGTATGATTGGTCTGGGCGGTCCTGGGCGCTCCTTGTTTGAATATGCTCCGTATATGGCATGCCTCGTGGGAGCAACTCCGTGAACTACTTAAGGTCGCTAGATCGATGTGCAAAATTCATTCTATTACAATCATGTCCAGCAAGTCTGAGAAGTGAGTGTCCTTTCTTAACTTCTGATTTCTCTCTGTGGTGACTCTTTTCCAGGTTTTTACAGATCTTCCCTATGGTTCTGGATGTCGATCAATTGCCACCCGTTGTGAATAGTGTTATTGATGGCTATCGTGCACCACATTATGCACTTGGCTGGGTCATTCCTGTCGATGAGGCTAAACAACTCTTTGGTGAAACTCCGGAGGACCGCAGACTGCTCAACTACTACAATGAAGTGGTTCTTGCAGAAGGATGGAGGAATGTTAAAGAGAAGGATTTGTATGTCACGAAAACTTCAAACTTGACTGGCGAATTTGTGACAACTTCTTCTTTACAGAAACTTTCGTCGACCCATTGCAATAATTTGGGACTATGACACTCCTGCTGCAGACCCACAAGAAACATATTTGATGCTTCATATTGGTACTAACACCAATCGGGGAGCTTTGGCACGGGTGGCAGAACATAAGGAAGTCCTCATTGCGAAATCTATGCAGGCTATTGGATTTTCTGCCGAAAAACGGGCACAGCTGAAGTGGCATCAGCTTTAATGATTGTACCACTAGTATACTGTATGTGAAATTTTCTTAGCTCCTAGCTTGTTTGTGATGCTTGGTATGTTATTGAGCACCAAGGATAATCTGCATCAAGTAGCTTGATTCCAGTTATTTCCAAGATACATGCAATGAAATATAGAATCTATATTAGTCCCACAAGAAGGGTAAATGTACAGTACAATCATGTGCTACTCTACCAGCTGCGGAGGTCCTTTGAAGTCATTAACAGACAAGTAAGTGTCAGTCCGAAAAATCCATCTGTAGAGTCCAGAGTTCCAACCCTCCTAAGCCGCGACAACTCACAGACAATCGACACATTACAGACTCAGACATCTGCATCAGTGACACCGGTGCCAGGGTTCTTGAATCTTCCAATGTAAAATCCTTTATTATATACATTGTTGTTAATCTTGTTAACAGTAGCAACACACGTGAATCATTACTGGCCTGTATAGAGCACATAAAATGTATGGTTCAAAGGCAAGTACCAGGGGAGGGAGTGAGATCATAGATGACTGACCTGGATTAGAATATCCAATGATATTCCACTTCGTCCGTGACCGTGACTGGCACATAGCACCGGGAAAGGAGTTCTCGTCATTACGTATGATTTTGCGCGGATTGCCTCGAACTATCCAAACACTGTGTATGGACTTCGAACATTGTGCTATGGAGTGCAAGGACTTGTGCAAAAATAAATGAACGACTTGTGAGTAGTCACTTTGTGATGTTGGTGGGATAGGGAATGAGGTGTCCCTGATAATACCCCGAGATCTCTCCCGAAGTACTACTCTCCGCTTGATTCTCTGGTTCCGTATTTCGATACTCAGTGTACACGGTATACCTCCGTCGCCATCCCTCCCGAAACTTCCTGTCTAAACACATACGCAAAGAGTCTAAATTTGAGTGTTCGTGTGTTTCGATCGGCTGGATAAGTTCGAACTCAAACATTTGGGACACAAGATGACGCAGTGTAGGAGGTAGGTGGTGGATCACAGAGGGAGATCCTGGGACGTGTAGTTGACAAGTATACGGAGAGAAAGAGCCGTGGTGATAAAATCGTACTAATCTATCCAACGGAGCTAAGTTAGAACTTTGGTAGCATCAGTTGAGTGCGGCATATCGGATGCGCGTTAATGCGAACGTATTACGAGGCCTGGGCCTTGATGCTGAGTGAAGAACGGATTGTGGTCCCAGGAGACAAAGATGAAGTTGGTGACGCGTTACGGACATGATGGGATTAAGATCAAGTGAAGGGTGCGAAACAACTCGCCAAATAGACGGGGGCAAAGTTAGAACCCTCTACGTTACCTGTAGCGTACCAGGCATAACGAGCTCATATCTCCCCATACCCTCCTGCCTTCCATCCTCGCTCATCTCGAAAGAGTAAGTTGCATGTTACACCCCTGGCTTGATCAAACTACGATTCTTTAATGTAGAGAACGAGAGCTCATCCTGATAGATTCACGTTACAAGACAATTTTACTGGTATTCCAAGTCGACCGAAGTCTGCTGCCGCGACCAGCCAACTGAAGTCAGAGAAGCCGACAAGTCCTACATACATATGCAGAACGGTTGTTTAGAATTGTCATGTTGAGGTCAGGTTGAGGTGGATCGTTAGCGCGTTAGCGCCGAGGCAGAAAGAAACAACTCTCACGCGCACGCCAGGCGCTGCACCCCACCAAATCCGATATGAGACAATGCAAAAGTCTCATTAGCAGGACTCGTTACTCAAATACAACCAGACCTCAATCTCTCTATACCTAAGTGATACATATACCTATCAAGCGGTGATGGAAACTGCGCCTCTTCAGATGAGTGTCATTTGGATTCTGTTGAAGCTTAAAGGATATGAGCTCATACATCGGGGTAGTTCAGCACGATATATTGATTCGAAGGAACACAACGTCTGATCATCCCGCTGGAAGGATTTGAATTTAGGGAGTTTCGGTGTGGGATAGGCGGGATTCAGATGGTGCTAATGGATTCGGGTGCGGTGGGGAATGACATATATATGATATATGAAGGGTCGTCGTCAAAAACAGCTTGGGATAGGCTGGACCACAGGGGGACTTAATTCGTCTGTGGGGCTTTCGGAACTCGAATGACTACTGGTACTGGTGTTATATCACAGAAATTGTAATGTCATGATTCCTCCATGTATATTTGTGAATGTCATGATGCGAGTAAGAACTATTGAACAGTGAAAATAGACAATGCAGGGAATCGAACGGGTTAGCTCAAGAGTGATGGGATGGCAGAACACAAAACATGTGCAGATTTGGCAGGGTCCATCAAAGAGACAAGCTTTCAGTGTGAGCTTCTGAGGTGGCGGGAGCCCGCACTGTATAATGATATTCAAGAGCGGACTCGGAGGAGAAAGAATAATTTCGGCACTGGCAACGACCCAGGTTACAACTTACCACTACCCCGTTAATGCATGGTAGGATGATCTTTTGGTTGGGTTGTTTAATTTGAGTATTGGAATTGGGTGGTTGGTGGGTTGAAGAGACACTGCACTGAGGAGTAGAGCTGAGTTATCAGTCAAACACAAAGGAGTTTTGTGCAGTACTTGCAAACAAATATGACATATCATATTTTATTCTATACTCAAGCAATACATATAGCTCACCTAACAAGTGGTTCTGGGAACATGAAATATGCTCTTCCTCAGCTGTACTTGTAATCATATTCAGTTGGAGGATATGAGCAGATACTGATACACTGTTTTGAAGGAACACAATCTCCAAGTGTCCTGCTGGCAATTGAAAGAGTTGGATGAGAATTTGGGGGAGTTTCCATGAGGCGGGATTCGGATGGTTGAAATGGGGAAAGCATCATACTCGAAGAAAGGGTTGCCACCAAAAATAACAAGGGATAAAATGTACTACAAGGTCCTGGGGAATTTGAATTGTCTGTCTGTGGGGCTTCCGGAACCTGGATAACTACTGCTGCTATACCATGAACATGTAAGGAGGATGGATGGTACTATCAAGGTAACAAGTCCGAATGGTGCTATCAAGGTAACAAGTCCAAATAGTACTATCAAGGAAACAAGTTCAAATAGCACTATCAAGGTAACAAGTCCATGGAATTCTCTAGAGCTCTATCAATATTGAATGTAAATATCATGATGCAAGTGTGGTGTGAACTACTCAAAATAGGCAATGGGATGGAAAAGGATGGGAAGGGAATCATCATGAATGAAATGGAAGAATTCAACTTTTGAATCTTTCTGAACGTTGTGCTGTTGATGTTCTGTCTTCAAGTACTTCTCTGAACCCTAGTTGGTTCGAATCTTCTCTTCGAAGGAGGGAGGGGCTGGAATCTCAACTGTATATCAATGAGTTTAGTGCAGGAAATGGAAGGCACAAATACATATGTAATGAATTAGGAATAAACAATTGTTACTCACATGTCCATCAAAGACCTCATAAGCTTGATCTCCTGCATTTATTGTTTTGTTCTGGACATTGACCTCCAATTGCACCAATGCTAATGTCATTATTGGTCTGTTAGAATATGCAATGCACTAACCTCGACAGGATTCACATTCACATTCCTCGCCAGCTCCGGTATGGTGGTGAGAGAGCCCAAACCATCATTTGTTTGTGTAAATTCATCCCCTACTTCACCTATCACCTGTTTCCGCGTACTGAGGGAAAAAATGAGGGAAACAGCAAACACTGCTGAAATTAAGCCAAGTTCTAGATGAAGGAAGGATTCAGGGAACATACTCTTAGAAAGCACCAAATACACCCCCATATATTGGAAATTTGATGTAGATGTATCATACTGATTTTCCAATGTTTACAAACCAGAGAATAAGTATGATGAATACAGATCATACCAGGATCAGTGTCAGGACACTCATAGTGCTGTTAGAGATATCAGGCTTCAGGAAGGAGGATGAAAATGACTGAGGACAAAGTACCTAGTCATAACACCTGTATTCAATGCATAATGAACCAGGCGATTAAGTAGTGAATCCGGCCTATAAGAGATATGGTGTTGAGTCAGGTCGAGGTGAAAAAAATAAATTCCTTACTCTTGATATCCTGTTCGCCATTTTCGAAGATAGTAGCACATTGCCAATGCAAGCAGAATGTCCCCTAATGCACCTGTAGCCAGTGCTCCTGATGCCACATCCTTAAGGAAAGAAATTGCAAGTATTAAAATGATAATTCATGACCAAAATTCATTTGAATCACACCTTGATACTCGCCAGACCAAGAGCATTCTGCAGTTGCAATCTGCAGGAATTGGGGTCAGAAAATCGGTGTCAACAGGGAAAATAGTGAGAAAGCATTTTACTTACACTCTAACCTCAAAGACTTTTTTGGAGATGCATCAGTGTTTTGATTTTCAAGATGACACATAACATCACCCAGTATCCACCCTATACAATATGTTTGATAAAAGACCCAACTGAGACAAGTAGATTATTCACCTATTTGAGCAAATACTACCATTGACTAAAAATAAGAATAGATATGAGGTGTATCTGTTATCCGCAGATCGGAATGACCAACGCACAAGAGCAGCGGTAACCATTATATTATGATTACTAACTTTAAATAATCCAGGAAAAGTGTCAGATCAGACTGTGAAAACCATTTCTGGTGTACTTACATCTCCAAATCCGTATGATAGAGCAGCTATCAGTTGAATCACGTGTTGGAACTTTGGAATTCTGGTAGATCATGGGATATGAACTTACAATTTGACAATGCTTCCTGAGACAGTCTATAGGAAGAGACACATGTGAACAGAGGGAAAATTTACTTTTAATGTACTTACACTAACCATGATCAGAGTCTATAAACAAATTCAATTTGTTGGCAATGCTCTCATCTGTAAAACCTGGACAATTTGCAACAGAATGGGCTTTGGCTAAACAGTGCTGTAAAGCATACTGCTGTGCTCTTGGCTAAATTTCCAGGTTTTACAGATAGGCTATGATGCACAAGAAATAGCAAAATTTTCACAAGCTACTCACCACAAATGACCACACCAAAGGTTCCGTTAAGATAATAATTATTGGTGAACCAAAACACCTAGAAGGCCACAGAAGAATTCAATGCTTGACCTTGAACATCTGAGTCAGAAATAAGCAAGACCTACAAAACAAGGTAATGATATACAGTATGTGCAACCAGTGTTTGATGAATGAATTCTATGCACCTAACAATGACAAAAGTCATGTTCCGATTTTGTATGATTTCTTGTGCACTTACCAGACCACTCCGACCTGTCATCCACGAAAAGTGAGCTCAGTAACCTTGATCACTGACATATGGGATGGAATAAAAAAATTGAAGAGCAACATACTAGGATTTTCAGTTTCAAAGGATCTGACCTATATTTATGATAGAAACTAATAGTCTGTGTTGTGAAGATACCGAATATAACACAAGAAATGCTATAGCCAATAAGTCCAGCACCCAGTGTATTGTTCAGGAACTTCAGGTCAAAAACGGAGGACATCCTGTGTCAAATGTTGCAGAGTTAGGCTGAGAAGGAAGTGCTCTCCAATTCCAGAAAAAATGTGTACCGTTATGTACTCCAAGGGAATGCCAGCATTCTGCACTGGCATTTTGTGGAATCTTTGTTTAACAGATTGATTACAACAGTATCCAGCACACGCAATGACAGATGCAATGTCTTATAAAAAAAGCTATCTGTGTTTCCACAGCTTTAACAACGGGAAGGCCTATGTAAGATTTGGGTATCAAGAGAATTCCGATGTTATCTAGACAACCAAGACAGATTGCAGAGAATCATTTCGAATTGCAGGTCTCTGGTTGGATGTGCGATATGGTTCTATCACAAATATTACGCCAACATAGCCGAATCTTCATTCTCATTGGTGTCAAGGTAGCTCATTGCACAGCAGTTCAAAATAGAAGAAATGTTGTGATTGAATGAAGGTTGTCCTACTACGAGGAAGTTAGAGGTTGCAAGATTGGTAAGATGCAAGTAAATGGTTAGTATACCGATTGAGACACTACATTACTGATGATATGACAGCACACTTTTACCATCATCCTCGGAACCCATGCATGTCCCTAATGGTACTGGGGACTCTGACATTCATCCACAATCTACAGTGTTTGTATGTAACCTTTCCTTGCATCAGTGCATTAGTTTCCAGAATCGCAGGTGTTAATATTATTTATCCATCCGATTTGCATTCCACCACAGCAATGAACACGATAAAATCCTTCTCCTAACCATTTTGATAATCACTCCCTCATCAGTTCAGTAACCATCTCCTCACTGATAAAACTTACGGGGTGAGTTTTTTTTTCAATACACGTACATACCTATGTATGTACGTATCTCTCTACCTATGATATATCACATCTTCCCGCAATCTTTCACTCGTAACTCAAAGGACAATGAGTGGTCACTGAGCTATATGCTCACTTAGAATGATGCATGATTGATGAATATTTTAGCGGCAAAGATGTTGTGAGTAAGATTTTCCGTGGACATTAAGCGAAAAACGTACCAATCGGAATTAATATTGAACGTTTGGACCTCCATGGTCTGAGGAATTCGAAGACTCGGGTACTCGATCATTAAGTAGATATTGGTACTGTTGTTATCATGTGTGAGATGCTTCAATGGGGAGATTTTGCAACACATGGAAAAAGCATGTAGCTCTACAAGTGTAGAGGGAGAAAAGTTCATTCATTAAAATTCCATAACAGACTCAACTTCAAGCTTAAGATAAGATGTACCCCTCCAGTTTGAGTCAGTCATCTTACAAACAAACAGGACTCCTTGAATGCTCCCATACACTGAGTTGAATTGCGATGAACGTATCAATGACGGAGAGTTTGGAAATCTTGCTTGGATTGTTGACATTGAATGAAGAACAAATCGGTGGAGTTTGTAGACAAGGAGGAAGAGGAGGAGACAGGGGAGGAAGGGAAGGGATGCATTGTACTAGAGGTTCGAACTTCCAAGAGAGGTGGGGATGACAACGATGTTTGGGCTCAGGCCAGGTTGTGGTGAACAAGCGTAAACATCAATGGCACGTCGAAGGTAGTTAGAGTACACAGGTTTGCCAATCTGGGAAAAGGAGTTGCTAAATACAGTGTGTTATGCGTTACTAATTGTCCTTAATCTACGGCATTTGTATTTTGATAAACTGCCTTGTAACAGTTACTAGTCACCGTTTGTACGATTTTAAGCACGATTCGGTAGTTATAGAAGCTTCTTTCAAGGTGCTTTGAAGGGCAATACCGCTTCATCAGGGAGGGAGAGAGAGAAATAGAGCTGGAAAATTTTATGAGTTGCAATTGTTATAAGTAGAGCGCAATTATGGTAACGATAGATGGGGATTATCAGAGCTCAAATTCTTGCTTTCGTTGAGCAACATCGTGAGTTAAGAAGGTCGCCGGATCCGGCACCCACGGCGTCAAAGCAAGAGCCAGTCATTCGATTTCATCAGCACCCGGTTAGCTTCCGATCACACATTATATACCTTCCTCTTCCTTCCTTCCTTTCTTCCTGCTTTCTACTGCAAGGATGTCCCAGACCTCAACAACGAGGGCCCCAATACACACGGCAGAGGTCGCGGAAGTACCTAATACCAATCATAATATCACGCAACCAAAAGAACCTCAACTAACAGACCAGACCAGATTACTTCCTCCGCGTCAAATAATTGTTGTCATGTTCGCTCTCTCCCTATGTAACCTTGTCACAACTCTAGACCAAGTCGTCGTCTCCGCCTCTCTTTCCACCGTCGCCGCCGCGTTCAACGCTGGTTCAGTCTCAGCCTGGATTCCTGCTGCGTATTTGATGACATCGACTGCCTTCCAGCCTTTATACGGTCGTCTTTCTGATATCTTCGGTCGAAAGGCTGCTATTATATTGGCGATGGGGATATATATTCTTGGTAATCTGGTTGCAGGGTTTTCGAAATCTATCATCCAGCTGATAGTGTTCCGTGCGATTGCTGGTGTTGGAGATGGAGGCGCAACAAGTATGGTTCAGATAGTGGTTTCTGATGTTGTTTCATTGCGAGATCGGTATATGAAATTCTCGTCCTGGTTAAGATTGTTTGCTCACGATATTTCACTCTAGAGGAAAGTTCATAGGATATGCTGGAGCAGTGACTGCTGCTGGGTATACAATCGGTCCTATCATCGGTGGTGCTCTTGCTCAGCATGTTAGCTGGCGTGTAAGTAAAGAGTTATTTGAATTAAACCGACTGTAAGATCTCAATCATCTCCCTTCTCACAGTGGACCTTCTGGATCACTCTCCCAGTAGCATTGTTTGCAAGCATAGCTATATTAATTCTATTACCTCTGAAGCCTGTACAAGGAGATATGCGCAGGTGCGTTCAGCAACTATTGTTTACTATAACTCCTACATACTCACCATCCCAATTTTTTCCTAGCAAATTACTCATGATTGACTACGTCGGCGTATTCCTGACTCTTGCGGCCTGTACGATGATCATGCTTCCTTTAGTCTGGGTGAGGGACAAATTCCATACATTTACTTATACCCGTTATATTACTGACAATCAGCTTCTTCATGATCAAGGGTGGAGTCACCTTCCCTTGGAAGTCAGCAATTGTCCTGGGGCCTTTAATCGCCGGAATAGTCGCAGTTGGTATTTTCTGCTTATGGGAATCAAGAGTGGCGAGGCTCCCGCTCGTTCCGAGTATGTTTCAATCTTTCCCCGAGTCAGTGTATGGGGTCCAGTGGGTGCTCAATCGTTCTCGTCTTCAGTGTATATCTTCAGACACATGACAGTCGTCGGTGTATACATCTGCATGTTTGTCAAGTACAGTCAAATTTTCTTCGCTGGGTCCAGTATCTTCCTAGTACATTACTAACTCATGTCAATCACAGCGGATTCGTGTTTTTCTCAATGCTCTTCTACCTCCCCCAATTCTTTCAAGTCATCTTGGGTTATTCATCCACTCGTTCCGGTACGTTTTCTTGCATTAACCTTGCTCCGCTCCATCTATGACATTTGCTCTTTAACTTACCTAGGTACATTCATCATCCCGTTACTTGTAACTGTGGTTTCATCTGCAGTAGGCTCTGTAAGTAAATCCTCCTAATGAGAGCTCTCTGTCATCATCATATATTTATATAATGCGATTCAGGGAATTTGGATCAGTCGGACAGGAAAATATCGAGTAAGTTTTATTTTAAATCATGCTTATCTGACCATGGAAAGCCTCATGAATGTATACATATGTATAGTCAATGATTTATCTTGGCTTTGCGACATTTGCTATCGCGTGTGGTTGCATGACCATATTTACCGCGGAGACAAGTAGAGTGGTCATGGTAGTTCTTATGGTTATTGCAGGTCTTGGTATAGGAGCGGTACGTATACCTTTTTTCCTCGTTCAATTTCGCTTGCGGTAGTAACCCACTGCTACGATATCAGACAATGCAAACAACGACGGTCGCTGCTCAGGCTAGTGTTGAGAGGAAGGACATGGCAGTGGTTTCTGCAGTGAGGAATGTATGTAATTGTTGCTTTTTATGCTATTCTGAAAGGGCCTTCGCCCCTCGGCTATTGCTAAACTAATGTTCCTCTTTCTACCTATCAGTTCCTGAGGATGCTCGGTGGTGCTCTCGCTCTCCCATCTTCCGCTGCTCTATTGTAAGTGACCTCTTCAGAGTTTTCGAAATGTAGTACATAATATTCATACAATATTCAGAAACAATGCCATGCGTGTGTCTATGAACACCCTCTCCCTCCCTCCCTCTACAATATCCTCCATAATCAACAACCCGTCTCTACTCCTACAACCCTCCGATCTCTCCAAATTCGGACTCACATCCTCTCAAGCTGATCATATTCTCGTCCAAGGCTACAACAAAGGATTTAAAGACGTCTTCATTCTGAACACTGCGTTGACCGTCCTTGCGTTTGTAGCTAGTGTCGTGATGATTGGACATAAGGAGCTTTTGAGAGGCGACGAGGAAGCCTTGAAGCAGGAGGCGAAGGCGGCGTTGATGTTGGAGAAGGCACCGGGTATAGGACAAGGGCGAATTCCTGAGATGGATGAGGATCATGGTCTACGTGGGGATGTTGAGATGGGGTCGGTGTCTTCACCGGAGAGATGATGATTACATACACTGGCACAGATTATTTAGAAGTGACAAGGTGTTTAGATCGACATATATATAATATCCGCAGATTTCACCAGTCATTTCCTCAATTGGCTTAGGATGATGATACGGACCTCGCCCTATAGACTCGGGTCACTACTGGCTTGCACAAACCCAGTGCTCCCTGACATTCATCGCGAGTGGATATGTATCCCGTATAAAGTACGGTATGCAGAGCTAATATTCTTTCAACTGTATATTCTCTTGTGGAAGCCATAGACATATCTGCCCAGGAATACCACTGATGTGAAATCCATGCAGTCTTGAGGTTGAACTCTCTGCAACTCAACGCAAATGAAGTAGGCTCGCTGCATGGAATTAACTCATCATATGGAGCGCGAAAGTGCTTAACTCGTAAGCTCATTTGAGACAGAGATGGATTACCCAGTTCAAAAGCAGGTCAAGCTCAGGGCGGAGATCCTGGTACGTGCAAAGAAGCATTCAGCTTGCGAGTATAGGGAGAAAAGCTCGTTTATGCGATCTGCATGCCTTCATTACCAAGGTACTTGGAATTTTATGAACCTATTAATGATACTCTTTGAGACCAGATTGCTACGCATTAATGGGGTAGTGGTAACCTGGGTCGTTGCCATGATGGGCTAATGATTCTGCCATGAGTTCTCGACCCGCCGGGGGTTCGATTCCCCCTTAATGCATAAAAACTGCAGCGATAAATTTCGTTTATGTTTTTGATTGCTCTCTTCCTCACCTCCAAAATCCTTACCAAGCCCAAGTACAAGAATCACATCGTCATCATCCGCCCCCTCAAGATCCCCATCGCGTCTCTCTTCAATTCTCCCCCGCCTTTGCTCCCCCCACATACATTGTCTTCCCCTGGATCCCCTATCATTCTTCCTCTCAATCCCGACTTTTCCTTGTTATCACCTCCATCTTCCTCCAACCATCCCCTATCCCTGTCCCTTCTTCCCATTACCTTCCCTTCCCATCTCGCCGCCTGTTTTCAGTAGTTCTTCAACATACCATATCATTCACTGCAGAGAGGATCAATTGACAACTGTGTGTACAAGTAACATACTATGTAGTACCGCATAATCGTTAATCAAGCCAGAGACCATTGCAACAGTTGGCTCTTCACACATAGTACATAGGAAGCTTCTTCGAGCTGCGGAACCATAGATTTCATACCCGATGGCGTCTTGCTTTGGAGACTTGTGTAAGCCTCCGTGAATCGCATCCAATTCCCGTTTGAAGCCTTTATGTTGTGCGCATGATTTGGCATCACTCGGAATTTGGTTGTTAGAGTCCAGCGGTCTAGGATAGTACATTTCTGTAAGTACGATTGGGACTCTTCGTTAAACCTGGTGTTTTGTTGCTCTATGTGAACGGGAGGAGAAAAGCCACGTATGTTCCAAGTCTCTCCCCGGATGATGAAGATGAGAGTGGCTGGTCCCTCTCCTGTTGTGATTGGTATCAAATGAAAAAAAACTCAATCAATCAGAAGAGAACATGATGAACCAGGATGAACCTTGTGTTACTCGTTTAGAGTGAGTTAGTGCCGTATGATTGTCAAAGATCTATCATGATAAAGATTGTTTGGATGTTAGTGTATACACCAAGTGTAGTATCTGAACAACACAAATGTAACCCACAGTTTCATTCCCCAACTTGAAGAACAGGTGGGGAAGGGTCTGGGAGGGTCTCATTGTGGCTGGCAAAATAGCTTTGGACAGGTTGGAATTAATTTGTCTGAGGGCTTCCCGCAGGTGGCTGATTCAATCAATGGAGATGTTTGTACAAACTGGTCAATACAAAAGAAGTATGTGGTGGGCTCGATGATTTTGAACTCGAACGTCCGGAACTTGGAAGACAGATTCCGCGAGGAGGTGATCCTAGGACGTGTAGCTCATAGCTATACTGAGAGAAAAGATCATACATAAAGCTCACTGACCCTTTCAACCCAATGGGACTACTCCTTCCATAACATCCATTCAGTGCGACATCAGTAGATGCACATGTTCAAGATCCCCTCACTGATGCATCGGATACTATGTCAATGCCTGATTGATCCAGAAAGCTCTGACACCGGGGATTCCCGTATCATTATCTGGATAAAAGCGTTGGAGTAACGCTTGCCTAACGTACGACTGGTTTCTGCCCCACATATCTCAAAAAAAAAAAAACTCGTCTTTGTTGCTGGCCAACAAAGATTTTGATCACCTTTGCGTCCCTGATCTTCACATTGTCATTTGCTTGCTTGCTGTGAGTTGATCATCACCGCTCGACCACATACCCTCCTCAACCTCACGCTCACTTTCAGACGCCTCACTGCATTATGCACTTGAAGTTCCTAACCCTGGGTCTTGCCGCCTGTGTTACAAATGCTATTCCTGTAGCCAACACAGCTGATAATGTAAGTGGTTGGCAGTTTTTCAAGGCCGTTGAGATTGATTTGGGGATCAATGAAGATTTCAACTTCTAATATCACCAATGGATCACTGGTATCCGGTGGCAAGCCCACGATCCATTGGTCCTTCGATAATGTCGCAAAGGCCAAAAACGATGATTCACAGCATGAACTAGAGAATCTGATCAATGCTCTATTGCAAGATTTTGGATTGCCTGAACGGATCCCAGACAGTGCAGAGTTTGTTGGTAGTCGCGATTTCATCAAAATCAAAATCCCATTGACCATAGATGTCTCCCGCCTAACATGTCCATGCCTTGGAACGTTGGTCTTTGATGAAAAACACCACAGGGGGTCACTAAGAATCGTAGAGGATAGACCACACTGGGAGCATCCTGCCACTGACAAGATATTAGTAAGATACTCCCAGTTCAGTTTCGACGCATATCACGTGCTGGTCACAGCTGTGACCCCGCCAAAAATCTCAAGGTGCAACGAATTGGTCTTTCGAGTAGTTTTCATTTGAGTTATGCAAAAATTAAAACACGGGCACTGTTAACCTACTGCTTAAAGACAATATCAGATTTTCTGAGATTTTATAGTGAAGAATTCAGAGATGAGATAGCATTCTGGCAAGAGTGTCTAAACTAAGCGCCAAGTCCTTAATGGTCCTTGGTTCATATTTTTGTACATTGACTGCACTTTTCTCATCATCCCCAGCTGTAAATCATGCTTGAATGAGCAATGTTTTATTATGAATAACCTGGGTGATCCATCCATTCTGAGAGTGGAATAACTTCAACAAGAAACAAGATGCATACCATGGACATGTTAAGATCATGTACACCGTGTAACCGTGCCAAGGCCACAGGGTGTCTAAGTGCGGAAGACGAATGGGACAGTAGTGAAGTTATTAACAACACCGCCGTTACGCCGTTAGTCCCCGGAGAGCGAGAGTAGAGAGAGAGGAGCTAAGTAGCAGCCAGGTCGGAGCGGCGGTATCGCCGATGACGAGGAGCGGACCAGAGAACGTCAAAGTCCTAAGGTCGAGGAGAACGTACTTCGAGGCGTTGAGCCTGAAGACTTAGAGAAGAGTTAAGTTGAGAAGGGAGATCTAAGTTGATAATTAAACTGAGGAACTACAGTAGCGTACAAGCAGTATTTATATCCACGGAGCGGCGCAACGGGGCGGAGCGCCAGACTAACTACTAGGAGTTATACGTGTAGTCCTGCAGGGTAAGGTAAAAGACAATAAGGAGGGACTAGAGTGAAAGGGTATGTGTAGCGAGAAAGAACAATAAGGAAGAGATTACAATAAAAGGTAGAACTTCGGAATACCGAGCGGCGGAATGGAGGCCCGAGGCATGGACTTGACAGTATCCCCCTCTTAGGCTTGAGCCCTCGAAAGCCATTAATACCGGGAGTTGATTTGTCACCAAGGAAAAATTTTAAAGGCCGTCAGCCTCGGGAATTTGGCCCATCAGTCAGCAGAAAAATTTTCAAACGCCGTTGGTGCCGGGGATTGTTGTTAGTCATCCAAGAAAATTTTCGGTGCACCGTAGGCCATGTACAATTCGACGAAAAATTTTCGCTGGTCCGTGCGCCATTTTGTCCCTATAAAAAGGGCCAGGTTTTGCCGATGTGGCCCTAACTTTTCCCTACTTTCCTAAGTCAACAATGTCACACAGCCGTACTCAGACAATCACCACTCCTTCCTCCACTGCGGCCGGCCCTTCAAGGTCGCGCCTTTTAAACCCGCCTCCCGCCGATCCGGTTAACGACGACGACGAGGCCTTGGAAGAAGACGACGACGAAGCCATCCGACAGGCCGAAGAAACAGTCCGCAGGATGAAAGCCAGGAAGGCGGCGGCGGCGGCCAGAAGGAAAGCCGAAGAAGAAGCGGCCAAGAAGGCGGCAGAAGAGGCGCAGAGGAAGAAGGAAGCTGCCGCCCGAGAGTTGGAGGAGCGCCGGAGGGTGATGGCGGAGGCGGCCGCCGCTCGCAGTCGGCGGGGGTCTTCGCCAGGAGGAAGTTCGATTTCCCCACGACGGCCCGTGGTGGAAATCCGTAAGGACAAGGGAAAAGGAAAGGCCAAGGCCCAGGTGAGTGGCGTGGAGCCTCGCAATTAACTTTTTACTAACATTCTTGTTTGTAGCCTGTTGGCGGGGACCCCGATGACGGCGACGACGGGGATGATGACGACGACGACGAAGACGACAGAACTCCTTGCGAACGTTGCAGGAGTAAGAGGATCCCTTGCCTTCAGCAGGCCGGCAAGCGGAGCAGCACCACCTGTAAGCCCTGCCATGATGCAAAAGTGCGTTGCTCGCACTCCAACCGGCCCCCCACGGTGAAGAAGGAGGTCGCTTCCCACCCGACCGGCGAACGGTTGGCCGTCCTGGAGAGCCAGGTGGCTCAATTATTGGCTGATAACCGGGTTCTCCGCGAGGGTCAAATCAAGTCCAACACCTACGACCGCCACATCATCAAGAAGCTCGAGTGGTTGATGAGGGACGCCGCAAGGAGAAGGGATTCGCCACCGGAGATGCCGGAACCAGGACCGTCGCGGCTGCCGAAGAAGAGGAGAAGGGTAGTGGATAGCGAGGAGGAGGAAGAGGATAGAATAGTAGGAACAGAAGATGGAGAAGGAGAGGAGGAAGTAGAGGAGGAGGAAGGGATAGAACCGGCGCCGAAGAAGGCCCGGTCGGAGAAAGGGAAGGAGAGGGAGGAGTAGGATATACGGACATCGGACATCGGCCTCTCGGCCCTTCTTGTATCTCTTGTAGTTTTCTTGTGGCCTCCTGTCTTCCTTTGATTATTTTCTTTTTGCTTTTGTGTATACGAAAATATTAACGCGATTTTGAATCGGGAAGCGAATGGGCCGCGAAGCGGCGTAAAAAGTAATTAGTTTTGAAGTATAAGTAGCTTAAGTGTGATTGAAGAATAAGTAAAATAGTAACTAAGAAACAAGTAAGCAATTTAAGAAGGAGAGGTAAACACTCAATTTGCTATCATCGTGTTTACCCTCTAAACACACGAAGTAAACTTCGGCGGAGCATGGCGAAAAACGGAGGAAAGGAATAAATGTTTTTTGTGTGATCAAGGTCCAGGCTTGTGAGGGTATCGGGCGTGGAAAGCCGGTACAAGTTCGTCAGCATGTAATTCATCAGCAGCAACCCAAGAGAACTCATCGTCGGTACCTTCGTAACCGGCCCACCGGATATAGTAACGTAGAGGACAACGTTTATACCTTCTGTCCAACTTGGAGTCCAGGATTTCGGCAACGTTGTACTCCTCTTCACCATCAACTTCGATTGGAGGTGGAGGAGATTGAGTTCGATTCGGGAATGGATTCGGCGTAACCGGCTCCAGCTGTGAGACGTGGAAAACCGGGTGAATACGGCGAAGATAATCCGGGAGCTTGAGTTCATAAGACAAAGTACCAGGTCGACTGATGACCTTGAAAGGACCAAGATATTTTTCTGAGAATTTTTCAGTAGGACAAGTAGAACGAATGTGCTTAGCAAGAACAAAGACTTCGGAGCCGATCGGGAACTCCGGGTGCGAGATTCTTTTCCTGTCAGCTTGTTCCTTGTAACGAGACTGAGCTAAAAGGATTTCCTCTCGAAGGAAAGCGTGGAGTTCATCAAGGTTGACGACGAAGTCTCTAGCAAGATCAGACTTCATATTGACCTCGGGCCGAACGGTGATGTTTGGGTGGTATCCTTTGTTAGCGAAGAATGGAGTAATACCAGTGGAAGCATTGGGAGCGTTGTTATAGGCGAATTCGGCGATCGGGAGTAGCGGCGACCAGTCATCCTGTTGGTAGGAGCAATAGATCCTGATGTACTGCTCGAGAGTCTGATTGACGCGCTCGGTCTGCCCATCGGCTTCCGGATGGTATCCAGAGGTATAGTGAAGTTCCATGGAGAGTGCTTTACCGAGAGCCCGGAAAAACGCCGAAACAAATTCAGAACCACGATCAGAAGTGACATGATTAGGAACACCATGTTTAGAGAAGACATGAATAACAAAAAGCTCAGCTAGTTGTTCGGAAGTAATGGTGTCGTGAGTTGGAATAAATATAGCTTGTTTGGAAGATCGATCCACAATGACGAGAATAGCGGTAAAGCCATTCGACATTGGCAGTTGCTCAATGAAGTCCATGGAGATGGAATCCCATGGTCGGACCGGAACCGGCAAAGGCTTCAACAACCCGTAAGGCCGATGACGGCGAGGTTTGTTGCGCCCACAGATAGTGCAAGAGGTAACGTAGTCACGTACGAAGTCTCTGACCTTGGGCCAGGTGTATTGACGACGTACAGCTTCTAGAGTGCGGTTCTGGCCGAAATGGCCGGAGAGTGGATGATCATGGAAGTAACGGAGGACTTGAAGGCGTAGATCGCCGTGATTAGGAACATAAATACGGTCGTCAAGGCGTAGTAGCTTGTCACTACCTAAGCTCCAACGTTCATTGGAAGGATCTTTTGCAAGTTCCAAACCAACAACGGAGCTCGGGTCGGCGGGAAGGGCGAGGATGATTGCCTGGTGTAGGGCTTCGATATCCATGATAATCGAGGCTCGTAAAACCGGGCCTTCCAAGAAGGTAGCTCGAAGAGACGCAGTGAGTTGTTCGTTAGTAAAGATAGGACGGAAGTTGTGAGGGTTCACTTGGGCGTAGCCGATATCCCCCTCTTTAGGGTAGACGTCCCAGCGTCTAGTTATCGAATCAGGTTTCTCGCCGAGTTTCCCCGGTCGGAAGCGAATGACCATATTAAATTGATGTAAAAATTCTGACCATCGGACCTGTCGGCGTGTAAGAACCTTGGTAGTAGAGAAATACTCAAGATTCTTGTGATCGGTGACGACGTCCACCGGATCCCCCGAACCTTCCAGATAATGACGCCAAGCTCTAAAGGCCTCGAAGATGGCCAGTAGCTCTTTGTCGTGGGTATCGTAGTTGAGTTCCGCCGCATGAAACGTTCTGGAAAGGAAGGCTAGAGGATGAATTTCACCGTCAGCATATTGGATGGAAAGAATAGCCGCAATGGCGTAATCGGAAGCGTCAGTTTCCACAATAAGTGGACGATTCGGCTCCCAATGGGCCAGTATCGGCGCAGAAGTAAAAGCAGTCTTGAGATTTTCGAAGGCCTCTTGACAGCTGCTGTCCCAGATCCAGGACGCGCCTTTTCGGGTAAGCCGAGTCATCGGCACAACGATATCACTATAATTATAAATAAAACGACGATAGAAGTTTGCAAAACCCAGGAAGGACTGGATGTCCTTAACCTTCCTCGGAACCGGCCACTCTAGAACGGTCTGAACTTTCTCCTTGGACATAGTCAATCCGTCGGGAGAAAGAATATAACCCAAATACTCAACAGTATCCATATTGAATTCGCACTTGTCGGGGTTGGCGTAAAGCCGATGTTTCCGTAACCGCCGAAGAACCTCCTTGACGTGTTCTCGGTGTTCTTCTGGCGTATCAGAGTAGATTAGAATATCGTCAAGATAGACAATAACACAGACATCGAGCATGTCAGAGAAGATGTCATTAACAAACCGCTGGAAAGCCGCAGGGGCGTTCGTAAGGCCGAACGGCATGACCTTCCATTCGTAAGAGCCGTAGCGGGTCCGAAAGGTGGTTTTCCATTCGTCACCTTCAGCGATTCTGACTAGATGATAAGCGTGAGCGAGATCCAATTTGGTGTATATTTTAGCTCTTTTCGGAGCGTCGAGAAGATCTGATATGAGTGGGAGTGGGTAACGATCCTTTTTGGTGATACGATTGAGTCCACGGAAATCGACGCAAAGGCGAAGTTTGCCGTCTTTCTTCGGAACAAAAAGGACCGGGGCGCCGTGAGGAGAGGATGATGGGGTGATGGCACCAGTAGCCAGCTGTTTGTCAATAAAGTCTTTAAGGGCAACTAGCTCCTTTTCAGACAAAGGGTAAATACGGCCGAGAGGCGGCGAAGCGCCTTCTTCCAAGTCAATCTTCAGGTCGTAAGGTCTATGTTCAGGAAGTGAATCTGCAGCAATCTCGTCGAAGACGTCTGCAAACTCTGCGTACTCTTCTGGAATAGAAGGATGAAGTGGAGGGACAGTAGGAGCGGTGGAAGAGCGGTCGGCGGCGCGGGCCGCGACCTCTGAGTGGATAGCGCGAAGAAGAATGGGTTCCATACCGGCGTCCTTGCAAGCCCTATTGAAGACTGCAGCACTGACAAGTGCAATGTCTACCTCGGGAGTTTCCAGCTGAGCAGCGAATTGAGAGACCGTAGGGTAAGAGTAGATGGGTTCAAAAGGGAATTTGGACGAAAGGGGCTTGGCCCGTGAAGGCCGAGAGCGGGAGCGAGAGCGAGAGCGAGGTGAGTCCCCAGGAGGGGTCTCCAGAATTGTCGGTGAAACCGACGGCGAAGGTTCCGGTAGCGGAACAGCGACCTTTGCAACAACAGTGTTGATAGCAGAAGGCACAGACGTCTGTGGAGAATCAAAATGTGAAGTGTTACGGAACGTAATGTTTCGAGATGCCCAGTCAATCAACGGATTGTAGCGGGATAAGAAACTGTAACCTAATACTGCTTTACAGGATGAATCTAAATGTGTAACATAAAAGGGTAATAGAAGCAGCTCGCCGGAAGGGAACCGAACGGCGATATTCGCCATATCGGTAATGGGTTTAGAAGATAATGAACCATCAAAGAGACGAAGATTAACAGGAGAAATTTTGGTCGTAGGAATAGAGTTCTGAGAAACGTAACGAGTATCGATGAAAGAGTCAGTAGAACCAGAATCAACAAGAGTAGGAAATTTAAGAAGAGCAGAGATGGGTTCGGCCGGCGCGGCCGAATCGGATAAAGGAAATTCAGTAGTCAATGATATTACAAGAGATCGTTCAATAGAAGAAAGAGCGGACGCGTTGAGATATAACTCCCCAGGTGAGGTACGAACCTGATCAACGCAGCTCCCGTTTCGTACCGGGGAACAAGAGCTGCGGACTAGTTTTCCGATTCCTCTTCAACAACCTCAACAGTTGCTTCGGGGGTTTCTTCAACCTCAGCAGCACGGCCCTTCGATTCTCGGGCCTTTCACTTGTTGCAGTCAGCAATCTGATGCTTACCACCGCAGAAGAGACAAAGGTTGTTCTTCATCCTTCTTTCCTTCTCGGAGGGAAGGACTTTCCCATCTGCACCAAGATGGTTGAACGCGGGGCGTTGACCGCCGGATTGGCCGGAATTCGAAGAGTTCTGGGGCTTACCATTGTTATTAGGCTTACCACCAGAGAAGGGTTTAGGCTTCGGCGTGAGCGGCGCCGAAGATCCAGATGGCTGAGAGTTGTTTTGCTGGTTAGTAGAACCAGTCTTAAAGTCCGAGGAACCCTTCTTCGGGTTCCGAGCAACAAAAGGCTTACCAGCCTCGCGCTTCCTAGTTTCCTCGCGTTTCCAATAACGATTGTCAATGCGAAGAACCTCTTGACGGTAATCGGCGAGCGTCGCCGGCTCGGGCAAACGCGCCATTTCGTCCTTGATGCGCTCAGCTAAGCCTCATCCATAAGCCCATTTCAGGGCAGCAGAATCCCAGTTGGTACTAGCAGCCAGGGTGTTGAACCGGATGTTGTATTTCCGGATGTTCTCGGTTTCCTTCATCTTCAGATTACCGAGAGAATCTTCGGCCTCGCCTTGGGCGTCGTAAACGCCGAAATTATCCTGAAGGTCCTTTACAAGGGCTTTGAAGGAGGATGTCCAGGCCGGCAGCGAGTCGAGATCCGGGTCGAGGATATCAGGGACAAACCATTCTTTGGCTGACCCACTGAGATAGGAAAGGGTGTAGTTCACCTTCCGTTGGTCGGTGAAGTACTTGGGACGGTCATTGAAGACCAGGGCGAGATTGACGAAGAACGTCTTGAGTTTTCGGGGATCCGAACCGTCGAAGACCTCTGGCTCCTTGACCTTGCTCTTGGATTCAGAGCTGTCAGAGGGACGGCCGAGAGCGGCGAGGACGGTACCAAGGGTCTCAATGGAACCCTTGAACCCCGAGAGGAGTTCCAACATAGCTCGTTGCTCGTTGGGGATGTCAGGAGAGATTGGGGAACGAGGTCCACCAGGTCCACCAGGACCACCAGGTCCGCCGGGACCGCCGGGACCGCCAGGCCCACTGGGGTCACCAGGCTCACCACGCGGTAAACCGCCGGAGTCGTCATCCAGATCGTCATTGTTGTTGTCGGCACCCGGATCGTCGGGGTCGACAGGAGGGTCTTGATCATCGTGATCACCAGTATCCAAATCGAAATGAGGAGGTGGGTCACGAGGAGATTCAGAAGCAGCTCGACGTTGGGGTTGTTTTCCCGTACGGCGGGCTATGGCTTGGAGAATTGGAGAATCAATTCGAGCAGTTGACCGGCCCCGAGCCGGAGCGACCACGGGGGGTTGTCCACGGCGAGGGGTCAAGACTTGGACAGGTTGTCCGTCACCGGTGTACAAAGTGCTGTACTCAAATTGCTGATCTTCTTCCATGGCTTCAGGAAGAGTTGACGTAGTAGGAACTGTGGCTGGACCGAAACCGCGATTACGGCGACGTGGTTGACCGATGGCAGAGATAGAGTCGGAGAATGGGGCAAATGATTGAGCTGTGGTGAAGAAAGTGTTTTCTTCGGAATTAGCTCTGGATTGAGCTCGAGTTTTCGGAGGCATAAAAAATGATATGTCAGTACGACGTTACGGATTGAGTTTAATTATACTGTTAAGATCATGTACACCGTGTAACCGTGCCAAGGCCACAGGGTGTCTAAGTGTGGAAGACGAATGGGACAGTAGTGAAGTTATTAACAACACCGCCGTTACGCCGTTAGTCCCCGGAGAGCGAGAGTAGAGAGAGAGGAGCTAAGTAGCAGCCAGGTCGGAGCGGCGGTATCGCCGATGACGAGGAGCGGACCAGAGAACGTCAAAGTCCTAAGGTCGAGGAGAACGTACTTCGAGGCGTTGAGCCTGAAGACTTAGAGAAGAGTTAAGTTGAGAAGGGAGATCTAAGTTGATAATTAAACTGAGGAACTACAGTAGCGTACAAGCAGTATTTATATCCACGGAGCGGCGCAACGGGGCGGAGCGCCAGACTAACTACTAGGAGTTATACGTGTAGTCCTGCAGGGTAAGGTAAAAGACAATAAGGAGGGACTAGAGTGAAAGGGTATGTGTAGCGAGAAAGAACAATAAGGAAGAGATTACAATAAAAGGTAGAACTTCGGAATACCGAGCGGCGGAATGGAGGCCCGAGGCATGGACTTGACAGGACAAGCCACAAAACTGTGCTGAAATGATGAGTATTTTGCTCTACAGGCATCTATGCACATCTCTTACTACAAAATACAATACAAAGTCCTCAAGTGCTGTTGTTCTTGACTTTTGAGTTTTTTCAAGAATGTTGAGATTCATCAAAAATGGTGAATTTTGTGATTTCGCACACCATAAAGCTATAGGCTTTCTCAATTATGGATATAAGACTTAGATTTTCTGGGTAGGTCTACCTACGAGGGTACTCAACAGGGCCCGTGTTCTCAATAGACTGTATTGGGGCTGGGTGTTGAGATAAAAAGTGCTCAAGGATTGTCACTCTGAAAGTCACTGAAAAGCACATGACGTGCGTCGAAACTGAACTGGGAGTATCTTACCTTTTGTTGTCGGATGATTTTCAAATTTTCTTCTTCTCGGAATTCGTAGTACATACTAAATATGGTCAGTCCGTGTATTCCCATTTACAAGGGAGCTTTCGATAATGTCTTTGAATGTTGATTGGGATAGACCAAGGAGGAGTGGAGAAGAGCCAAAGATGAAAGGGAAAGCATCGTGACATCCACCTACTAAATATACCCAATAATACATCAAGACGTCGTAAAGTATTCTGACTGAGGGTATTGAACTCAAAGAGAATAAGAATTAGGATAACGGTAATATTGATCGCAAAACACAAACACTCAATATGGTAAACTTTGTTTCTTCATGTTCTTCAACGCTCACCAATACTGGTTTTGATAGGAATTGGTAGTATTCAAGTTGTGTAACCAAGCTTGTATCACCCTAATCGCATGCCATGCATTTTCCCTTGCTATTAATCCATCCCTTATCTCTTCATGAGTATGTAATGGACAACATTGTGTTGTGTTAGAGGCGTGTTAAACATAGTAAAGTGAACATAAGGCGGGTGAAACGAGCTACAAACAGCGAAGTCTGGTTTACTGAAAGACGTGGGATTCTTCTAGTTATTCATTTGCAAGAGCTTTCAACTCTCTGTATCTGATACATATGTATATACATAATTCATCCATCGAGCGCCGCAGAACACACGAGAGTACTTATTGGAGCTTAAGAAGAAAAACCCTATATCACACATTGAACAAACGCGCCAAACCCTGTCTATACTTGTTCTCCTCATTTACACCCGTAATCAACCTCAATGCACCACTCCCCTTGCCTTCCATCATCGCCTTCATATATGGTAAATAAAGCTTCTTCATCGTCTCAGGATCCTCATTCCCAAATGTAAACCCTGCCCCCCTTGCCTGTGTTGCGATCCGTGCTAGCAGGACATAGATATACAGAATATCAATTTCTTCCGTCGGCACCTTATCCAACGCAGCGTATAACCTCGTCTTTGCTTGTTGCAGACCTGCCGGTTCGGCTTTGAGTTGGCCTAGTAGAATCCCAGAATTGGGTCTCACGTTGGTAAACGACTCGAATAACTCCTTCATCCACACCCCGTTTTCGAACGTGGTGGAGTACCCCCGCGTGTCGATGGTTAAAATCCAGATTTCTTTATCGGGTTGGATGTTGGTTAGGGATAATTCGACTTCGGTATGGGTTTTCGGGTTGCGGAGTTGGTATTCGATGTTGCCGATTCTCGTATGGGGATTCGTGACGGTGATGTTTACCCAGAGCCGTACAAGGCGGACGTCGACGAGTTCATCTATGGTGGAGTAGTGAGCATTAAAAGAGTAGCATAATCTTGGGAAGTCCTTACATGAATGTGCTCTGTGGGATAATGGAGAAGCCGTGGTTGCTGCCACAAGGAGCGTCGATAGCAGAAAAATGAGAGGGAGTAAACGGATTTGAATCCAAGATAGCATGATTATGTCCTGATATTGTAGCGGCGGAAAGAGGATCGAAATATAGATGAACCGTAAAGAAACTGTGGATAGATGGATGGAATGAACTTCAGGGGAATATTCGATCTGACGAGAGAACAGAGAACATTGAACGTTAGATGAACGAACTAGACAATCACAAGGATGTATAAAATACACACCTACGAGCGGGGTAGATGGGTTTTTTGACCAGCAAGAAACACGAAATTTACCCCCAATTCCGATGTATTAAGAAACTAGACCAGCCAGAGGATTAGACACCTCTGTGAGATTCTGTCGAGTAGAGCGAACTAGTGGGGATGCCGGTGGAGAGTTTGGTGAGTGAAATTGAAGGACGACTGGCGGGGGCTTCTAAGTATGTAGTACGAAATGAAGAGGAAACTATTGTATTCAGCAATCATGACCCTGCATCGCCATGGTTGATCAATATCAACTTCCGGGTCGCAGCCAATCGCTGCCGTGCTTGATTCGAATTTATTGCTTCCGCTCGTCCCAGATCATGCACTGTACATATTCAGATCCTCATGCATCTTCAGTGATCGAGTCATTCAGAACCTATATACATGGCCCTACGATATTGAGGATAATATTGAGCAAAGGTCATTATACGCTCTCTAGACTTCAGCCCGCCCAGCTCCTTCATAATCCTTTGCAGACTTCCACTAGATTTCCTTTGCGTGTATGGGGTCGGGAGAGGAAAGAAAAAAGTGACGTGATGCGTGACATCATCACACTCCTTCTTGCTCCTTCTTGAGGAAGCTATACAGAAAGGAAAGAGAATAAATACATAAAAATCTTTGCACACACTGCTGGAAGGCAAGACAGGAGGGTTGGAAGCAAATATGATGTTCAGTGTACAGACTAGAAACTTTGCTCAATACATATTGTCAATGGCCGAAGCTGGAGACTCCGAATTAAGAGATTTAAATTCAGAAGGGACGATGAGGACGGGCCTTTCCATTCAATTGGGGTGGGGGGTCGTGAGAATCGTTTCCGCGATCTGAATCTCACTCGCCTCTTGATTTGTCCTTTGGACACCATGATGCCTGATCTACCACAGGAACTAATCGACCGTTTCATCGACGAATCCTTTCGTTCTACAGAAGATCTCAAAAATCTATCGCTGGTTAGCAAGTCCTGGCTCCCTAGAACTCGATACTACATCTTTCGCTGCATTACGCTTGCACCTCGAGACCCTCAGGAGATCAGCGAATACTACGATTACCTAGACCGCAAAGCCTCTGCCATACGTAGTGGACGTTCCTATCATCCCCTATCTTTCACAGAACGGCGACTACTTCACTCTCCATTATTTGGGAATCTACAACCGCAAAAAGTCTTTATGTCTTCCATTCGAGATACCCTTCATCTCGTTCGGGGTCTACGTCTACAATCCTTCATTCGAATAGGCGGAGAACGACGGATATCTCCTGAGGAATACTTTCATCGATGGCTTGGATTCGGAGGCCACAAATCTGCCGAAGAGTCCATTCTAATGCGGGGCCTATCTATTGATGATGAGTTTCATGAAAGACAGAAAGCTCGCTGGAATGCTGTTGATCTACCTTGGGGTCATCGAGCAGGGCTCCATGCACTATCATTTAGAAGCTTGCGGTTTATTCATATCCAGTGGAGTGTATTTAGTTGGATACCACCATCTGTTGCTTTGGAAGGAGACGATTTTCCCGTTCATGTGGATCTTGACGAGTGGCCAGGATATCAGCTAGCCATGCTTCTCAAAGCTAACGAGAACACCCTGGACCAAATTTCGATCGATGAGTATCCCGGCTTCCAATTAACCACTACCCAGATTTCAGATGCACTGTTGGATCTCCTTATGGTCAACGTGCCAAAACTCAAGTCTGTTTGTCTTGGGGGATTGATGCAGCGAATGAATACTTTTCCAGTACCTGAGGCTTTATTCGATCTTTCCCAGCCAGAAGATCCAGAGGCCCTTGTCTCACTAGACCGACCGCGCTACCCTTCAGGCCGGGAGGTTCCGCATGTGTATCCAAATTTGGCCAGTACAAGGAGTAACAACTCAGACGGTCAATCTCTATCTCTTGATCGTTTTTCTGTTCGAGGGTTTGACTCAGAATCCACTCTTCTGATAGAGGATGCATTCCTGAATAGCGGAGTACTCTCTGCTATGAAATATTTGACTCTGTCTTCGATGCCAGAGAACTTCGATTATATGTTCTTCCTGTCTAGATTGTGTCGGACATTGACACACCTCACTCTTGATTTGGATAAGTCGAGTGCGTTTCCTCTTTTGTCTTTGCTTTCATAGAATTCATTTTCCGATAGCCCGCCATCTGGACTTGCAATTTCATCTCCTCCCTAATTTGACATGTCTCCAGTTCATGATACACTCGATCGTAGATGAGGATATCCTCCGAAACATGATCCTATCTCTGCTAAATGATGGTGCTTCCGAATTGGATGAACCCATTACAGCTGCGCGCACAGTCAAACTACACTTGGCATTTTGCCACGAACATCACCCAGATCATGTAAAGCAGTACTTAATTGCAGCCTCGGTGGATGAGCTATTACAGACGCTAATTCTGCCTACGTCATTCGAACTGCACCAGCCAATGAGAACACCAAGGGTGGACCAAATCACGATGGATTTACCTGTGAATATCCTCTCGGATTCCTTGCCAATAACGTTTCGGACAGGAAGTTTGAACTTTGGAGAAACAGATGACTGGTGGTATCGGCCTTCCAACCTATAATGCGAAGGGGATTCGAGAGAAGACGAGACAAGTGACATCAACTTTTGCAACCTTTATATGTAGGACTTCTCCGAGCCACGAAACAAGATTCATTTCCTTGATATTGCACTTGTGTCCCTACTGAGGATGTAGTTTACCAAAGTAACATTCGACTGAATGTAAATACATTTCTGAAATGTGTGAATAGCTTGGCCGACGAGAGCTCAGGTCTGCTCAGCTTGGGTGGGTCACGGGTCTTTGTACATGTTCCAACTTGAACATGGTGTGAATATTCAAACGATGATTTATGTGTTGTTCGCAAAACCGATTGATTTTGATTCCTTCGAAAGAAGAACAAAGAAAGGAAACCCCAAGCTAGCGCAAAATACAGCTAGAAGAAAGGCTAATCCACAGTAGCTCTCCTGGTGAGGGCCGTGCAATCCGAACTTCACTCCCACCCGCACTCGGATCGCAGGATCTCATTTTCCTTCTCCCTTGTCCAACTCCTTCATTCGCATCTTCAATTCATCCACCTGCATCTCCAACTCCTTCGCGTACAGATGCACCGGACAATCATCTGCACATAGAGAGCACGTTGTCTTCTTCCAAGCTTTCTCAAAATCAGAACCAATGCCTCCGCCACCTCTATCATCAAACGCCGCGTGTCCTAGATGAATTTCGGAAATCACATTGACATCCTTATCCGATACCGGCGCCGATTCAGAACTTGACCCAGACGAAGAAAACGCTAGTCTCAGCGTCGGTCTTTCCCTCGAATCCGAATTTGCGGATTTATCTTCCGCTGGAGACGGCCTTGAGGAATACTCGCTCCCTGAAGCGGAAGTCGAACGTGAAAAGATCGAATCGGTGTCACAGCCATTGACTACCCGAAGAGTTCCAGGGAAGGGGTCTGAACCTGCGTCTGATAATTCAGATATAACAAGCTCTGGATACTTGCTTTCAGTGTCCGAGTTTGTTATTATTTGAGCGACCGAAGGTGGTGTATTCAGGGATCGGGATGTGTCCGAGGAAGATGTACGAGCAGTAGGGGACTCGTCGCCACCAGAAAAACGGAGGTCCAATAATCGTTCATCAACTGGTTCCAGCAAAAAAAGAAGATTAGAGCATGAAAGACACTTAAAAAGACAGAATAGACTATGTTAACGACGTTTGACTTACGTGCGGACACAGAGCTCTGACTCGGAGAAGCTTCTCTCTCCATATGTATTGCCTCAAATTCACGTTCATGTCTTGTGTTGGAAGATCGACAGCTATACCGGCTATGTATGCTCCCTTCCTGCTCAGCTTCGGGAGGTACAAGGGTTTGTGTACTCGCTACAAAAATATACTCAATTAGTTTCGAATTCACTCAATTACGAAGAGACAACCTTACGTCTTCCATACGATAGCCCTCTCACTAAACCAATCTTGAGAGGCGAAGACGGACCAGAAAATTTGGGTGTAGTGTCCGGCGAAACGGCAGTAGGATCGAGTCTCAACCGGTTAAGCGACATGGACGAAGCAAAGAGAGACTCTTCCGCCGGGCGTTGTGCATTCAAATAATGAAGTCGTCTGGAAGAATCTCTGTGTGTAGTACAAGCTGCTCCTGTTATCTCGTATCTTCCTCCGGGTCCTCTACTTTCGGTATTTGAATCAGGACAAGTAGTCGGCAAGTTGACAAGGTTCGGGGATCCGTGAGATACAAATACGTCGTCGAGGGCGAGGTCGCTATCGACTGAGATTCCACGTTCGAAGAATCCTCGAATGATATCTCCCCAGTGGGTAACGAACCAAACCATCATTAAAGTCGAGCGACCATCATCCTCTTGGTCATCCTTCCCAAACAACCAAACACCCCAAGCCATCCCCAATCTCCTCTTCTCGTTCTCCCTCTCATTCTTCCCTTCCAGCTCCCTCTCAAACGCCAACAACTGCGCTTCCAGCGCCGAAACCCCTCCTTCAACTGCACAAGCCAATGAGTCACTCGCCGCTGATGCCCTTCGTCTCTTCTTCATATGAACTTCCAACACCTGACACGAGAACGCCATCAAATACACAAACAACGATAAATTCGCCGTCGGGAGCAGACCCAGAAGCATCTGTGCGATTCGGATCCGGGTTGTTGTTTTGGCGGCTAGTCCTCCTCCTACTACGCCTTGGGGTTTAACACACCACACCCACAATGCGTTCCTCAGCCCTGGAAGGACGTCCGTAGGAGCAAGAACGGGTTCCGGGAGTCGAGACAGGAATAGAGTGAGCAGAGCATAAATGTCATTGGAGGCTTCGTCTTTGAGCGATGCGTTCAGCCCGAATTTATGTACGGGTGAGTCGAATATGGAGAGCAGTGTTTGAACACGTGGTTGGATGTGTTCTGCAGCGTTTGGCGGAGAAGAGGAAAGGGTTCGTCGAACGAATTTGTTTGAGGAAGGCGAGGTTGGAGTTGGATTTGATGGCGTGGATATTCCTAGACGAGAACGAGCACGTTAGCATTGAAAGTTTATTATGGACAGACGGCAACGATACGTACCATTACGATATAGCTCTTCAACACAAGCAAACACAACAATGGGGAGATTGTGCTCGAACCCACCCAAAACAGCTTTTGTAGAAGCGTACAGTGCTATTTGACGTAGAGGGAACCCAAATACACCTAAAATCACATCTCGTTAAGAAATTCAATCACTATTAGAAAAAAACGACGCAACTTGTTGGCTCTGAAAGATTGTCAACAGCAATTCTTCCACTTGAATGTCCCTTGATAGACTTTGCTCGTCTAAACCTCGCTGCTCCCTCCATAAGCTCTCGCTCATGTATCGCTGACATCACGTCCAAAGGTAGATACTCTCGTACCTTCCCACATTCTTCAGCACCAATCAAAGATTTGAAATCGCTCAGAATTTGCTTCGGATCGCGTTTAGAGAATTTGCGAGGTTCCGGGACGGTTATTGGGATTACTGGTAGGGATGTTGAAGATGGTATCGGGGGTATAGGCGGCAGATCTAGACGAAGTAATGGCTGTGGATGTGGCTTCTTCGTAACTAGAGATGTAGGCGCTGGAGCCGGTCCTAATGACTGTCGAGGACGATGATTTGAACCAGGACCCATGGGCCCAACGTATTTGTTTGGTTTCTTCAAGGTCGACGGCGTCATTGGAGCTTCGAAAGTATCGAGCGAGGCAGACGGCCGATGCCGGCTTTTTGGTGTCAGAGCGACGCTTGGGCGAGGCAATCGCGACGGTGTACAGAAAGAACTGGGCCTCGGCGTACAATTGGCACTGAGCGGGACAGGTACCTTCTGATGTGCAGATTCTGGTAGAGATGTAGATCGATTCCTGGCGTGCTCTCCGCTATGGCTAGCGGGATGGAGGAATTTGGTTGGACTGGATTCTAAGTTCCTTGACTGCCTAGAGTCGGACACAGTAGAACGTTTAGAGCGAGTAGGAAGTTGGGTGTAAGGAGAGGTGCTTCTGGTGTGATAATCATTGCTGTTATCAACGAGTGGACGGCTGAATACCATAGTGATGTTAAAGAATAAGTAAGAACGAACATACGATCGATCATCTTATTAACCAGAATTCGACTTGCCACGACGACGCCAAATATGAGCTTCCAGTTTTCCTCTTTGAAACTTTCGTCCAAATGGAATATTACTAGCACTCCTCAAGGCCTCAAGATTTACCTGACATATCTACATTAGAATCCAGGCCGTTGATGATTAACTGAGAAACACATACCCGGTCCAGTAAAAGCTATGAATACACGGTCATTGACTGAAACACGCCCAAATCTTGAGGACAAATAGTACAATTTGAAAGCTGGCGGTATGCGATTGTTTTTATCTTCGGTCAAAACACATCCGAAGAATCGATAGATTACTGAAGACACTGACCAGCCAATGTTTTCTGAGTATTGCGAAGATGAAGTGTATAATCACGGGGCTCACCGAATCCGGCCCGGCAATCCTCCAACTTCGCCTCAGCCCAAATTCCTGCTCGTTCCTTCTCATATGCAAACGCCGTAGACTGACTACATCCTTTCTTTCCTCGAGGTTACGATGACTCTGCACGTATATGCATGCACTAAATACTCCATCGGGCGTGCGAGGCTCTTCTTAAATCTGCCTCTGTGCCGTCCTCTCTGCTCGCTGCGTCCAGCATCTCGTTCCTCCTCAATTTCCCTCAACTTGACTCGGACATGCTGGCAGCAGCTGCCACATCGTGGATTCTCAAGCATGTCAGACACTCCTAATGATCTCTTCAACTATTCATCAGGACGTTGGCTGCAAGTCTTGTACATGTTGTTCTCTGGCGTATATGTCTAATCCATAATTCCGGACTTTCAGTGTCAACAACGATCTTCGGGTTGCAGAGCGCAGACGTGAGTTTGACGTCGAGGAGCTCTGTCGACTTGCGGCGCAGTCTGTTGGCCGGACTTCTCGTGATATCCAAGCATTTGTGAAGCTCGCTGAGGGCGGCTTTAACCGGACTTTCCTTATCACCATGCATGATGGCTTCGAGATGGTAGCCCGCGTCCCGTACACCGTCACAGTCCCCAAGTTCTATGCTATTGCTAGTGAAGTAGCCACAATGCGTTTCTTACGTTCCTCGGGGCTACCTATTCCCGAGGTTTATGACTACTCTCCTTCGTCGGACAACGCTGCGAAGACGGAATATATCTTTATGGAGTTTATCAGAGGTACCAATTTTAGCGATGTGTGGTTGGACCTGGAGGAAGGAGAAATCAACTCGGTCTTGCGTCAACTTGTTCAAGTCGAGTCTCGCATGATGTCGATCCATTTTCCAGCTGGTGGAAGCCTTTATTATACTGAGGATCTGGAGAAGATGACAGGGAGGAAGGGAATTTTGCTCAACGACGAACGCTTCTGCGTCGGTGTAGATGCCAGGGTGCGTATGTGGTACGGACGGAGGTCACAGTTGGATGTGGACAGGGGACCCTGTACGCCACTATCTGCATATTTCTTTTTGTTGAACTAATAGAGTCTCGTAGACGAAAGCGCCGAAGCAGCACTTGAAGCAGTAGCACGCAAGGAAATTGCATATCTAAGACAGTTTGGTCAACCAATACTCCCATTCCAGCGAGAAAGACGGGAATATTACGAGTACAAAGAGCAGTTACCGTCAGACCACATCAAGAATCTCGAACGCTACCTTCTCATGGCACCCTTGCTCATCCCAAAAGATCCTGCTCTTCATCATTTCTGTATTCGCCATCCTGATCTCCAGCCGAGTAACATCATCGTGTCGAGGTCACCAGAATCTAACCAATTAAAAGTCGTGAGCCTGTTGGACTGGCAACACGCCTCGATCCTACCCCCATTTCTCCTCGCTGGTATACCAGATCGCTTCCAGAACTACAATGACCCAATCTCTGAGGCTCTCATACCACCTTCCCTACCGGTGAACTTGAACAAATTGAACGAATCAGAGCAGAACCGCGAGAGGTCACTTTACCATAGCCGTCTCTTCCACCTCCACTACGTCAAGAACACCAAAGAGTACAACAGGCGTCATCTCGATCTGATCATTGACCCCATATCCATGTTCCTCTGCCGCCTTTTTGATGGGGCCGGTGCTCCTTGGGAGGGTGAAACTCACACTTTGAAGACTGCGTTAATAAAGGCAACTGAGGTATGGGCGAGGCTTGTGGGGCAAGGGGAAGCCGTGCCGTGTCCAGTTGTATTCGATCCTGAGGATCTACGCCAGACAAAGGAGCTGAGTGAAAAGCTGCAAGCAGTCGATGAGGCCTTCGAGGAGTGTCAAGCCATGATTGGTTTGGGACCCGAGACTTGGGTGACCAACGAACAATACGAGATGGCCGTGGCCCTCGGCGAGTTGGTAAAGCAAAAAGTCCTTGCAAGGATCCCGGAGGAAGACCGCGCTAGGACTGAGGCGCATTGGTTCCTGGACGATATGGACGAAAAGGATTACTTCTAATATTGTATATTTTGGCATCATTCACGCTTGATTGTAGTGCTATATATATCAATTTGCCTGTTGATCCTCAGCTGAGTCTTAGGTCGGTCTACTATGAACCCAGTGACTAAAACTGTTCACAGAAACTACCGAGGATGAGCATTATTTCGAGCCTTTGCCGTCCATCAGATATCCCAATGGTTCTGTAAATTTGCCACGTATGCTAGTGTAGTAAAGGGAAATCAACAAGGCAGCCCACAGAGACATACCCATCGAGGGAGTGAATGACCCGCAGCGGGATGGAAATTTCTTGAGATATATGGAATCGAACTCTATAGCAAGGAAAGTTATCCACTTGTAGGTTTTCTGCACAGTGTACTACCCATTCAAATTGATCTCAAAATCTCAATATTCTTCTCCTTCTCCCCGTATTTCTGACTCCTTCACCTACATTCCCAAGTCCTTCGTATACAGATACGCCGGACAATCTTCTCTACATCGAGAGCACCTTTACCTCATCATTCCGAGCAGTGAACGCCAGTAAGCGTGGTGTATTCAGGGATCGGGATACAACCGAGGAAGACGGCGTATGAGCGATAAAGAGGAGGGGGGCTCAGAAGAGACGGAAGTTGAAGACGCGAATCAGAGGCTGTTTGACTGGCTACCCCATCTATCTGTCACTTCATGAACCGTAACCGTTGGATGGAGCAAATGTCGTACCTGTTGACGGTTTCAACTTCGCAGCGGTATCAGCTCCTGGGACCAATTGAGCAAAAGAGAAGTCAAGGCAAGGACGTGAGCGATGACACTATTTAGGCCTTGGGCCGTAGTACATCGGGGATGCTTGAAGCTGTGTGAGTGGTCGATGGATACAAGGAAGTGAATTAGATTGTGAAGAATGTCGAGCGTACGACATGAGTCTAAACTGCCACTATCTCAATAGATTGAGTTGTCCTCTGGTTTTCCTCTATTTGTCCAAATGAAAGATCGTTTCTCTAGATTAACGTGGCAGATCTAGCTTATTGGGATTAACGCTGTTCCTTGGTGAACCCCTGAGAAGTTGTATGGGCTCAAACATGTACACAGACATACTTTGGGCTTATTAATTCACGGGTACTGACCAAAACACGGCCGAATTTTGAGAACGAGCAGGACAATTTGAAAGCTGGCTGTACGCAATTTGTTGGCATCTTCGAAACACGTCCGAAGAGTTGATGAATCACTGATATCCTGGACACTGTCCTCCATGATGTATTGAGAAATAGGAAAATGGAGAAATGTTGGACCAGGGTACAAATTTTGCGTTCACCAGAATCCGGTCCGGCAAGCACCCAACTCTTCTTTCTTGACCCCTCAGCTTACCGGCGCGTATAATAAATAACAAGGTACCTCGCCGTTGCTTCAACGTTTCAGTCCTCCTCATACACCTCATTTAACCAATGTTGGATCTATCATGTTCCAGGATTTACGACTCACAGTTCGAGCTCTGGCACACATCCCGTTCACCTTTTGCTTCTCTGATCGGAACAAACCATGTACCCACTCTATCCGAACTCAATCAGCTCGAATCCCTGCTCGTTTTTCCTTATAACGAACACCATAGACTGACCACCGAAATTCGTCGTGTTCAGACCATCCTGAACGGTCTGATACATGAACAACAGCTAATTGAAAAGTATATCGAGGCTCACAAGGCTTTGATGTCTCCAGTACGACGACTACCTTCGGAAACACTCTCCGAGATATTTAAATGGTGTCTTCCAAATGATCTTCCATATGCTGTCAGAAATCCATCTCAGGCGCCACTTATTTTTACCACAATCTGTCGAGCTTGGAGGCGTACGGCAATAAACACTCCTGGGCTGTGGAACTCGTTACACGTGTACCTTCCTCCGCATTTAAGCGGTGCTACCTGTTCTCGACGGATAAACGGTTTCACTACATGGTTGAAACGTTCTGGCTCACTCCCGCTATCCATCTCCTTTCATGGGAGCACGACGATCACCCTCGATACTACACCCAGTATTCCATGTTGCCCAGACGAAAACATGGAGATGGCGATCAACAGTTTGATGCAATTCAGCGATAGATTCGGTGAACTATTTCTGTCACTATCGTCCGTGGATTTCTCTGCGTTTTACAGGCTTTCCCCTCCTCGTTTCCCCATCCTCAGATCATTACAGATACGGGATGAAGATTTTCATCGAGGAAAAATACGAAACCTCGGACCAGAGGTCGAGCAGATGCACAGTTCTTATTTCACTGCACTTCTCTCCAGAATGCCCGTGTTAAAGGAATTGCAGATGCGTAAATTCACTGTCGCAGACGATAGATATAGCTCTTTACCCTGTAATTGGGAGCATATAACCAAGCTTGAGATAACGGCCACTCTAGGCCCCGACCAAGTCATCACAATCTTATCCTCCACACCAAAAATGGAGTCAATCACCCTCTCTATTGGTCTGTCTACTCCCCACGTATTTCACGATCTTCGTGTCGTGCAGCTCAATAACTTGGTTGAAATGAAATTGACATTTCTGCGGCTGTTCACCCAGGTCTCAATGACGATGCATCGTCCAGATGTGATTTCGGCTTTTGAGGCTGAAATAACGTCTATATTCGATTGCATCCAATGTACTGCCTTGTATTCCCTCAGCTTCCTTTGCCATCATGTACTACTATCACGGCTACCATTCATTGGACTACCTTTACACGCTCTTGAGACTCTTGAGCTAACAATGCCAATGACGGTGGAGATGATGGCAGATTGCATCTCCAAGACTCCGAATCTGGTCAACTTTCAACTAACGGATCTCGATGATGTATCGACGGGACCGCAACTTCATGCCGACCCTCTACAAGAGTCGTACCTCCAGAGACTCACCCCCTCATCGGACTCACCTACTGCGCCGCTTTGGTGGCCCAAACTCCAAAATATCCGCATTCTTAGCCGACTCATGTCGCCTTACGCCTACAGGTACGCCAACGCTTTCTCTACCTCAACTTTAACAAGGTTCCTCAAGACTCGCTCCGAATCAAATTCTTTGTCTGTTCCTCGTCTGAAATCCTGCGACATCCTTTTCCGCCAACGCCCGGCTTTCTCAGAAGCGGAGCTACAGACTTTGCGTAACCTCAAAGAGAAAAGGGGGCTGAAGCTAAGATTGAACGGGGCCAGATGTCCTTCTGTATGGGAATTCGGTCCAGATTCACCTGAGACTGGCTTGGTAGAGCCTTTGAATGGAACCAAATTATCTGATATGGAATGCATCTTTGGGACGGATGTTATTGTTTGAGTCTCTAACTAAAGCATGGACCAATTATTTATTATATTTAATAATTAGGACTGCTTGATTGCTTCGAGAGGCAAGCACAGTAGTCACTGAGAACCTGCATTAATTATAATTCTCAGAGCCGCATGTTACCACAAATTACTTCAGCGTACTGACAATTCACGCACTTTGTCTAAAGTAGACGGTTGTCAAAGCTATTCTTCCCATCAGTTCATGATGATAGTATGCTTGTATCCTAGTGAAATTGATAGGTGTTGTTTAGGGAAATGGAAGCAATACTGAACTGCCACAATAAAATACAATTGTTATTCATGTATTCCTTATCATCAGCTACCAAATATTCACCGTGGCTATAACAGGCGTCATTTCTATATTTGCCTGTTCAATGCAGAATGATATTCCTAGGCGCTTTGGTCGTGTCAATTATCGACTAGTAACATCTTGCGCAAACAGCTTGAAAACGTATCTTACCAAAATATCACCTGTATTTAATTGTTTGGGTTGTCCCGACGCTAACTTCACACCGTTAATGTAGGTCCCGTTCGAGGAATCTAGATCTTGAACAAAGACCTTCACGAAAGATCCCGAGTCAGTATCATGGAACGGTGATGTGTTGGAATCGAACCTTTCCATCTTGTTCCAACCATACTAAGGCATGTCTCTTGCTGACAGGATTTAAACCGACACCACTGGCGTACGAAAAGTATCCATTGCTCAGCGATTCTGCTTTCAACGGGTCATCTTCGTAAATCCCTTGACGTCCCAGTAAAACAGGTAAGCCAAGCTCTAAACTGATTTGCTTCGGGAGAAAAAGGAGCGACGACTCGGTTGGCGTTAGTGTGAGTGTTTTGGCAATCATCGCGAATATATCGAAGCGCGTAGAGATATGAGAGTGACAATGGTGGTCGCACAAGATTAAGAAACAGGTAGAAGAAAATGTTATCAGCAGGCACAGAGTCGGGGTGATCCCGGGTTGATCTTTGTGGGTCCATGTAGGCGCCTGCGTCCCACAAAAAGACAAGGAACAAGTGTCAAAGTTGTCAGCTAGCATGGCAATGAAATGCGGCTTGAATGCGAGATTTGACACCAGCTTGCGCATGTGCATCCTTTGAAATCAATGGAAATGTAGCGGATGTGAGGGAGATGGGTAGTTGTTTTTCCAACGACGTTTGCTTGAAGGTAGCAGGGACAACCCGGTCTGCGACTGTGACGATTGCGACTGCACACCCATGCCCGAACATTCCGAGTACCCAACTAAAGCTATTGTAAGAGCGAGGATATTATGTCTGGTCTAAATTTCGGAAATATCACACACTGGGATAGGGCCTAAATTTAATAAGAGCCCTACTATCACGAAAGCTTGAACGACCAGAGTGTGCTAAGATGTGCTATAGCAGCAATTTACGATGTCAATGTCTCTCTCCCGACGATTTACTCAACTTAAAGACTGTTCGTCTAGATCCGTAGTCCGCTCGAGCCTCCATCCGATGCTCCTTCCTTATAGAATCGATACATTGATACAACTAGCGAAAATGTTCAGCGTGAATATTTATCAATCCAGGTCGCCGTACAACTGACGACGGCGGTGTTGATCGACAGGAATATCCTTCAAAGCAGAACTTCGCTTCGCTTTTGAGACTGTTAGAAATTGATCATTGTCTTAAAATCGAGGAAAACATATACCTTTCTCGGAAGTACCTCCCTTCGCATTTCCACCAGAGATGCCTAAAGTGAATGAAAACTTTAAAAAGGTGAAAAGGCGGGGAATAAGAATGGAGCTGCATACCTCGTTCACCTTGGGATAGATCAAGCCAGGCCTGGAACCATTTATTGAAGTTTACTTGCGCCCAATATCTGCTAGTAGCATCCTTGGCTTCGACCATCTCATCGATGTGGGCATTCAATTCCTCGTCCTGTTTACTGACATCCTGTTTCTTGACATCATTTGATGAGCCGGCCCATTTGGAAAGGATCTTCATCTGGTAGAAATCGGATAATGTAGAAATTTTTTGAAGTATGTGATCGGAACTATTTGGTTGTTGTTTCTGAAAGGCGGGACGTAGCTGAGTAATAAGTATCGCCAAGGCATGCTTGACCAAGGTCGACGGGTTCCGTGATTGCGAGAAAGTGGTAAGCCTATCCTTAAGGAGCTGACTCGATTGCAGATTCGAGATCAGGGATTTCAAAAGTTGCTTGTAGGAAGCATCTTTAGTCGGTTCTTTGGAAAGTTCAATCAACCTCTTCTCCAAGGGCTCGATTACAGCTAGATCCACCGTCCCCCAGACCTTTCCCTCGTTGACTCCGAATTGTCTCTCTCTGAGTTGTCTCTCTATAGAGCGTAAAGCAGACAAAGCATCAGTCACAGTAAGCGAATCCAGAGAATATGAATGCCAACCTTGCGATTTCAGAAAACCAGGTTGGAGAAGAGAAGGAACATCTGTAACTATTCCGACCTCTGAAACAGAAACAGGGAGAGCAAGTACGGAGGCAGCCCCTGCAGCGAGGAGAGCACCAAGGACAGTATATATTTGCACCATTGCGCTCTTTATAAGCTTTATTACGCTTGAGGAGAAGACTTGTGTGAGAGTAGATGTGAAGTGCGCGGCACCAAAGTTGTTAGTTGGAAGGAGTGTTGAGAACCAGCTAAGAGGTTCGTACGAAAAATTAGAGATCTTTTATATATACCGAAAAATTAGTGCGAGAGGCGATGCCAGGTAGGGTCGATTCCGAAGGACCTTGTGGAGTCTGTGCGGAGCATCCGATTCCAGCCGATTCCTCGTTATGGCAATTATTCACATGTGTGTAAGTTGCTTCTCCCCTTGTCTCCCCTGTAGTAGCAGGATAGGATAGGATCTTGTCTTATCTCGTAGACGCAGTTGTTTACTTTGCTTCATGCAATGATAGGGAGCAATTGGTAGATTAGTGGGATTTGGGAAGAAGATTGGAGGACTGATTGGAGATAGAGGCGATGAAGGAAAACAAAGGCTAAATCGTAAACTCATCAGAGTCATATATCCTCACACAACATGTTCGAGGAAACATCCTTTTCTTATATCAATTAAACATGTACCACTTGTGCAGTGGCGGCAGAGGTTTATGGGGAAAACCAGCTCTTACTCCTCCTTTTTTCAGGACTCAGCGTCGAGAAACTTGTGTAAGCGCTTGGAAAGTCCGGCCGTTCCTTATGTAATGCCAACTCGCTTCTTCGGCGTTCGCCTTGATCCTTACTCTAATTCACAGCAACGCCGCCGTCGTCAACCGTCGTCCTACGGTGATGATTTGACAGTGACTGGTCGACCCATTCGAGCGCCAAGTTTGAGTGCTAGCATCGATGCTGGAAATGAGTGGAAATGTTTGGAGTTCGATGTTCAAACGAAGTTCACCATTCAGTTGCCCGCAAATGCACGTCAAAACCTCTTCAACCAAATAACTTGAAATGAGGCACCATCTGAAATCTGTGAAAACCGCGTAAAATGGTAGATATTGATCGCAAGCCGTCGGGTCATTTTCCAGTGCGCATTGACGCCTATTGACGCATGGCTTCAACTATATTGATGCAAATATAAAATGCCCAGGCTTCACTTCTCTAACCCTCAGAGCTGGTCTCGCACCTCCACGAACGAACAATACTTGTGCTGTGCACTTCACACCCACAAGATTTTCTTCATTTGATCTCTTTCTTCTACTCAGAATTTGCCATGGTTTATACACGTACCGTACTCAGCACTTTCTTAGTTGTTGGAAATGCCTTTGTATTCGCCGCTCCTGTTTCTGAGAGCAATACCGGCGGTCTCGCGACCGAGATTTCTTCATTGCGCTCCAGCTCTGGACCAGGTTAGCATTGCTACGTCTCACATGTGGGGTAACGAAAATTTAACTTCATACTTCTACCATAGGCAGAGAAGGTGAATCTCTTCTTGATCTCTTTGAGCTTTGAGCTTTATATTCTCCTTAGGTTCTTCCAACAGTGGTGAGCTCAAGAATAATAAACGTTCCTCCCCGCAGCATGGCTCACCGGATCGTATGTCCTCTCGATTTTCCCGAAAGCGGAGTTCTGATTGATCCTCCGTCTAATTCAAAGCGTGGTCCCCTGCTTCTACTGCCACTGGTCTCGAGAGTTTAGACCGGGAAGATTCTCTCGCTCCTTACGGAACCCCAACCAACCCCCCCGACCGAGACGACCCTCATCCCGCCCCCAATTCCCATACCCTTATCGACTCTAATACACCCAAAAAGGAGATCAAACAGAGAATAAATAATTTAGTGAGATATGGGCCTCTCAGGGAAAGGGCACAAGAGCTCCTGTCAAATGAACATCCTCCGCAACCGCACCTTTGGAACATCTTCCTGGGTATTTTCAGACACCCGTCCCATGACCATGACCATGTGCTCATTAAATGTGACGATCTACTCACTGACCTGAAGGATGTCCCAGATACAACAATTCAGCTTCAAGCAATCCTCCTTTGGATCACTCCCGCTATTTCCCAAACTGACAGAGAGCAATTGACGAAGATTGTTGGCAAGCTGAAAGCTGATCCTATGGACAAGGGCAGGATAAAATGGGGTCAATGCATTCCCAGCATGTATCTCAAGTACGATTTAATGTTCTTCAACGCGGCTTTCAACATGCGTTCCCGCGCGCTTGACGACGTGTTTGAACGTCAGAATTCACACTCTGTTTCGGACTTCCTGACAGATTCTCAAGAACTTCGTCTTTCTGCCAGAGATACGCAAGGCGCCCATTGCTGTAAAGTTCCTCTTACTTTTACTTATCCTTTGGTTGTTGAATATTCGCTCAAATCAGGTGGTAGCGAGAGTAAATGTGTCACAAGCGAAGGGGGTCCGAAAAGTATGTTTCGAGTTTTCGTTCATTGTGCATCGAATTCTCAAACTCCATTGTTTTTCCGGAAGGTCCCAGCACCGGTGGTATAAAACATCGTCGCCGTCGTGCCTACGGTGACGACTTGGATTGAAGTGGTACCGAGCTGTAGTGTAGAATCAATGTTGGAAGTGTTCTTTGCCTTTCGACGTTCAAGTTGTATACTTTGCTCGCAATTAATTCTTGTTCGTTGAACAATATTCGTCCTCCAACTGACCCGAATAGGTAAATGTACGATCCGAAACCCGACTTGTCACCACGCAGCGTCTTTTTGTACAGCACCGCCATCTCTAGTCATTCTTACCACGGTCCTCAGCAGCCCTTTTAGCCTTGTCGTCTGCGTCCCGGGGGCGTCCTCTCGTTTCAATATCAGCTGTGCATACCTGTGCAGCTTGAAATATACAGGTTCGCAAAGTCATGCGAGTTGGAACTGCTTCCAAATTCCAATATTTCAGAGCACTGAGAATAACGATGATTGAAAGAGGTGGCTAGTCGTTCCTTGCATCTCCGAGCTGGTCTCTTCAGGATGGCATAGGATAGTTCAATTATACTGGCTAGGTCAGTCTTTGTACTATCAACAGGCGAATCTTGTATCACCGCCGCGTGTCCAATAACAATCTAACGCTATCATTATTTGAGTTCTACCCGACAAAATCCCTATATGGTTCACCCACACACCATTCTTATTGCTCACTTCGCTTTCGGAGCTGTCTCTGCGCTTGCAGTCCCAGTTCCAGAAGATCTTTCCAGCGCTCTCGCAGCTCGGACGTTCCAATATGGACAGCGCTCATTATTGCCTTCTCCTCCGGTAAACCAAATTTTCTTGTCGATGATCAAAATTCGAACCAGTTGTCTCAATCCGGTTATCTATTGCCAGTGGTTTCGAGGATAAAGAACGAGATCCTCTCAGTCCATTTGAATCACTCAAAATCCCCGCTTTCTAACGTCATCCAATCCGACATCACTGGCACCTCCAACACGCGAAATACTTCGTCAGATAAACGATTTAGTGCTATACGGGCCGCTTAGGAACAGGCTTCAAAATTTCCTATCGAACTCATATCCTCCGGCTAAACCTACCTGGAATGCCCTCTTCGATATTCTAAGGAACCCTCACGACCACTCATCCAGAACCAAACGTGACGGCATTCTCAATGACATAGAGGAAGTAGATGCGAACATCCAGCTCAAGATAATTATTCTCTGAATTAGTGAAACCACCACTGAAGCCGATCGACAGGAATTGAAAACGATCGCTTGCAAGTTGAAGGTAAAACCTCAAGAGGATATCTCTCGACTCTGTTGATGACCTGTGGTTGAAGTACAACGAAGAGTTGATGAATTATAAGGCAGCCCTTGCGCGCGCTCTTCCTTAAGGTTCCCGGTAAAGTTGAGAACTGAACATTGTGCTTAGTATACTGCTCTTTTTGTCCGTTAAATTTTATTGACCTGAAAAAGAAAGGTCGCTAGAGGTCCCTACGGTGTCAGATTATAAGATATCAATCTATCACGCTCTGCAAGAGCTTACGCCTTAGGCTTTTGACGCGATACAGTGCTCTTTAGCTATGTATTAAGCAAGTTGGGTTCCGGAAGCCCCACAGACGGATTAAGTCCCCCTGAGGTCCGGCAACCCTTGGTACAGTAAGGTAATCAAATTCTCTTTTGACAACTCCATTCCGATGAACCATTACATGCATCACAGCCTCTAGAACCTCCCATCCTAATAGAACTCCCATGAATCTCGAATTTCTGTGCCTCCCCGGTTCTTGGCCTCATCATACTAAATTAGATATTAGTCTAATTGCTTATGTCCTTAGGGGTTAGGGGTTCTTAGCTCAAATATACGGCTTTCCAGACCGCTTGTTTGTATTAGGATGTTTTAGGTAGTGAATAATTGAATTTCGGTTGTATTTGAGCGACAACTGGAATTCCTCCACTATTGAGATGAATTGTCTCACAGGTAGTACATAGACGTTGATAGACATTTCAGTTTTCGACCTAATGAAGTTGTTGAATTGCCCGAAGCGACATGTGGAGACAGTAGTAGTGAACCGCCAACGGTGTGAGAAGACGATTTTTAATGCCCACTCCTCGGAGTCTGTTCCAATAAAAGTACATCGCTCTAATCATATAAATTGGAACCTCAAATATGAGGTTCAGACTGGTCCAGAAGATCGGTGAATTTGAGAGGTCAGTTACACTCGGGTACATTACATTTTAATCATTCAGTGGAGTATTCAAAACCTATTTCACTAACTGGGGGATCTGTTCGCAGACAATTGTAGCGGGACTCCTGAGAAAATATTTATGAGTAGATAAACGGACGCGACTCTGTGTTATTCTACTTAACCTTTTTTCTTCTCCCTATAAACGCGTCAATAATGATGTAAATCCTTCAAAGATATCCAACTAGACTTACGTTTTCGTGCCAGCTTATTTGGGCCTTGATTTCGGGCCCACCGAACAGAATCACTATCTGAAACTGGGCTTGGTGATAAAAGCGGCCATCATGGACGCCGGCAGTCTTTACTGCAGCAGATACATCAGCATAAACAGTACCCCAAGTACTGAACATTCCTAGTTGAACACAGTATAATTAGCAAGCCGAAAGATATCAGCGTCGTCGCAGAAAACATACGAGGTTCAAGGTCAGTCCACTGAGGAGAAGAGGATTTCCCTCTATACACTATAATTTCTGCAGATATTTCTCGGTAGGCAGCTCGTGTACTGCTTTCCAGAAAGAATTGTTCCTTGAATTCTGTTTCTTCATGTACTTGCGCTCCCTAAGAGAAGTTCAATTTCAACATGTATCATACCGAGGACCTTACTTTTGTTACTATAGCACTAAACACGTTGGGAATAACCTTCCGTCCCGAAGGTGCTGTGATCATCGTAGCCCGCCGGCGCATATGTTCCAGGTCGTAAGGATCATATGCCCTCACACAGTCTGTACCATAAGTGAACCGAGCTACTCTCACCGAAACAAAATGATCGAGGTAGTAAGATAAAGCCCCGTCAGCGACGGCTTTGTTCCTGAAGAGAATATGATTCAGACCTTGCCGAGGTGAAAAGTTATGTACGGGTTGTGTAGAACTCACAAAAATGCATCTGGTCGACTAACAGTCAAACCCAAAGGCTCTAGCTCATTTTTGAGCTGTGAGAACAACCAATCGTTCGCTGAAAATCCACCAGCCAGAAACACCGCCTAAAAGCATTACCTATTCAATGTCAAGACTTTTTTACAATCCATATATACGTACACCGATGAGTACTGCAGCATCTTTGCGTTGTTCCTTGACAGCCTGGATGATAGCCTTGATAGAGGGCTCGAAGAAAGTTTTAACAATATTCCTCCATTGTCCGTGAGATTTGTATACTCTAAGTCGTGTAATGAAAAATGACTTACCCAGGAATCTTCAGTTGCCCTGCTTTGATATCCACACTGGGGTCACGATCCCTAAAGGTGCCAAATTTTATGAAAACCGGATCGTCTGGGTTCCGAAAAGTATGTTTAGCATCAGAATCGAATATAGACGCGATTTGTTGAACATCTTCTTCACTCCCAAATCGGGAGTTTCGAAGCCTCTCTGTGTTACATAGATCATCTTTAGTTATGCAACATGTAGAAGCGGTCCTACTCGCCTAGTAAGTAATTGTGTGCTCGCCGTCCTACGAATACTGATCCCTGACCAACACCTACAGAGAGATCATCAGCTTCGTTCACGGATCAAAGATGGACCTTTGGATTGCTTACACTGAGAGGTGACAATCTCTTCGAATGAGCCGGAAGGTGTCTGGCGGTAACCACTCAAGTCTACAGTGCCACCTCCTGCATCCACGATGATCACACCTTCGTCTTTCTGCTCGCTTTACATGAGAACTGGGACCGAAGCATTCGGTGATCATTTAAAAGCTGACCTTGAACGGTATATTCCTATTGATGCAGAAATGCAAACTTGCTTCGCCTTCTGTGACGAAGTGGACGCGCTCCTGACTTTCGACCTCGGACACAAGGCCCGCCATAATGGCTGCTCGGCGCATTTGTCCTTGTTGAGAAACCTCCCAGCCATTAGGATGTGCTAGGATGAAGTCGATGTTGTGCTCTACAGAATTCCAGTGATGGCCTCCGAGCGTGTCACGTTGAATGTATGACTTTGTACATTCGAACAGATACCGAAGGAAGTCTGAAAAAACCGCAACTGGGGTTTTATTCCCCGGAAGGGCGGGAATGTCGAAATCCAGTTGTAATGAATCAGGGCGGAGGTGCAGCTTGAACCTGCGTGCGGTGATGAAACATGAGTACTTGGGTGGCAGAGTGGGTCAAATCTCACCATGAGACTTTAATAAAACCTTCCTCTTCTGCTTGCTCGATGAAAGCCGGTTCCATGGCCTCGGAACCGACAGCCCGAACGGTTCCTTCCTTATCATAATAGAGGATCGATGGTATCTTCGCTGACCCACCGACTTTTGCTTGCGCCGGAAAACTAAGTAATTTTTTAGAATGTTCGGCCAACTAAGAAACCTGAAATCACCTCGTAACACCCTGAGTTATCGGTACCGATCCAGGGTCAAGAATAGAGTACGAAACTCCACTGAAAGTTGTCCCAACATCAAGAGCTATGATCAGCTTGCGTAAGTGCCCGTCGTATGGCTTACGAGTCGGAGCGTTGTTGGGATTGGGCAGTTGCATGATTTGTTGTGCGAAAGAGTTTCTGCGACCGTTGAAAGTATATAACCATTGCACTACGACTAGTATGTTCGAGGGTTCAGCTACGGTCGCTGCGCATTAGAAGACCATCCAAAGTATAGGCAGACGGAGCGCCGAGAGAAGCGTTAATTTGAATTCGAAGAAGAGACAAACTATCCAAGTCTAGTATAGCTAGCGATCAAGGGTCCTTCACCTAAACACTCGTTCAATTGCGATCGTTGTGGGCGGGTGGTGGAAAACGCTGCGGCAAGTCAAGAGAAGCCAAAAGCATCTTTGAAGTTTGTACCGAACAACACGATATGCTGCAAACCGCACGTACACAAGGGCTGTATGCGGATAAACACGACACAGATACACGTTTGGGGCGCAATAATAGCACATTGTCTTCGGAGGAATATCAGAGAGGTAATGACGGGGCATATATGAAAAACATAACGAAGGAGGGGAGACTGTTTGACACGTTGCCGCCTCGTGGTGTTCAAAGGAAGTGCACCAAAAACCATCGGGTAAAAGCCAGGCATGGAGAGTATATCTCTTCTACTGATGTCCTCAGTCACGACCACCACTTTTCCAACCACCCTGGCATATTATGGCGCTGGGATCATCGGCTTTTTCACTCTCGCATCTTTTGGCATGAAGAAAATCTTTGGCTGTTTTCGCTGGATCCCGTTTTCACGGAACGATCTCTCCACAAACGTCATCCAGGACTTAAGGCAGACGTTATCACAAAGAGATGCTGAGATTGCGGAACTTCGAGAATCTCTTTCTACTGCGGAGAACAGGTCGACGAATACAGCACGAGAATTGGAAGCCTCGAGGAAAGAAATCGAACACGTGAATCGAACACGGACTAATTTGGAAAAGCGTGCAAGGGAGGCGCTGGTAGGGAAAGAAGCGCTGGAGCATGAGTTGGGCACTCGAGCAGAGGAGCTGGCTACGTCGAGAGAGGACGCGAACACTATCCAGGAGGCACTGAACCAGACAAAGACGCTGTTGGATATGCGGACCGCAGAGCTTAAGGTCGCACAAGCGTTCCTACCGAGATCAGATCGATACGCGGGAGCAGACATTATGAAGATGGTTGAATCACTCAATTCAGAGATCCACCAGACCGCATCCATCATGGCAGACGTGTTTTCACCAGACTTGCAGGGCCCAGGAACAGTTCTTGGTGATGGCGAGGTGGGATTACACGAGGCTGCTGTGCACACTGAAGAAATCTTGGGAGAGGGTATGGCAAAGATGCTTCAGACGTTCAACCACCAGGAAGAGAATATCCTCCTCCAGATCGCGTTCCAAGCATCGATGTGCGCGTTCACCGAATGGATCATGGACTCTTGGTGTTATCATGACAGGGATTCAGAAGTCGAGGCTGTGCTGCAGGAGACATACGAACAACTACGAGAAACAGGTAAGCTGTGGGACGTGCATCCTCGTTCGTAACACGTTTTGAAGATATCTTTGGGTATCGCCTATTAGAGGAACAGCCCGTGTCTGCAAGGTGGCGTATCCTAACCCGAAAATATGTTCGTAAACTCTACCCTAGAGTTGAACAACCAAATCTAGCATATCACATCCTTGCCGCATGTGCCAACATCTTGATCACCTCCGGCCTTCACGAATCGGAACAAGGGCTCTTGGACAAGCTCGCAACACGATTTGCCGACAGAGTAGCACTGATAGTCGAAAGAGCCGTCCATCTAAACAATGTCATTGGCGACGACATCACCTCTTGCGAGTTTGTTCCGATCTATTGCACGCCGGATGTCGCCTTCGACCCCAGTACGATGGAAAACGCCACTGAAAATGGATCTGCGACGGCAGGTCATGAGGCCATTTTTGTGCATAACGAGAACAAGATCCTTTGTACGACGGATTTGGGACTTTTGAAGGCAGAGAAGGTGCACGGAGAGGAGGGGACGTGGAATAATACAGTTTTACTCAAACCAAAGATCGTTATGCCATCTGGTTTGACCGCCTCACCCACCGAATCCGAATCCCCTGATTGGAGGACTCAATCACTCCATGGAGAGCGAGAAGAGTCGTAATCACAGCTGGATCTGTAGTATTTGTCACTCATTTTCAATGACCTTTCATGATATGCTGTATAAGAAACTTACCTTCATTAGTCAGACTCTAGTACGACCCACGTTGACTTCTTGTCTATAGCATATTCCTATCATATTGACAACTGTATTTTTTGTATATATTACTCCTGTCATATATTAACTGCTGACTGCTGAAAGGGTGCCCATAAAAACAAGTAACGCAAGAAAATCAAGCGACACGCGTACCTGCTGAAGCTGAAGCTTGAAGACCCGAGCAGAAGTGTCCTTTCTCAGACGATCCTCTTCAACTGCAGCCGAATTTCCGAGACTTGAATGAGAGTTTCTTCTGCAACATTCCGGAAGAACTGCGCCGACATGACTTTGAAGAAGATCATCACAAAAGCATTTCCACCAGGCGGTAGACCCAGAAACGAATGAATTATACTACTTCCATCAGGGACATTCAGTTTAGGATAGACTTTGACCACGAAGAGTCTTTGAAACACACACCAGACAGAGCGCTTTCATTGAACACCAGATAGATCACAGGCCTCGAGTAATTTCGCGTAGCATCGACCTGAATCTTTGACCTTGAGGCCTACTTGAGATCAAAGCATGTCGTCTAGACTCTGAGTTAACCACCTCACAGTAGTTTGGTCTGACTGTCGCTCATTTTCAGTCTCCCATCGCTTTCAAATACGGACCTCGCCTGGAATCACCCATTATAAGTTCTCTTCACGATTCTAATAGATGTACCACATCAAGTATATGAATACAATAATCTATATGAGGTAGATGAAAACGAGGTACAAGGGGAAATATGAAGCGACTCACACTCATGAAGAGATCTCCTCTGCTTCAATGACTTCTTGTTCAGCGGCTGCTTTCGCATCTCTTTCTAATTCTTCCAATGTCGGGTTGGATTTCTCCCAAGCTTTCAATACAGCCTCAAAAGCTCCTCACACTCTCCTACCAGAAAGCTCGCCATCAAATTCGCCGTCATCCGGTAGATCCATGGTTTGGAGTTCCTTCTCAGCTGCCTTCCCCTTTTTTTTCCTTATCATTTCGCTTTCCATCTTTATCTCCTTCCGAAGGTGCAGAGGGCACCTTCAACCTCATCATAGCATACTCGGCGTACAATGCACCAGGTTTGAGTACCTCTTTAGGTGACTCGGTGACGGAGTTGAACGTGCAATACCGACTGGAGGATTTTGTGCAAGAGCAAGGGAAGAGCAAGCAGGAACCTGAGAAACCGTAAGAGAGAGTTCAAAAGATCGGGGGGATGACTCACAGAAAAACACCCATTATCAAATGACCGTTGGCGGACGTCCAATCTGCATTTAGTATACGAGCGACAGTATCTGCTCTGCTGATACCAGGGAAAACCGTGATCGCCACGATGTTAGATTTTTGTGAATGGAGAGTTCACGACGGGGATCGCAGAGCTATCACTGTCTGTTTTCGGAATCTGAGCGGCGGGTAGAGCATCCAGTATACGCTGCGGATGTCTGATAAGGATAACGGTGCGCAAAGAGCGTGTTCCTTCTGTGAGAGATGTGGAATTCGGTGGAGGAGTTTTGTCAGATGTGAGTGAGTCGTAGAATGCTGATGAAAATGAGGGAGCAGAGGCGGCAGCGTAGGAACGGTTGACAACGTTGATGATACGAATGCCGTGTTTGGTATGAGCGGTGAGAAGAGATGGAAGTAGGAGGGTGAGTAGAAATGAAGCAAAAATAGTGACAATAGCAGCAACGATGTGGATTGCGTATTGTGTTGGAAAGTACTTGGAGCCCCTAAGGCAGTCCTCTCTATGAGATTGTCGGCTTAAGCAGAGGCAATTTTCGCAGAGTCTTTTCAATCACCTTTATCCGTAAAAGGTTTATGGCCCGATATAGTAATAGCGTATGGGAAAATTCAACTTCGCAGAAATTTCTTCTTATAACCACTTGGACGCGTCGAATACTCGCGCTTTTGAGCTGAATGTGCAAACTTTCTGTCCTATTATCATATATATGAAGCCCAAGTCACGTCCTCGTCGCATGCGACATTTCCAACTGATCAATGGATATGCCTATCAAGAAGCATTGCAGCCGGCCATTTCACAACCAATGGTGTTCGGTGAAGGTGCTGTACTAAACCGGCAGCATCAAGAATGCCATTATGTGCGTCTTCCCAAAACCCGCACCCGCAACTACCAGTGAATTCCGTTCAACGAAGCTACAGGCTTACAGCTGCTTGAAATCCTTTCGGAATTTCAACACCCTTTGAGGCAAAGTAGACCAACAGACACAGCCGGATCGCCAGAATCTTGTCACTAGAAGGTCCTGGGTGAGAGGGAATGAATGAAGTCTATTGACCTTTTGCTTGCTTGGCCCTGCTTGGCCATGGTATTCAATTTACTGAACAGCGGATCATAATTGTCGTTCTGAACTTCATCTAGAACAGAAGCTATCATGATGTAGTTCTAAAGGGTATATGGTAGCCTGAGTCATGGCTATTCGGACTTGCGCGACTAGGCGCGACTAGTGCGATGAGTATTCGACGCATTGAAGTGGTTAAAGAATCTTGAAGAAATCTCTGCAAAGTTGACTTTTACTTTCACAGAAATTCAGGACAACTCCTTTGTGCCTCTTTGCTTCACATAGACAATGATATAAATATGCCTTGACTGGCAAGGACTGCACTGCAGAGCACACGGTCTCCAATTAGTTGCCCTCCGACCAGCCTCCGACGGATCTTTGCAGGAGAATAGCCGACGAATGTTCATTATTTAAACTCACCTTTTTCTCAGAATTCCCTCCCCAACAGAGCTGGTCTCTTGCACAAAACCGCAGGTCGCGTTTCCACTTCCCTACCTCTTGTAGTCCTAAAACCCATTTACGATGGTCTATTCCTGTTCAATGCTCACAGCCGTCATCGCTGTTGGAGCAGCTTCTTCCGCTCTAGCAGCTCCCATGTCTTCCTTTCCTGTGGCTCGGGAGGTCATGCCCGGTGTTCCGTTTCCCACTCGTAGCAATCCTGCGAATCTTCTCGTTCACCCAGCCGCCCGCGAATTCGACGTTGTCATCGATCATGGGAGAGCACATGAGGTCAGCATACTCCCGGTTCTACCCCTTCCTCCTCGTTGTGCTGATTTTTTTGTACTACAGTATGTAAAAGTCGATGAAGAGCTCAAGTTCAACCCCGATCGCCCCGTTGGGTTAGAGCGTCGTCAGGACTCAGAAAAAGGGTTAGATCCTTCTCCGGCCACAGCCCCCGACACTTTCAAGCCTCCTACACCCACAACACAGTCTCATGGTGGCACAAAGGCCAAGTTGACATCCATGATGAATAAGGTCACGCAACATCCCAAATTCGTTTCAATGATGCAAAACCCGAAATTGTTGAAATTGATGCAACACCCCAAGATCGCCCCGTACGCGAATAGATTGGGTTTGAACGGCGGTGAGCCTGCCAAAAACGCCGCCGCTGTACCAACACCTCCTGCCGAGAACCCAGTCTCTCCCATCGCTTCCGTAGCTCCTCAAATTCCTCCTCTTAACTTTGATCGCCGTGAGGTCGCAGATCCTACCCCGAGCGATTCAAACAGCTTTAGCCCGTCCCCCTACGCTAAATCTGTCCGCCTCGCTCGTTCATTCCTCGCCCCGCGCAAGGACGGAGATTCTCAAAGTGGGACATCTGGTCCGCCTTTCGGGAACACTGGGATTCCACCTACCTCACATCAAACTTCTTCTGCTCATGGGGCTCAGTCTGTCCCTCATGTACCCGAAGGGATGTCAAGTGGTAGCTGGAGAAATGACCCCTGGTATCCGCCTGGGGCGAATGCGGATGAGCATCCGTGGCTAGGTCGTTTAAGCCTTGTTAGTGGTCCCCATCCTGCTTCTAATGCGGGACCTTCTGGTGCTCCTCCCCCTCCTGGGACCGGTTCCAATATGCCTCCCGCAACCCCTCCCACAACCCCTCACACGCGTCGTGCTCCTCACCATGTTCGCCGTTCTACCGCGTTTGTTACTTTCGGTGCCGACTTGAACTAGACTGGTAAAGATATCCTGTCGGAGTATAGTCAACTTTAGTGCCGTTTCTGCTTGTTCCTCTCTTCATTCGCTGACTCGATTCCTTGTGCCAGTATTCACACTCTTGCACTACCTCTGCAGCTGTATTGTTCACGTTGTTTTTGCGAGTTTTACTCCAGAGGTACCCTTGGTCTCATTTGATTTTGAACACTCGTCGAAGCATCAACTGGATCTTTAAGTATGTACAGCGTATACAATGACTGTACCTCGAATAAAATTGGCTCTAAATGATTAGCGCCGGTGAAGGTTTCTCTTCCGAAAGCTTCATCAATCATCCTCTAACTATCTGCTCGCTGATGCTATGTCCTGTAAAAGGCTAACGCGGGCACCACGTATTCATTATAATGGGACGCCAATTGAAGCGTTGAGATAGTGATAAAATTTGATGCTGGGCAGAAGGTTTTCTTCAAATACGCAGGTATGAACTTGGTCTTGACTTTGGGAATGAACATCCGTGCTGAGTACGTACTTAGAGTCAGTTTGATGTGTAGAGTCGCCCTGTCTTTGAACTCTGGTGATGCATATGGTATCATCACTAGCAATATGTATTGAGTATGTACAATACAATTGAAGACTTATGTATCTTTGACTGCGAGTTCTGCACGTTGGGAGAAGGCCGAAGGCCTTCGGGTCCCAGCAGACAATGAGGTTCTAAGAAGGTATGCACGGTCAGCTGCGATGGGCGGGAGGGCGACCAGCAGCTGAGTGCTCTCATTGCGCTCGGACTGCGACTTGTCTCGAACCTTGACTAGAGTTCCGCGGGTGTGCACCTTGGATGAGCACCCGAGATGGGAGAGGGAAGGGTGAGTGACAAAAGGGTGGGAGGGTGTGGAAAGAAGAACTAATGGAGCTACTAGGGACTAGTACTGCGAGGCTTCAACGTACGCGTGTCGATGCGGTACCAGCAAGAGCAGGAAGTACCGCATCACGTGTTCGTTCGAAGACTCTAATTTGTCGCATCTCCTTACCTCGACTTACAAATTGCCATCTTTGAACTCTGGTGATGCATATGGTATCATCACTAGCAATATGTATTGAGTATGTACAATACAATTGAAGACTTATGTATCTTTGACTGCGAGTTCTGCACGTTGGGAGAAGGCCGAAGGCCTTCGGGTCCCAGCAGACAATGAGGTTCTAAGAAGGTATGCACGGTCAGCTGCGATTCCCAGCAAGTAGGAGTGCACGACGCATCTAGCGACCGTGGATACCCTAGTGGGAGGAGAGCACTCACATCGAACTGGGGGCATTGTGTAGCGAACGAAGTCTTGGTGGAGTTCGGGTTGCATGTAAGGTGCCATGATTTCCGCATGCTTTCGGAGATACAATATGAAAGCATCGCTTTTCCATCGGCCTATCACGCGCACAGCGTCGAACGGGACGCCTCTGAGTAGGTACTCAAGTGTGGCTCCAATGCGGATACCGTGGCCTTGAAGGACGGGGAGGCCTTGGTTTTTTGCAGCCTTGTTGACGCGTTGCAGGAAAGCGGATTTTGTAAGGGGCCTTCGGGTGGCTCTGTATCGGTAGGAGAAGAGGTGGTCCGAGGGTCCTGGTGTGTTGACTTCACGGTGATTTCGGAACCACGAGTCTGGGTCTGTGGAGCCAAGCTGTTTGGAGAAGTAAAGGTCCTCGCCTTCGAGCTGATTGCTCTTGGTGCGTGGGATGTGAATGATGGTGGTTTGGAAACCGTTGCGGTCGGTGGCCGTGCTAACGTTTGCTGGTGTAACGTGGACATTTGGGGAGAAGTCGTTTAGATTGGGGACTGTGAGTTCGCCTACTCTTGCTGCGCAGTAGAAGGATGTTGTAAGGCAGGCACCACACGCCACATCAAAAGGGTTCGTTGGATCGAGATCTTGCAGTAGTTTGGAAATATGGTCTGGGGTGAAAGGTACCCGCTTTTTCCTGCGAGCTCGGTCTGGCTGAAGGCGTTCGGCGCCGTGAATAATGGTGTCAAAGGATGCTTTGTCGATGTTCCATTCAACTCCGTGGATGATGTGCCAGGCCCGTAGTCCATGCACATAGTTTTTAACTGATGCACCTGCAAAATTTCCGGCCATGGTTGCTATCCAAACGTTGAGCAGGTCGCTGCTGCATGGTGCACGTTGGTCCTCAGGTATGTCACGCGAGTCACAGAAGACGTGGAAGGCGAGTAGGCCTGATGCGTAAGTTTCGAGAGTACTGTCTGCATATCCATTAATGAGTACTTGTTGGACTCGGTCGACGAATTCGTCTGAGAGTATGAGTGGACACCCCGCTGCATCTTCGAAGGTTCGCTTACAGGCTGGCTTCCAGGAGACTAGACGGTTACGAGCGGCCACATGAGGGCGTAGTGTGGACAATAGTGGAGTCAAATTAGCAGGATATGGGCGGACATTATTTGTATTTACAGTATTCACAGGAGGGAAAGTAGCAGAGGGGTATTCAGAGGTGGCAGGGCGACTACCAGGAGTTCTCAAAGGCATAGAGTAATTTTCCTTCCTCTTCAGATTGCCACTGTCCAAACGATGTTCGCGGGTGAGGTCGGTGTGGTTTAGTCCTGTAAGCAAGGTTTGTAGAAGTGCCGTATTCACGGCGCTCGGCTGTGGTGTATGGGGCATCGTAGTCGATGATGAGGTGTGTGAGGTGGAATGGGATGGGGATCTTGGGTAGGAGGAATCTTGGTTCACCGTATATGCCTCGAGAGAATGGGTCGGCTGGATTATGAGCGCTGGGGATATAGCGGGTGTGGACCTTGAAATTGAGTTTCGAAGTGATTTCGTGAACAAGTCTGAATATGTTGTTCGTATGTCGGTTCCTGCTCCGCCCATTCCACCAGCCTTCGACCACACCTTTGTTGTCACCCCAGAGCTTATACTGTCCTCCTGCAGTTGCCTCTCTAGCAATAATGAGGACGAGGAGATAGAACCCAACTGCCTCGGCCCATCCAATGTCCCGTTCTCCGTCTTTTCCTTTCCATCCTGGGAGGAGGCGGTATGCTCGCCAGAAACCTTTGATATACAGGCCGATACCATAGCCGCTGCTGGCGTCAGAGTAGCCATGGACGTCGATGAGATCTGCAGGTCCTGGAATGGGTGCGGAAATGGGTGAGGATAAGGTGGACTTCCACCAAAGAAGGTCAGCCGGCCATCGGCGGGGTGCCCGGTGCTTTGTCAGCGGTGCTTCGTGGCTGAGCTCTGCTGCGAACTTTTCGAGCTCGATTAAGTATGTACGCCCTATTGGCAGAACTAGACTAACGTGAAGGAGTTTCCCATACATCTTGGCGACCTGTTCAGCGTTGTGTGACCCTCTTTGCTCCCAATCTGCAATTTCCTCTAAGTATTTTCTCCGTTTCTTGGCCGGGACCGATACAATTTTCTCGCTAAGGTTCCATTGAAAGCCGAAGTATGTTGGTTCATTGCAGAAAGGAATGTCTTTGTCCGCCGCCCATGTATATCCAAGGGGGATGGTGATGCGGTCAATGTCACTGAAAGCATAGCAAAATTTGGAGTCCTCCATGGAGCGAGAGGAGAGATGAGATAAGTCCCTGATAGGGAATATAAAGTCATCGTCGAATTCCTCCTGTTGTCCATTTGGGAGGGTATGACCTAGGTATAGGAGTCGACCTTTGCTGTGTATGGCACCTCCTGTGGGGGCTACTCGTTCACGGAGTTGCTCCCGTAGTGAGTTGTATTTGCTAAGATGTTGTTTCAGGATTCTCAGCCACAAGTGATCATCGACCCATTTGGTGAGCGGGCCTAGGCCGTATCCCCGACAGATATCGACCCCTCCATCAGCTAGGTGACCAAATGTACCTCCTGCCGAGGTGAGACCAAACATGTCTCTGGTATCTACGCAATATTCTTTTTCTGATGTCCGGATGACTACTCCGGGCCATTGAGAGGGGTGTAGTGGGATTAGGCGGTACGCTTCCGAGATGTCCCTTACTGCACCTTGTGAGCCTGGTGGTAAAGTCCAGATCAATCGACATGTGGTTGCAAAGGTGCCCCAGAGACACGGGTATAGGGTAGAGTCAATGTGTGAGTTGATGGAGGAGATTGTTGTGCGTAGTGAAGGAACGTATGTTGGATGATATGGATATGATAAATTCTCGAGTAATCTGTATTTTCCTGGTTTGTCGGATTTCGGGATCATTGAGATGGGAGATGTCTGGAATGGCCCTAGGACCCTCTCAATGGTTTCTTGAGTGTAAGGGCCAAGCCATCGGCCTGTGCTAATTTCGTTTCTCATCACAATCTCGAAGGCAGCTTGTGACTCAGGTTCATTGAGTCTATTAGGAGGAGAGAAGGTATGGTATATTCTCGGAATTCCAACATTAAAGCCGTGTCGTATAGACTCGACGAGTGTAGGATATTTAGTGGTTAAGTTGAGTTCAGCAATAGCAAGATTCCAGGCTTCGACCTGTAGAGGGGTGTTGACTCGAGTTTTACTCGCCTTCAGGGCAGTCGCTAGCTCCGTGGTTGCTGCCTGCACATCCTGAACAACGGTGCTTCTCTGGGTGGGCTCGACTTGTGCAACCGTTAGCACGTTGCCAGTCGGCGCAAAGTTCCTGTCCAGCATTGGTGCCGTTCGCAATCTCGAGGAATCCTTGCTTGTTCCAGTTGCAGGTAACCCCGCGTTTCCCGTTCCAGAGGGAGGTCCGTGAGCAATGTCGAACATCATGCCTGTCACGTCCGAGGCATCGGTGACAGCGTGTGAGTGGGGGTTGATTTGAGTCCCGAAAGGAACGTTGAAAGTTAGGATTGTCCGGATGCTTGTTGGCTTTGCGGGGGGAGGTGGAAGGGTAAGGGGCTTGGCGGAATTTATTTGGGGCTTGGCGGCTGGGAAACGGGGAGGATGAGGATGCCTGGGAGAGTTTTTGGAGCTTGGCTTCAACCCTGGCCTCCATTTGTGCTGTAGCGGCTTCGATGTCTATCAGTTCAGAGTAAATAATGGTGCAGGGATTCCCGTTAATGTTGGCATCA